AAATTGTTTCGCGCTTCAAAAGAGCGCCGGATCGCTCTCTCTGCTGCACGTTTACGGTGCCAGGCATTAATTTTCTCTTTTGTCGTGTTTCTTTTTAACACATGCCAGTCCGTATAGTGCATTAATGTCACAAAAGTGCGCGGGTTGCATAAACACAGGAAAATTTCGCCAACTTGAAAAAGCAGTGTTTGCACTCAAAGGCCTTCAATGTTGCACAGAGATTTGTGGCGCGTTTGCTTTTTGTTGCTGCTCAAGGGGTTTAACTCTTCAGATTTATTTTGCACACCGGTTGAGCATAAAATGTTATTTGTATTTCCTCAACGTTTTTCAGTTTTCCAAGTCCACGCGTAGTATAAAAACGGCAGCAATAGCAAACAGTGTCATTGTTAAGACTTAATGGATTTTGAGAACTTTAATGCAAAAATACTGAAGTTCATAATTTAAATCAAGCATTGTTTAATTTATTTGGGATTAAATTTTATTTTTAATCTAATATAAATATTAATCTGGATTGGAATTATTGATTGTGTCCTAGTTTGCTGCAGTGCAAAGTTTAAAAAATTAATTGCTAAATTTTGTGACATAAATGACATAATTATTATTTTAGTAGATTTAAATAACATTCACACTTCACACTGAAACTCTACAAGCAAGTAAATTGAACTTTTTCATATATTTGATTGTTTATAAACCCCAATAGTACTATTTAAATGCAATTCATGCAGGTATCTATGTAATGTGAATTTTTTAATTTTTCCAACAAAAAAATACTTCTGACTGTAAAAATTTACTGATTCTTAAAAGGCTAGATTTTAAATTTCTGCAATTTTTAGACTGTTATTTCTTACATATATTTTGCAGGATTTAAATTTTTACTATTGCTGCTTTTTTTGCTACAAATCAGTGCAGAAAAAATATCTATTCAATTCGATTAGAGCATTAAATATCTTTTGCAAGAACACGGCTTCAACCGTTTTCAAATAATTCACCGGCTTCATCCATGAACAGGCGCATTGAGCAAAAATCAAAGGGCCTCCTCGCCCACGTAATTATGCTGCCGTCGACGATCCGCTCTCTTGTTGCTCTCTGTGTGTAGAGTGTGTACTGAAGAGAGAGAGCCCACACACAATAATATACACCAGACGAGGAGGACAGGTACATGCAAACACGTGCCTGCGAAATAAGTAGCAATCTCTCTCTGCACATTATTCCACACTCGCGAGTCTGTCTGTGCTGCGAAATCATCGACGGGAGAGTTATATTTGCTGCTAATTAACGGCGCCGACGAGCCTCCGCTCTGTAATCATCTTGTTGTATGCTGATGAAATAATAAGCATCCAGCATGTACACTCATTTTTTCGCTCGAGTGTTTAGCCTTGTTGACTTAATTGGTGCCAACTGTTCTGTCGAGGCTGCGAATAACTGAAATGTGGAAAGAAAAATAATCCTGTTCGTGAATAATTATGGAGAGGAGAGCATCGTCTAAAATTTTATGATTTAATTTTAATTGCATTAATAAGTGTGCACCTTAAAACAACTCTTCAATTTATAAATATTAGCTAATATTATAATTTTTCAATCAAAATTTTTATGCTGCAATTAAAATTTTGCGAAATTTTCTAAAAAAAAATGATCAAGTAAATTTGAAACATTTGTGTGCGATGTGCAATTTAAAAGGCCATAGCAATCTTTGGCTTGAGACTAGACGCATTAATTAGGCATTGTCGAAGTACTAAACTTAATGTTTCCACTTTTTAAACAATATTGTCATACAATCAAAAGTTATTTTCAGTTGAAAAAAGTTTAAGTAATCAGAGAGGAGTGCAATAATTTTCATTGCCTGATTTTTATTAAAAATTTCAGTACAGAATAAATTAAAATATTTCTATCGCATTTAATTGTGTATTTTCTATCAGCTGGCCAACAATGACTTGTTTTGTTTCCCTCTTCTTGTGATTTTGCAATCTGCTTATTGCTTAAATATTTTGTCTTTTATTAAATTTTTTTTATTAATTTTCCTCATTTCATTGGTTATATATCAACTAAATTTAAGTTGCTTCGATGGTTTTTCGTTTTAAATATGTATACAATAATATATGATAAACAAAAATGTATTTCAAACTAAAAAAAAAATTAAAACATAAATTTTTATTAGCGTTTTACATTTTATGTTACCCTTCACGTTGTCAAAAAAAATGCAGCCCTCAAAACTTCAGACCTGCTTCAGACCATCATTTCAGAATTTCAGATGACTCCACCCATTTAAGGGTTAGAAAATCTGTGACTGTCAAATCATAATTTATTAGTAAAATTTAATATTATAGGAATAATTATATCATTTTTAAATTCAACTATTTGAAAAAAATTAAATAAGGCAATAATTTTGAATAAAGGAAGAAATTTTTTAATTTGCAGCTAAATTCAGCTGCCATTCATTTATTTTTAAAGAATGTTGTATCTTTGTTTGTAGTAAAAAAGGACGTTTAGTTTTAAAATGTTGAATGATTGTTTTGGTTGGGCACAGCCGTCGTGGTAATCTTAGCCGAGCACCCTGTGCGAGAACCAAGTGGCCGCCATCAAAACGGGCATGGTCACCAGGTAAAGAGCCGCCGCGCCGTTGCCGTCCTCTGCAAAAATTCAGAAACTTGTCGGTAAGTACGAAATAGTACCGCGGCGGGGGTACACTCGTTAACGCGAGTTTTGGCCCACTGGTGTGCGACTTTATTTAAATGGGTGGCGTTTCAAGTGTGTATTTTTAGCAAGGAAGCGCGCTTTCTTTCGCACGGCGCCCCATGTAGCAAGTTGGTTGACCCGCGGCGCTCCTAGGTAGGTATTTTTCAACGCTTGACCCGCTTGGTTTCGCAACAGCGCCGTGAAACTTGAGGGCGTATTCTGTATATTAAGCCGAATGCTTAATTTTGTTTGCTTTCTCTAGATTTTTAATATATTAAGAAAGATATTCCAAGTATCTGTTTATATTACTTTATCGTTTAATAAACATTCATCACCGTCAATATTTCCATTGTATTTACTGATTTGTGAAAAGCATAAAAAACTCCTACCTATGAAAAGCTTCACTTATACATTTTACAATTCAAATAGCAAATTAAAACATAACTTTTTATGCTTTCTTTCAATCTTTAAATTTCTCCAGAAGATGGTATAGTTTAATTTATATTTTAACCCAGAGAGAGGAAGTTTTAAATAGGAATTAAATTAATTATTGAGAGAAAAGTCAAATTGGTGTCTACATCTTAAAAGTTGTAAATATTAAAGAGCCCTTTGAAATTTTTTTGAATGGTTTTATTATTTCTCTCATCAAAATTTAATTTAAATATTTTTTTAAGCGCTTCATATTGGCATAGTCAAATCAAGACTTTAAAACAGTAGAAGCCAATATTTGCAATGCTCATAATACAATTAGCATTATAAACCACCATTATATCAGAAATATTTTATTATACTGCGACAAATAAGGATGCATTAAAATTTTAACAAATGTATGGACTATAATAATGTGATAATATTAACTCGTTAAAATAAAAATATATGATTGCCTAAGCCTTAACATACGATTTTTTCTCTCTCTTTTGAAACCTATTAATACTTCCATTTTTTAATGTTCACAACTTTTATATCAAATTTTCCCATAAATTTTTAAAAAATGCTTAATACACTTCATTTGCCTTAAAATTTTAATAATGATAATGGGTAATTTTCCCTGTCGCCTTTACAATTTCCCCTTAAACGTATAAAAGCTGGCGACGTTATTATTCCTTTTGAAAGATTCCCTCGCTAAAATTTGAAACAAAAAGCGCTTATTACCAGAGCTGTCACTGGTGTCTCCGTCTCCACTTCCGCTGTTGTCGCCATCCTTGGAAGCGTCGGAATCATTGGGGTCGTCCTCACCATCATCCTTGGCGTACACGTTGACGACCATGCAGGCGAGCAGCATGCCGAGCAGCAACATAATCCAGAGCTTCATGGTGAGCAGAAGTGGTTCTGTAAACAGCCAATCGTGTTACCCACGCTCAGGCCCTTTGCAGAGGAAAGTGAAACCATCCTGGCCAGCCGCGAAATCATAACAAGTGCGGCCAGATGCCGTCGTAAAAAATAAAATCGACTCGCGGCACAGCACAGCACGCGTCCGGAATCCGCACAAAAAAAAATTAAAAAAAAAATGCCTACAGTGTAATTTTTTAAGTACAGTGGGTGTCTTGCAAGATTGAGGTCCGAAATTAAAATAATTAGCGAGCTTGAGGGCGAAAATAGCCTCGGCGAGCGAGTCTAGGTAAATGCTGGTGCTATTATTGTGAAATGAAGTCTCGCGATTCCCATAAAGTTCCCCAAGAACCGGCCTCTCTTTACACTTGAGACGCTGCCAGTTCACGAAGTTTTTATATGTTTAGATGGAAAATTACTTATCAATGGCAAATTATAAATAGGAGCAAAAATATAAGTAAACATTATTCTAAATAAAACTAAACATTTGAATGCAATTATTTTGGGAAAATTACGTGCTTTAACATCAAAATACAAAATAATGCAGCGGCTGCACAAGCTTGACCAGGGGCAATTAAAAAGTGCATAGGATGAGAATTGGGCATTCGCAGCGGCATTGGCATTGTGACAAGAGAGCCAAAATAACCTCAGCTAACGTTTTCTCCCAAAGGCAATTGAAATCGGTCCCTCAGAATAAAATGCACCTGCAAATGCTCAAGTTCATCGCGCAGCACCCAAGTGTGAGTGAAGTTGGCGATAAATTGTTTGCAATTATGACATTAAGTGCAAACAAATTTTTCACTTTGATACTCACTTGTGCACTCTAGGGGACGGTAGCTGATTCGCTAATGACTCTACCAAGTTTCTATTCAGGCATATGGCGTGGCGCATGCGTTGGCTCTGGTCCGCGGAGACGTTGACGATGTTGTTTATTTTTTATTCTGCGAGATTATGAGTTTTTGAAGGAACGGGAAAAGATGCCATGAGCAAAAATAATCATTTTTAGATTTAAAAATAAAATGATGTAAAGTTTATTTTGACGGCTTTCGATTATTAAACACAGGATCTTCCCTTTGTTAAACTTCACTCAGCTTTGGAATCTTTCCTCTATATATTTTATTCACAAATTTGCTTTTGGCTACAAGAAAATATATCCACTCGTTGTTAAAAACTTATAGTAAATTTATATTATTTATTTTAACAAATTAAAAATCATCTCTGTTTTAAATATAAATTTTCTGAATTTATGCATCCTGCCCAACGTAGCAACTGCGCGTGAAGCATACCTTGCTAATATCCAGGTAATAAACGATTAATATTTTATTGTAAAATCAGATTTCAATAAATCAATCAAATTATCAAACGAAAGATTTGATCAAAAATAAAAAGAAATGATTCAATACAGAGCTGTAAAAAAATAATAAGATTATATTTCCAAGCAAGAAAATTAATGGTCATAATTTTATTGTGCATAATTATACATGTGTTTACAATTGATTAAGGTACAAATATTTTCAGAACCTCCAACAAAAAGAAAAATATATTTTAAGTGCGTAAAACTTATAAAGAAGCAACGCTTTTAGCTGCATAGTGGGAATCTGAGTGATGATGTAATTCTTTGAAAAAAAAAATATAGCTGCGTATTGTTAGGCTCCATAAATTAATGAACAGAAACGGTCTGAGAAAAACAGTCCTCGCGCAAAGTGAGCAAAACATATCCATAAACTTAATTGTTGGAAGCAAAGCTTTAAAAACATAATTTTACGTAATAATTTTTTATTCGATATTCATAAAAAGCATCAAAAGACCAAATACAATCCTTAAAATAACTAGCCCCTATAGTTGTGTTCCTTTTTTTAATCTTAATCCACACTCACATTTTATCTTCTAGTTATGTCTAAAATTTTTATAAGTAATGCATTGTTTGAAATATTCTTTATTAAATCAACTGCTGTGAATTCTGGGAACATATAAAAAGTTCAATAAAATGTTATAATGATGAAAATATATTATATGCAAAAATAAAAAATTAAATTTAAAATGAAACTCTGCAAAACGATATAATCTCTGAGGTTGTGCAAAATTATTATCGAATTAATCCAGAACAGTGAAATGAATGGATTTAATGATACAGGCGGCTTTTTTGTCACCTATATTCCATTTAAAATGGAAACCATGCTGATCACCATGAATTGCCCAGTTTTTGTAAACCCTTTCGTGTTTCCAAGTGATACAGTCAGCAATGATTTCCTTCTTTTCATTGACTGCACAGCAATTTCCGCGAATAAACTTCTCGCGGCTGATAATGTGATAGGTCGCTCCTTGCTTGAAATAAATCGTCAAGTGAAAAAAGCAGCCCTTTGGAATCAGTATTGCCTCTTTGAAGGTGACGACTTGCGTTGAATTGAAGTTCACCTTGCCTGCCCAAGGAAGTTCACCTTTGGATATGCACACGTGGCCATCCCAACACCTATAGACGAAACTCAAGTTTTCGTCATATTCTCGCCGATTTTTCAAAATTTTGTTCCTACAAAACAAATTCGGTTTAAGCAGTTGCCAATACAATTATTTTTTTTTTTAATTTTTTAATTATTTAAAAAATCTAACCTCTCATTTCCTTCAGAAAGGAATCTCGTGTTCCAATTTGTAACCGCCTGGGTGATAATTTCGACAGCGGTAACGCTCATTTTGTGGCAGGCTCGAAAGGTCATGATGTTTCTGTCGAATTGAGTTGTCACCTTGTACAAGGTACTTTTGGTCATTTGCTTCAATTTAATCAACTCATCGGTCACGAGCATCACTTTGCCTTTTTTCATCATTTCTAAGGTCTTGTTGCGGTTTCGTGGCTGCGTGTTGCCATTCAGTTTTGGAGGAAGGACCGACCGGTCCTCCTTAAAGACCATTTTGCTGGCCAACGCGAAACGCTCCTCGCGAGTAAGAAACTCGGAAATGCAAGCGATTTGGCCGGTGTTTAAAGTCAAAAGGCGAAGGTATGGCAGAGCCATCCTCACCACGTTCTCTTCCAAGCTGACAAGTGGCGCTGCAGGCCTAAAGTAAAGTGGAAAATAATTCAAATTTCATGACCAAATTTTTTCAACTGGTAAAGAGAATTATATAAAAAAAAACTCCATCATGGGGAAAAAATATATTATCTCTAAAGATTATAATTTTGACGATGTTTTGAAATTATTATAATTTTTAAACAAAATATTCCAATGCAATACAATTTTTATAAATGAATTTTTATTTCTGTAAGCCGCTCAAATATTTCATTGATAATATTATACCTGAATCTGTTCAATTTAATGCTCGCTTCAACGAGGTCCAATTCTGAATTGATGTTCAAATTGTCAAGTTTTAACAAAACGGTAAAACTCGTCTCATTAGCAATTTTAAATGTTTCATGCTGCAGACAGCGTAAAGTCTCCTTACATAAAATCTGCAATAACAATCAATAAAAATTTCCTTCTGTTTAAAAAGAAAAATAATAATAATAATTGTACCTCAGTACACCTGGAGACAGCCTCAGGGATGTGCCCTATTGTGTTTAGAATGAGCCACACGTTGTCCACGGTGATCAGACCTTCAAGAACAGTGCACATAGCGTACTTGAGTGGCTCAATCTGATATTCGTCAGCGGCCAAAATCAAAGCAACCGCGTCCTTTGCGCAACTAATGTCGCTAGTGATATTTATTTTGATGTGAATAAATCTGGAATCGGGTATGGAAAAAAATGAAAATCATATCCTTGCTGTAATTTAATTTTTGTAAACAAAACCCACTCGATTATCTTTTTGAAGATGTTCGGCTCAACGTTTTCAATTCTTATTAAGCCCGTCAAAGAAGTCAAAGGTCCAGCAGCAGAAATTAATTGATCAAATTTCTCACTTGCCGCTCTCATCAATGCTGAGTAGCCACAGATGATCTTTAAAATTTGAGATTAAAAAAATGCTCATATATGATAGCGCCTAATTTGTAAATTTTATTGAACGTGAATTTGATCAATGAGAACATATTTTATCTGTTTTACTAATTTCTTCTTTTTTGCTCTAATTACATATTCATGTCAACTTGGAATTATTTATTTTTTGGGGAAAACTAAAATTATGTTGAAGAAATTAGCACTGAAGAGGTGACATGCACTGAAGCAGGTTTTCCTTCAACAAGAAAATTAAGTTCTTTTAAATAATTAGATACCATTATATAAAAAAGCAGCTAGAGTCGTATTTTGAGTTTATTAAAACTATATATACATATTTTGTAATATTGAATATTGTAAATTTCATTCTCTTGTGATTGGAATTGCGCAGTTTAAGCTAATCAAGCGGTTTAAAAAACTCTTGGAGGAAACCCAATTATTTTTTCACAAAAAATAATTCCATTTTTCAGTTTTACCTATTTTGTAAATGTTTTTGTTCAATTTTGCTAATTTTTAATTTTTCAATTAAACTTAAAGTAAGACGAATAAAACCAGGAATAGTCCGCTTGAAGAAATAACATTGAAAAATTTTAGATTAAGATAATACAACTCACCTCCGCATCTCCTTTGTTTGGGCCAACCAAAAATCGGCAGTCGACAAAGCGCCCCTCGTTTAAGGCATTACTTAGCTTTTTGTCGTAGGCCTCCAAGTACCCCAACCATTTTGGGTCTTCATACAAATTTCCAAACATCTTGGGAAGATCGTTTGTAGCAGATTTTACTCTCTCAAATAATGTTACAAAAGATTTCAGTCAAAAGAAATTACCAAGCACTCCACGCAGCTCTGGCGTCAGCGTGGAAATGAAACCAAAAACATGCCAATGTTGCTAAAAGTCTCTGGCGTTCTATTTTCATATAATTATGTGCCTTATATGCGCAGCATAACACAGTGTCCAATAACTCAGCTAAGCTGACGTAGACCAATGGAGAGTGGATGAATGTGACGCTGTGTTGGAAGTCGCTGATGTTTGAAATAAAAAATGTATTTCAATAGACTGAGACACTCTGTTTTTGTGAGTTAGTGGATTAGCAACAAAAAATAATTATTGGCCTGTTGAAATCAATAATAAATCATTTTAAATAGATTTGGGATCATGTTGAATATTCATAAAAAATCTTATTCTCTATTAAAATAAGTTTGTCAAAGAAGACGAAGAATTCATAAAGTGTTTTTGAATTTACCCTCAGTCGTGAAATTGTTCCATAAAAAAGGATATTTAAACACATTTTCAATTTTATTGCAATTTATGTGCTTCTAATCGGGCAAAGTCTAAAAAGGGGTTAATTTATTACTAGTAATTTTTTTAACAACTAGAAATTTTTTGAACAGTTTAATGTATTGTTGTAATTAGAAAGTTCACGTCTTTAGCCAAGTTATCCATTGTATTATAAAAAAAAATGCCCCAACCTAATTTTAGCATATTTCAAGCGCAGCTCTGAAACTTTCATATAAAAATTTTCGCTCATTTTCACTAATTATTCGTTACACATTTCTCAACCTGACGTTATCCGGTCATGGGTCAACCGATTCGCAATTCAACAATCAAAATTGACGCAAAAAGGGTCGATGGAGGTGCCTGCGAATTTCATTGTTGCCTTTCTTGAGTAGGTCTATTCAAATTGGAAATCAGCACTTGACCCGTGGACGCATTGGTTATAAACAATTTTGTTGCTATTATTGTTAGGTGAGCAGCAATAGCCTGATGGTTCGGGTGCTGCTCTCCTGCAGCTCCGGGTTGGGTTCAAACCCCGGCTTGGGCTAGCCTTTTGTATTTATTTAGAACTTCTAATTTCATCCGAGGGTTCATTTCAACTTACAATTTATCTCCGATTGGTTAAAAAAATAATCAAAATGCATTATAAATAAATTTAAATATGTACTTCTTAGGACTACTTAGGGCACGCGGCTTTCGACACACTCCACCTAGAACGCGGTTATGAACATATTTGGTAAAAAATTGTTGCTCAGCTCGATTTTTTTCAAATAATTTCAAAACGGTCTTGCCTCTGTTTTTAAATGAAAGTGGCGTGGGCGAATATTTTGTAATAATTCATTGACCGTTGTTTTGTTTGCAAAAATTTAGTCCTTGGGTATATGGAAATCATGGAAATAAACAAAGAAATTTAAGTTTTAATTAAATGATCACGACGGTCGTTCATTTGATAATTTAGTTAAAATTCACAATTAATTAAAGGTAAATACAGATTTAATTTCAAATTAATAACTTTTTAAAAGTGAGTCTTTTATAATAATTATTGTTTTTTTTCCACATGATTAACTTAACAATTTTTTTTTCTTAATTATATCTTTGACTCTTCATTCTCATTGTCAGCTATTAAAGGGCCAAAGGCCAAAGTCGTTAAGTTGTGATGAACACTTTTCTCGCGCATTTCTCATTTTCTCAATATAAACTGTTTGCAACAATAATAAAATTGCCTCGCGCCTTCACCGAGGCTCTAGAAAATAACTCAGTCGTCTGCCCGCTAGATGGTGTTGAGTACACCAGCTGCACTCACTCTTGGCAAAAACATGGCTGCTTACAACTCCAGTAACCACTGTTTTCAGTAAACAAGCCGCATTAATACCCGAATTACAAAGCAATTACACCATCTCGGCGGTGATTTCCGGCCAAATCAAGTAGAATTTTTTCTCTGCATCGTCCCGTTCTGATCCAAAGGTGAGCCTCCCATTGTTTTTCTCTGAAAACTTGGTGCAAGTGTTTTCGCGCGACGCGGGTATGGCCCACGAAGCCCCGAAATTATCGGTTCTCCGTTTTATCACTTACGTGTTGTCCTCGCATTCGTAAGCAATGCACTTTGAGGAGGTTTCTTTGGAAATTTTCTCCGTTTTCCTCAGTTGACATTTTCTAAACGTTGTTTCTTTTTTCAGAGGTCGAGATGTGTGATCTCACTGAGGTTCAGTACCTGCCTGATGAGATTGTTTGGGTCAAGTTGGGCTCCTGCTGGTGGCCGGGCGAGGTCAAGGACATTAAAAACCTTCCTGAGGACATGGTTCGGGATTTCAAGAAAAAGCCCTTGGCGATTGTCAAGTTTTTTGGAGAAGATACTTAGTAATATTGATAATATCATATTTTTAGTTATAAACAAACTGATCATTTCAATTTTTAGTGAGTATGTGAAAAACCTGGACAACATTTACCACTACAATAACAGGCGGAAGATGGAGTTTATAAAAAAGGGAATGGGTAAGACAGAATACTAAATTTGATGAATTTTGATTAATAAATCGATTGTCTTCCAGATCTTTACCGCTCCAAAAGTAAACAAGGCATAAATGTGATGGACAAGTTCCCCACAGATGTGGTCCTAGCTGAGTCGTTGTCAGGGGGAAACGTCAACATTCTGAAGTCTCCTGCATTTATGCCCGAAGAAAAAGTTGACTACAGAGAGTTGTTCGAGTCTCCGAAAAAGAAGGGCAAGAAAAACGAAAAGCAGGGGAACGTCGGCCGGCCACGGTTGGTGGACAAGGCGGCCACCAGCTCTCCGAAAACGTCCTCGGCCATGGCCAAAGCCAACAACATTATCCAAATCAAGCAGAGGATTACGCACCGTCGTTTTGTTAATGACTCCGACCACGAAGTCCGCATTCGCCAGCAGCCAGCAACACACAATGAAGGGGAGGTTATTCAGCATGCCTACAGATGCCAGGAGTGCGAGTTTGGAACAAACCGTCAAAATCTGTTCATTCTGCACTGCAAGTCGCATCGTGAGCAGCCAGGGACCAGCGCCAGCACTAAGGCTTCAAAAACTTCTGCGACTCCAAAAGTCCGAAAGTCAGCATCTTCAAAAGCCACATCCTCGACGCCTAAGTCAGCAACTCCTAAAGTAGCTTCGGTGACGAAGTCTGTGAAGAAGACAGAAAAGATTCAAAAGAGTCCTTCGAAGGAGCAGGCGGAGATGGTGAGGAAAATATTCAGTCCTCCAAAGAAGGGCAAGAGAGGCGCCCCTAAGAAGTTCCCCCCAAAGACGGAGGAAGAGTTGGCTAAAGAGAGGGAGAAAAGAAACAAAATTTTGGCTGATTGGGACGTGGACGAGGAAGAGGAAGAACTAGAGGCTAAGAAGTTAAAGCTGGACACATCTGCTGCTGAGTCGGGTGGAGATGAACCTTCCGAAATGGAGCAGGACGGAGTTGAAGAGGATGAAGAAGAGGAAAAAGAAGGAGAAGAAGTGGCAGCTGAAAAGGTGATTTTTTTCAAAACATATTCTATTATTTTTCATAAATGCGCTTTCTTCAAAGTTGGCTACAAATCTGAATGGTAAATTCCAACATTTGGATTGAGCTAAAAAAAAAAAAAACTAGAATTTTGAATTATTGGTACCTAAAATTTTCCATTATGTATGCATATTTATGTAAATTAAATTTTATATTTAAAATTTTGTAATGATGCATTTAGAAATTTCCTGATTTTTTCTTTATAAAATTTCAGGTCAAGGAAGTACCTGAGCCTGAACAAAAGCAAAAGGAGGAAAAGTCAAAGGAAGACAAGTCGAAGGACGCCAGCTCAATTTACGACATAATTGAAGAGCCAGAAGCTATTGCGCCACCTCCAGTAAGGGAGATTAGAGAAGAGACCAAGAGCAAGGAGGAGATTGCAAAGGAGAAGGAAAAACTGGACAAGGAAGTTGAGGACTTGCTAAACGAGACCGCCATGCCCTCCTTGCCGGAGCTACCAAGCCTACCAAACATTCCGTTGAAAAAGTCTGAAAATGAGCAGAAAGAGGATTTGGAGACGGAAGAGTCTTCTCCTGCTGCCACTCAAGTCACAGCTTCTCCAGCTGAGGCGAAACCTGCAGAGGCGGCCAAGACAAATGGGGAGGCAACGGGAACCACCGAGGAGGCGGCCACGGTCACCTCTTCAGAGGAAGCTGTCGATGCAAATACGGAAACGGCAACTTATGTTTTGGTGACAGTTGATGAAGGTGGTTTCCACCAACTGAGTGGGCTAGAGGGCATGGGCACTACCCTGTACATTGACCCTTCGCAGCTTACGGGCTCAGGTGCATCCCTGGACAATCTGTACCTAGCCATCGATGAGGGAAGCATGGCCCAACTTGACCAACAGCAGGTGAAATTCTGAAAAATTCTTTGATATCCAATTTAAGTTAAATTAAATTAATGCTCCGTAATGGATTAAATTTTAAGGGAAATACTTTTTAATTGTGCTTTTATTTCATACAATTTAAGTTCATTTTAATAAGTGGACCAATTCCCCAGTTGAGAGCTAAATTTTATTTTGAGCAAAATTAAGGTTTTTTTCAATTATCTCTTACTTTATTGAACTTAATTATGTTTAATTTCATTTTAAATTTTCCTAAAAAATACTTGATTTTTCCTCAGGTTGCTCTGCAAGTTGGAGGTGACATGGCCAAAACGACCCAGCAGGACATCTTGGCGGCCGCTCTGGCCAACACGCAGGTGCTGCACACGACGACTGCGTTGGACGCCCCCACCACCCAGGAGGCGGTGGTCAAGGTGACCAACACAACCCAAGCGCCGGTGATGACCCCGCGTGTGGCCGAGAGCATTTCGAATGTGGTGGTGCAAAGCAATGGTGCTGCGGACGCGGACAAGCCCGCCAGCTAAGAGCTCGGCCGCGCACAAACTATCTCATTGACGATAGTGACTTTTCTACATTGCAAAAATTTCATGAAGGACCTATGAGAGGGATTAATAACTTAGTTTGTGGCGAGGGTGAAGCGCCACTGCCATCGGGAGAGAAGGTGCATCATGGTCAGATTTCATAGCTGAAGAAGTGAATTCCCACGTTGGTTGATTGGTTTGTTGGTCGAGGACCGACAAGAATTAATTTTTTTTAAGAAAGTTTTTCTGTTACGCATCTATGTTGTAAATAGTGTTTGTTCTAAAAAAAAAATTACGGGCTTGGCAAGCCAGTCACGATTATTCTTAGATCCTATTTTTTGCAATCACAAGTCAATTCTGGTTGAGTTGCAAATTTTATCACTACTTTTTTTACTGGCCTGCCATTCCTGTTATTGAGTGAATCAATCGATACCTTTTTGGTTTATATACGAGTTTATTAGAGTGCTGCATATATTGTGTAATCAGTTAACGAAGACATTTTAATAATATTTAATTTTGTTTTCGGAGCTCATGACAATATTACTTTTTGCTTGTTTTTACTGCACAAATCGCTAAGGTAGTGTTATATCTTCTTTATGCTGCCGACTGATATCGTGGCTGCCTATTTCTCTTTTTGCAAGTAGTTTCTTTTAACAAGCCTCCGTTTCCACCAGTCAGCAAACATCACGAGTGTAAAACTATATTCGCACTGTTTTTTACACAATTTTTAGCTCAATGTGATAAAAGGCATTATTTCTGCAAATCCACAGCTTTTCTTACTTTCCATTAAAAAAAGCATATGTACATGTGGCAATTTTATATACTATTATTATTTTACTCTAGTCTGTCTGCTCTGATCGCCTCCTATTAATTGCACCAAACGAATACTTTTGCAAAAGGACATAGTAACTTATCATTTATTCAAAAGATAAAAAAAAACCTGAGCTTTGTACTCTTAAACCTGCTAACCCTGCCTTAGTAGTGAATCACTAAATTACGGATTTATGATTAAACTGCTTCTATACAAGATTGAGATATTTTGAAAGAAAAAAAAAATAATGAGGAAACTATTGAAAAATAATGCTGTTGTTTTTGCTGGAACGTAGAAAGATAAATTTGCCTTTTATGAGCCGGTGAAGATGGTGAAAATTTTCAACGTATAATTTAGAGTAGGAGTATATATAAATGATTATATATATTATCCAAAAATGAAATGTAAAATGTATCTGCGAATATTGAGATGTTTATAAAATAAAATGTCATAAACTTTGATATTAAGTATTTTACACATTTTTCGTATCACCATAAAAGAATGACAAGCATAAAGACACATAAAGATAGAAAAAAAGAATATTTCCTAAAACTTTTAATGTCCCTGTCTTTTTTTTTATGACATATAAAAATTAAATTGATTTAAGCCTTTATTGCAAATATTTTTAAGAAAATGTAAACAAATTTTAGTATTGAAAGATCTAACTCAAAGGCTGGGCATCCTAAAATTATGTTGGTACACGGCTGTCGTCAGAGCCATGGGGCCTTATGGCTCGGGCGGAAGACATCTTTTATTTTGGCCAACATAATAGAGCTGATGCGTGGCCTTTGATCTAACTGATGCTCTTATACAATTATTGAAAATTGAATGATGATTATAAACTTTATAATAGATATATCCATAAAAAGAAATTAACCATATAATTAACTGTAATATTTTTTTTATATTTTTCAAAATTTTCTGCAATATGTAGGTAAATCATTTGGTAAAAAATTTTCTTCTAAAATAAAACCTGTTGCAGATACAGATGCAAAGTAAACACAGAGGGGAGACAACGAAACAAGATTTCATCACAGGGGTGAGGGTGGCACTGCATTAAAATAGAAAAAAATAATGCACTGTGGTATCACATAGAGGGCCAGCACCGCCCGTCGTCTGTGCTACGCGCCATGCAAGTCACGTGACTCGTGCACGGGCGGGACAACAAGAGACCGGCAGCGCCGCCATCTTAGCGTGGGTCGAATTCCTGCTGCAGAAAGAAGCGATTAAAGTTCGGAGGAGCGCGCTGTCGGCAGGTGCAGTGGACACTAATCGTGCAATCAGACAGCAGACTTCCGAAGGATCAAGTTCTCAAGGATTAGTGTGAAAGAGGAAACATGTCGCAGAGGTCTAAGAAGGCGTCAACGCCGGCAAAGAGCTCGATGCCGGAGACTCCGTCCAGCAGCGGCCGTTCGGCCACCAGCCCTCTCAGTCCAACCCGCTACAACCGGCTGCAGGAGAAGGTTGAGCTGCAGAACTTGAATGACCGTCTGGCCGTGTACATTGACCGCGTCCGACAACTAGAGACGGAGAACTCGCGGCTCACCCGCGAAATTCAATCGTTCCAAGAAGTGTCCACGCGAGAGGTGACCGGCGTCAAGAACACCTATGAGAGGGAAATCAACGAGGCGCGTAGACAGCTGGACGAGACTTCCAAAGAGAAGTCTAGGCTGGAGATTGACTTCAAACGCATCTACGAGGAACTCATTGAACTCAAGGAAAAGTGAGTTTTTGTTACGCAGAATCGCACGCGTTGTGCAAAACCGGCCGGCACCGCGTTTTCCCTCTGCCAATTTTGGCGCAACCAAATTTAGGGGCCACGAATGCTTTCGGTTCGAAAGATTTTCATTAGAAAATGGTCAAAACGGTCTCAGGTTGGATGACTAAGACAGGTTTAATTGAAGTCATGCCCGTATTTTTGTTTGAGCAGCGAGGTGACGCTTAAAAGTGACGTCACCTCTCAAAAGGGGTGTGACGTGAGGTGAACTATGCGTGGGTGTTGTTGATTTTTATTATTATTGCCCTGTTATATTCGATTAACGCAATATGGTCATAATAACGCAAGAATACGTGGTTCACAATAAAAAACGGAAATGATCAAAAAAATATTGCATATTATGCAGTTCAATTAAAGATAGAAAATTTAAACTGCACTGCATTATAAACTGTTTTATAAAATTTTATAATATTTTTTTATTTTAAAAATTAACAGACTTTCTACTAAAACAATAATAATAAAAATTATTTTAGAACCCGTGCACAGATTTTAGACGATGTCTTTTTAATCTCCAGCCTTTTTAATACAAAATTTTCATTTATTTTTAAAAAAAATTTAGGTATATCAATTTAAATAGTACATATATTATTAGGTATAAATCGGTATAAATTATTAGTTTCAAAATAAATCTGGCCGTCTCTTCCATTAATTCGCATAACCAGCTTTTCTAATCCATGCTCTTTCTCGCCTTGACCTGAATCACCGCTGCCGCTGCTTTCGAGTCAATATTTGCTCATGAATGAAGCCGTTCGCGGAATTTGTGGGATGAGCCCTTGATTACCTTGTATGTGATAAGAGAAGGGTACAGTCTAGAATTCAAACTTCCCACACGTAACTTATTGTGATATTATTAATATTATTCATGTGATATGTATGAAAGCTTATTTTTATCCCTTTGGTTCTGAAGAATAATTCAATTTCCAGTAAAATCCTAAGTTTCCATTGCACATTTAAAGACAATTAGAATGTTGCAAGCATTTAAGACAAGGGGGCAAATACATCAATCATGATATATAATACAATTGCTTGCTTATAGCCATTTGGACATTTTTTTTTCAAAGATATAATTGTAATGATATTTAAAACTAATTGTATTTAAATTATATGCTTACTACTATTTTCTATGAAATCCACATGGAGATAAGTTTATAAATTTTTAAATTGGTTAAAAATTATCAGTCAAAATTTCCAGCAATCCAGCCATTTTTTCATTTCCACCAAACAAAATAAAAATTCCAGGAAACAATAATTTTTATAAGCCAACTATAATTACGCTTGACTTTTGATAGATAAGATCTCAAATGGTTAGCTTCACATCCGCCATATGTTTTCAAATTAAACTTTTCACCAAATTTTTATCCCTTTTTCCTGCCGAAGACTTAAACATATTTTAGTAAGTATTTAATAAATGGTGAAAAGTTGTTGCCGGAAGGCGAAAAAGTCGTGCCATCGCGGGTAGGCACCAGCACAATTTCCAAATCACCCCCAGCATCAAGCCCTAAAATAAAGTAACGGACAGATGCTGATTCGGGGCGGGGGAGACTGACACTTTTTTATTGCGAGCTTTTTAATTCTATTTCTCTACACGTGCATCTGTCTGTCTGCGTGAGTGAGAGTCCCACACACACAAATGAGCATTCCGAGTTGTGGTTAATTTGTTCAGCCGTGCAAAGCGTAGGGCTGAAGCTTCAAGCCATTGTTTTCGGCGGTGCTTATTTTACATCGGCTCTTCTGTCTCTCACGGCGAGGAAAGGATAGGGACAGAAAAGAGCCACTAATCGAATGGGACGTGGGGCGGAAGTGGCATATCATCAGCGTTAATTTTCAATTCTAATTTGACTAAAAGAATATTTTCAAATTTTTTAGAATTGATGTTAACCAGTTTTTTTTTCGGATGTTTAATTTTGCGGTTTTGCGATTCATTCACGCAGTAATGCTGTGGTAAAATACGTGACTGAACCGACGTTGATGGTGATTATTACGGACGCTCTTTCTTTGTTTGCGGGCCGCATTCCTGTTGGGCAAGCCACGCACCGTATTCATGGTGATCCAGCCAACCACTCCCAGCCTGGGAGAGAGATGCACCGCGGCGTCGCTTTTTTTATTTTATACTTTATTTTCTCTCCCTTTTTATAACACCTGCAGCGCTTTTCGGCTCTTGTTTATTTGAAAAAGTCCCGCTTCATCATAACAACATAAAAAGATAGTCTGATGCACTTTGGCCGCTGACAAGTTTCTTTTAGAGATCTGCAGTTAGTAAGCTTTTGAGTAGAAATTAAGTTTTTCTCATTCGTCTTAAAATAAAAAAGGTAGAAAAATTTAACTCCCATATAATGTTAACCTATTTTGTGCAGCGTCAAAAGCAAGCCGTTTTTATATCCTTCGATGATGTCATAGTTGCCGCATTTTGACGGTTGGAATAGAGAGAGAGAGAGAGAGAGAGATATTCGTTGAAATGCTCACGGCATAGCCTGAAGGCATAAGTAATAAATTATTCTTGGCTCTTTCGTCAAGCTTTTTTCTTTAACGGTTATAATGATTCTAACTTGCAAAAGTTTTTAATGGTAGATATAAATTTGTTTGACTTCAAATAAGTATAAATAACCAATAATTATCTCTATTTTAAAAAAAGATCAATTTTCAGAGACAAAAACAACATTTCTTTTGCTAATTTCCATATTAAACTAGGCATTTACATTGATATGTATAATGCATCTTCATGAGTTTAATCAGTGGTTATTTTGCATTAAGAGACCACACCTCGCAAACAAGGAAAGCAAAAATAGCTTGACAGTAAAAGTCGTTTATTTTCAAACCGACTCTAATGTGTTTGTGAAACCAGAAACGATGACAAGTGTGACATCCAAGATTTGAAAAGAAAGACTTGTGTTGTTGGTGCTTGCTAGCGAGTAATTTGCAAAAAAAAAAAATGAAAAGTTGCCGGCCGCAATGGTGTCTGGTTACACCTTTCATTGTAGACCACGTGCTTTTCACGCTCTTTTAACTCTCAATGAACTTGTGGAGGTATAAAAATATAAGCAAGCGCCATCAAGTCGCCACTTTTTGCATGGAATGACTGCGGGAAGGGCGTCTTGACGCGTCTTCTTCTAATTTCTCAAATTTGGTTGTGCCAGAATATATCTTTTATACAATGTAACAGAATAATTTTTAGATAATTTCAACTTATACCAAATTTTTCTCATTTGTGTCCAGGCATGAAAAGAAGTCCAAGGAATTTGATGCTGTTGAAAAGCAGGCGGCCATTTATGAGAAGAACTACAACGAGCTCACCGGCAAGTTCAATCAGGCTCAGTCCGAGCGCAAGAAGGCCCAGGATGATGCCAAAGAGCTGGCCAAAGAGAACGAGAAGCTTAAGAAGCTGTACGAAGCTCAGAGGAAGAATTTGGACGACGAGATGCTTGGAAGGGTTGAGGCAGAAAACCTATTGCAGTCAACCAAAGAATCTTTGGCGCTCAGTGAGCAGGTAAATTAATATTTAAACATTTGATAAATTCACTTAGAATAATTAAAATTCTAATTGTAATAGGGGAATAAATTTTAAAGCTGAATTTACTAGCGATTTAAAAGAAAAATGTGTAAAGTAAAGATGATTGACATTTCATATTTTATCATTCATTAAACTTACAAAATATAAATCATGTTGAAAGTGTGAATTGGACATATCATTGGTGTCGGCACATATATTTTCATTGATTCTTGTTGTCCAATCCACCTTTTAATATCTGTAAAGGGAAACATCTTTCAATAAGAAGATTGGCAAATAAAAGTTGCTGTTGTTTATTTGTCCACATCTCAAATTTAATTTTTTACATTAATATTGTCTTACATTCCTTAAGGCTTAAATTCAAGTTTCTGCTACCATTTAAATTTCAGATTCACCAGCAAGAGGTCAAGGAACTGAGAACTCGTCGTCAAGTCGAAATAACAGAAACAAGGTCCAGAATAGAAGAAGAGTACAACGCCCAACTTCAGCACTCATTGCAGGAGCTCAGAGAACAGTACGAGGCTCAGATGAGAGCAAACAGAGAAGATGTGGATGCTCTTTATGAAAAGAAGGTAGTTGTTGATTTTGGTTTGAACTATTATTAGGTGCTAAAAAAAACTGTGTTTCTAGATTGCTGACTTAAAGAACCAAATGCAAAAGACCAGCGGAGCTTCTGCTCAAGCCATGGAGGAGGCGCGCACATACAAAATGCAGCTGGACACTGTTGCTGGAAAGATCTCCAGCCTTGAAGCCAACAATGCTGCTTACCAAGTACTTATATTTTTAAATAAAACTTCTTGCAAATCAATGTTCTTTTCTTAGGCTCGCATTTCTGAACTGGAGCATCTGCTGAATGCTGAGAGAGAGCGGGGTGCTAACGAGAAACAAGCCCTTGAGGATGAAATCAGGCGTTTGCGGGACGAAGCAAGCAACATGCTTTCTGAATACCAGGACCTGATGGACATCAAGGTGGCTCTGGATCTTGAAATTGCTGCTTACCAAAAACTGATAGAATCTGAGGAAGCAAGGCAAATAAATAAATTGCTATAATTTCAGTATTTAATTTTCCCCCTCAAAGATTGAACATTACACCAATGGCATCTCCAAACCTGAGCCGGCAGCAGGCCCGTTTTACTCCCAGCCGTGGCACACCTGTTCGTGGAGGAAAACGAAAGAGAACTATGATGGAGTCCGAGGAGCTGGACGAGTATGACACCAAAGCCTCGGCCACTGGGGACGTCGAGTTCATTGACGTTTGCCCTCAGGGCAGATATGTGAAGCTGAGAAACAAAGGAAACAAAGTAAGTTCATCTAGATAACTTTCAAGGCAATTCCAAAACTATGTAAAAAAAACTTCCAGTTAGGAGGCTTTGATGTTAAATGGAATTGAAATTTTTTTCTTGTAGGAAGTTTCTCTGAGTGGATGCAGCCTGAGTAGGACAGCAGGAGAACATGACACAGTCTTCAAGTTCCACAGGTCGGTGAAGATGGAGCCTGGTGCAGTTGTCACCATTTGGTCTTCCGACCAGGGTCAGGCGCACGAGCCACCAGCCAACATTGTCATGAAAGGTCAGACGTTTTTCCATGGACCTGAGATGGCAACAGTTCTGTTTGGCAACGATGGAATTGAAATGGCCAGGTTGGAGCAGGTCAGAGTGAGGAGTTCAACTGCGTCAACGCGCCATGGAGAATTCCCCGTAAGCAGATTTTTAAGACAAATTCCTGAACATAATATCGTATTTTTTATTTACTCTTGTTTATTGTTTTGTTCGCAGGAAAATGGGCATGGCAGAGAAGATCGCTGCAGCATCATGTAAATGAGAACAACTCTCCCAGTATTCCCATAAGTGTCATCATATTTATTACGAACAACCAACATTCACAAATGATACTGCAGAGAGAACTTTGAATCATATTAAAAATCGATCTACTGCCACATTTTAAACTTCTACAAGTGACACTGGGCTACTCAGAACACATCAAGTGTTTTTGACTACACACCTGAGAATAGAATTCATCCTGTTGGGTGCTCCGTAGAAGTATTATCTTTATTCACAGTGCGCCACTGCACTTTTTACTACTTCAATTTTAGCTGTAGCATCACAAATGCTTGTGGCGAGTAAATGAGAAGATGTTTTTTATATTGATTTTGAGAGTATGAGTGCTGACAGCCATTGATTTCATATGCAGTCTACTTGTCAGCTTCTGCAAGAGATACTTGAAGTTGATCTATAATTTTGACTTGGTGGTAAAAAAAAAAGTTAATTACTGCAACATAACTTTCAGAAAATTTGTCAAATTGAGAAGCCTTTGTACTCTTTGTAGCAAGCAAATTAAATTTGTATTATAACGTTGGCAGAGAAGCTTTAAAAACAGGGAAGCTGGAGAGCTCAGAAAAGGGATGTTGGACAAAGTTTTAATCAAAGTGAATCAAAGTGTTACTGAAATTAATGACTGTTGCCTGCCCACAAAAGGGCGCTGAAAGTACTAAGTTTCATCATTAAATAATAAAAGGATTCAGTCTGCTTAACATTTTATTTGAGCTGATTGGGATTTAAATTAACATGGTTAAAAAACACATTGCTGGTGGAGAGGGCACTTATAAATAAATACATGCATGGTGTTGAAGAGAACTGCGTGAACGAAAAGGAGGTCTCCTGTGCATAATATTATGTTTCGGACACTACCCAGATGAAGTCTCTGCCTGTTTTGAATTAAATATATTTTGATAATAGTTATGTTATAGAGAAACTAATTAAAATGAGAAATTCTGTATGTTGTAGGTTAAAATAACATTGGCAATAAAAAATTATTTCAATAGAAAATACTCTTTTGTGTCGCTATAATATGATATAATCATTAACTCAAAATTAAAATTTTAAGCAATGATTTTGTTCTTCGATATAATAATGATTTATAAAAATAAATACGACGGAAGTATTCATTTTTTTAGCTCAATTAAGGTCCGGTAATCAGAAAATTTATATCATTGCTGAGCTCTCTGATAGGGTGCTACTTGTACCTAATCAGAGAGCTCATAAAACAATAAAAATTTTCATCATTGCTGATGTGCGGACGTTGGGCTCAACATATTTATTTTTTATAAATTTATAGCACAATTCATTTATTGCTTTTTTCTTTACGTATGAAAAGATTAACATTTTAAATGAAAGGAATACATTTTATTAAATTCAATCCAAAATATTGTTTATAGAAAATTTTTGTTCAATTTTCATATTCGGACAGTTCATTGAATATCGATGGATATTCAAAAACAAATTTTTATATTTTCAGTCGAATCTCTGCTGTACGTATTAAATAGGAAATATTATTCAAAAAATTTGATTTGTTCTCAATCGTCATTTCAATTTATTTTAACATACATTATATTATCACAATAAATGGAACGTTAAGTATGATGGGTAATATAATGATAATTTGATTAAAATGATTAATAAATAATTTGAAATTTGACTTTTACGTATACATAAAATTCAAAATATATTTTACTATATTTATAAATATATATGAAAATATGTAAAATACAATTTACAAATTATACATAAATGTATTTCAAAATAACAATTTATTCATAATTAGAACATATAACAAATAAGTTGATATTAAAAGATCTGACAGGATTTGCAGCGCTCTTTCATACAACAAAACAATATTAAAGAATTGTAAAATTAAAATAATGTTCAAATTGGTAAAAATGGCGCTAGAAGTTTCAAATAAAATTAGCTCGTCCAATCGGATCGCCCCGTTCGGTTCTTACTGTCGATCGAAAGTAAACAAACACCAAAATCGTCTACACTACACCTTCCCAGACAACAGGAAAATCAAGGGAAATTTTTAGTTCTACAATCTTGGGGGGATTCCCTTCTACTGGTTTCGTAAAATATCTTTTCAGAATCTAAGTATGATAACTCACAAACAATTCTTCGATATTGAGTTATTTTGAACCAAAAATTCAATCTAATAACGCTTTCATAAATTGCTGCAGAATGCAGTCCGACGACGCTCGTTATTTAAAGAGGCAAGTTTCGTTATGCCTATAATTGCTAACTTTTCTTTTTAAGCTTATTCTCTATTAATAATAGCCCGTGCAGTGTTTAATTCTAATAAATTTCTTGCAGAAAGGTGAAGGCAGGTCGATTGGATGTTCATCCGACTGAGCAAGCGCTTGTCGTCCACTACGAACTGGAGGCCGCGATCTTAGGAGAGGGCATGTCCACCGTTTTGTCAGATAAAAAGGTCCATAAATTTATAGTTTTAATTGCAATTTATGTAATATTGTATCATCAAAATGTAGGAGTGTCAAAAGATTATCAGGCTGAAGAGTCTCCACTCTAATACAGACATTGCTGCCCTCGCAGAGGAAGTGGTAGAAAAATGCAGTTTGATCCACAAGAGCAAACTGCCAGAGGTCGAGCAGCTCATATACTACCTTCAAAATCGCCGAAAGGAAGCTGGTGGCTCTTCAGTGGCTAAAGAACGTCCTCAGACAGCCTTTGCCACTGAAGTGCTCAACGTATCCAACCTTTCCAGCCCCGACGGCACCTTGGAAGTGGCTAGTTTGGCCAAACTGGAGGACTATGTTGACCTGCTCTACGAAAATATTCCAGAAAAGGTGAAAAATTGAGAAGCATCATTCGCAGCAAATAATTTGAGTAATTTCAATTAGATAAGAGGATCATCTTTAATTTTACAACTGGCTCGAAATCCTGACAATCTTCAGGAGCTCTCCACAAATGGTAGGTTTTTTTTCTTATTATTAAGAGCTTAATTTTTCAAATTGTTTATCCTTATTTTAGAGAGAATTTTGGGAGCTCTGGCCCGAGTTTTGAGAGAGGATTGGAAACAAAGTTTGGATTTGAGCACAAACATCGTCTACGTCTTTTTCTGCTTTTCAACCTTCTCCGTTTTCCACCCAGTCATAATACAGCACAAAGTAAATTTTTGTATTTCTTTAAGAAATTTATTTAAGCTTCTCATTTTTCTAAAGATGGGTTCACTGTGCATGGAGCTTATTGACTACGAGTTACGTCGACATGATCAGTGGACTGATGAGCTCGAACAGAGGCGACGCCAGTCACAAAATGAAGCTGCGAGTCCCTCTGAGGAGACCAAAAAGAAAGCATTGGCAGATTTTGAGAGATCTGCCAGAAAGTTTGCTCTGTTGACCAAAAAGCAAGACCAGCTTTTGCGAGTAGCATTTTATCTGCTATTAAACATTGCAGAAGACACAAGGTAAAAAAAAACATCCACATTTTGAAGTTTGCACTAAACCCTTCCTTTCAGACTGGAGGATAAAATGAGGAGGAAAAATATTGTTGGAATGCTTGTGAAAGCTTTAGACAGAGATAACACCGATTTACTCCTTCTGATTGTCACCTTTTTGAAGAAGTTGTCTGTATTTCGAGAAAACAAGGACGATATGGTAAATATCTCATTTTATTTTGCAATTTTTATTGTAATCTTTAAAATTTAAAGGCTGATATGAATGTTGTTGAGAAACTGCCTGCCCTTGTTACGTCTTCGAACTCGGATCTCGCCCATGTTGCTATGAAATTGCTTTTCAATATTTCCTTTGACCCTGAGCTGAGGTCCAGAATGGTGCGAGTAGGACTACTTCCTAAGTTGGTCCACCTATTAGGTTGTGATTTAAAGTTTTGAATCGTCCTTTACTAAATTTTTTATACTTAATTTAGATGACCCAAAGCACAAGTCAGTTGTTTTGGGAATTCTGTACCACCTGAGCATGGACGACCGGGTCAAGTCGATGTTCACCTACACCGACTGCATTCCACTTATTTTAAAAATGATCATGGAGTGTACAGAGGATAAAGTACCTCTAGAGATGGTGGCAGTCGCCATCAACCTTGCCTTGAACAAGAGAAACGCGCAGCTGATGTGCGAGGGTCCGAGACTTAAAACCCTGATGCAAAGAGCATTTCACTATCAAGACCCACTTCTGATGAAGTGTCTTCGAAATATTGCCCAACATCCTGGCCAAACTAAAATTTTATTTGTGGTAAGATTTACAGTAAATAGTACTTCTTCTTAATAAATTAAAAAATTAAGGAATTCATCGGCGATTTAGCACAAGCGATACAAGCTGCAGAGTGTGAAGAGTTTGTGGTCGAGTGCCTCGGAGTGATGGGCAATCTGGCTGTTGACAACATGGATTGGGAAAGACTGATGAAAGAATATAAACTGATTCCGTGGCTTCGATCTCATTTGGTGTCTGGTATTTTATAAAAATCCAGTGCTGATTCAAGGCATGAAATTTTAATTTATGCTTCATAGGGAGGTCTGAAGACGATTTGGTGCTTGAAATAGTGGTGCTTTTGGGAACAACTGCCATGGATGAGGCTTGTGCTAATCTTTTATGTAAAGCGGAAGTTCTGCAGGACTTGATCGAGCTATTGAAAGGTTTACAATTTTGTGCTGCAATATTTCTGAACTGTTATATTTAATTTTTCATTGTTGTTAAAACAGCCAAACAGGAGGATGATGAAGTTGTTTTGCAAATCATTTTTGTCTTTTTCCAACTCTGCAAGCACCCAGCATCTATGGACTACCTTATACAAGAAACAGGTATGTCAAATGGAAATCAGGGTAAATTTTATACAAACTATTATATTACAGAGGCAGCAGCTTACTTAATTGATCTGATGCATGATAAGAATGCTGAAATTAGAAGAGTTTGTGACAACACTCTTGATATTATTGGGGTTCGTATTATCATTTTAAGAAAAAAATCTTGTTCAATTTACAGTAATTTATCTAATTTTCCCTGCAGACTCATTATCCTGACTGGGCAAAACGAATTCAGCTGGAGAAATTTCGGTTCCATAATTCCCAGTGGCTAGAAATGGTCAAAAATCAGCAGGCAATGGATGCAGCCGCCGCAGCAGAGGGTGAAGACCAAATGCCATATTACGGAGATGACCTCTATGGTCCGTCTTGCCTCTACCAACCAGGTATTTTAATTAATCTAATTTAATTCACAGTAATTGAATTTTATTATTAATAGACACTATGGACGACTTTGATTTTGCAACAAGTTCTGAGAATTCTAGTCGAGCCTCTAGTCGGCCAAGGAGCAGGTAAAATTTTTGTGTTTTTAAATTTGTCCTTGTTTATTTATTTTAAATAAATTATAATAAACTCTGAAATTGCTTTCCTCTCTCTGCGATTACATGCAGCTATGGACAAGATTTGGAGGGTTTCATGGATGCCATGGGACGACCATTGGTCCCAGGCTCTAAACAATTGGACGACTTAAACAAAAAGTTAGGTGTTTTGAAAATGCAACAGCAGTAAGGGTTTACCATTTTAAAGTCATAAATCGTTCTATCTGTCTAATTTATTTTCAAAACAATCTTAAGTAAAGCTACTTACAAAATATTTAAGCAAGGTCTTGGAAAGAAAAATCACATTTAGTCTAACAATTTGCTGACATAACCAGGCGAAAAGCATGTGAGTGCAGCAAATTAATTTGGATGGAAGCGCCTGGATTTGCATAAACATATAAAATATAGTGCTTACTGCTTGTATCACTGCACATGATTACGATTGTTGCCCGTCTTCACAATAAGCAAATTAGCTTTGCTCTTCTGCATTTCAAACATAGCCATGTTTTGCTCGTAAAACCACTTCTTGCCATACTCAAAAGTAGCAATCATAATGGCACATGCCGGCGCCACCTTCACTAGCCTTGGAACCAATCCCGTAAATAGCCCAGAAACACCACTCTGGCTGTAAATCTTTTTGATCACTTTCATTGTTGAATTTCGGCCGTTCACTGTCTTCGGGGGATCTGTAGATGTAAATTAATTAAATGTCGAAATACAAACTCAAACTCAAAATCATAATCTTTCTTACTGGAATAAATCTGCTTTTCACCTAGCTCAATCTGTTGGTGCGTTTTAACCACGTCAAATGGCAAAGTGATTATAGCTGCAACCTGTGAAAAGAAGGCGAAGTGTAAAAAAGAGATTTAGATATATTTTTAAAGTCCAACTAACCGAGCCGGAAAGTGCTCCAGCGAGGAGACTGAACTGAAACGTCGGCACTGGTTGGTTAAATTTTGACTTCAGGGTTTCGTAATTCAGCCAATAGAGTGCTGAAGCATGTGAGAAATAAAATCATGTAGTTTAAACAATTATGAAAAAAAAAATGTTGGATCAAACCTGAAAATGGGACATCGCGGAGAAGGGTGGCGCCAAGACCTTTCCACAACCCAGTGACTCCTTGCTGCTGCATCAAATTGCCAAGAGCCCTACCTCCTTCTAAGTAGCTCATCTTCTGCGCCTGCATCCTTGTTCTCAACATTTCCAGCGGACTCACAATGCTGGCTGCCCAGACTCGGGCCATCCCGCCAGAGACAGGCGCTACCCAAAGTGGCTGCTGTGCCAAACCGTCGCCCGGTTTGGCAACGTAGGCGCGCAGCCTATTTCTTATCTGCTCGTAGGTCACAAAGTAAATCACCGTTGCTGGAAGTGCCAAGATCAAGGTAGGGCCGAGACCACTCCAGAGGGTCGACGGACCTTCAAATCTAGAAATCTTCACAAAAGCGTCCTGAATAATCATAAAATTAAATTGAAAAAGAAAATCATAAAAATAATCCTAGAGAGTTTACTAGGGTTCCGTTGAAATGGGTAGGTTTCTTGAGCATGGCAGCAACAGAAGAGGGGCCTTGTCCGTTTCCATTACAAGGGCAAAGGTGGTCCATTAGCCCATTACAATAAAGATAACACTTGTTCGACAACAGGGCCTTTTGTTGCGCTTGAAGACGAGTTTTTACAACGTCCAGAGGAGTGACTGAAATATTTTCCAGGGTTTATTTAATATAATGATTTAATTTATTTCTTGATTATGTATTTTTATACCAATACACGAAGTTATCAATGCGCCACTAGTTGACGCTGCCATTTGCTGCAGGGGGGTGATTCGGAATCTTGGGTCGTCCTGCTCCATTTTTCACCTTGGACTTCAATAAAATGGTCTGCAATAAAGATAAAAAAAATATTTAATAAGCATTTTACCTTTTCCAGCAGAGAGCCATTTTGGGCATCAATTTTTGCCGCATTAAAACTTGTTTTTCAAAGAAATTTAGCATCGAAGGGTGAAAATTGACAAGTAAGTACCTTATGGTTAAAATTAATCAGCAACCCTGCCGTAACTCCACATTATGTAACATTTCAATAATAAAAATTTGCAGAGCATGAACTTGAAGCTCTCAAAGCTCGCATGTTTGGTTTCTCGTTCCTCTCATTTGTTTTGGGTTTTGGGGTTTACGTGTGGCTGCCGGTGGAGGCGCTGTCGGCGCGCCACACGTGACCGACTGCCATCTAGAAGTGGGAGGGTCGAACGACGACGAACTGCTGACTTGCTGAGCGAAAAAGTTGGCTGGCGAACCACGGACTGCTGAGTTTCTGGCTGGTGCTCGTTCAGTTTGTAAACACGGTGTCCCGACTTTTGCGGACACTCAACCACGGAGGCCGTCCGTCCGAATGCCGGTTGGCGCTCGACTGCAGCTTCACTGAACCACCGAGAGCGACCTACGAAAAGCTGAATTCAGGTGAGGTGTCCGAACGAGAAAATTGGCCGACGTGAGCGCGCAGAAAGTCTGCAATGGCTGTCAATTCAAGTCAGAGCCTCGGGTGGCCACGGAGGTCGTCGTCCGAGCCCCCGTGAGCTGGGGCCCTTTCTCCTCGAGAAACCCTGAATTCGCAGTAAACCGAGATCTGAACCCTTCGAGACTTTTCTGGTCTCGATTTTTCCCTAATGATCTCTTTCTTTCCAGTCTAAATCGTGACCTTGCCTGGTGGGACCGCGAGAACCAAGTTGCCAAATCGTGCTTTTAACCGTCCGAAGTTAAGCAGGGTCGTTTCCGATGAGCGGCCTTGGTCGGAATTCGGAAGGCTGACCGCTCTTTTCACACCTCTTGAGTGCTCGTGCCAGCGTTAATTGCGCACTAAAATTGATTTTTATAGATCGTTACAGATTTGCTGATCGAACATTCAAACTTTCACGCTCAACAGGGGGTTAAAGTACAAAGATTTTTTTTGTCTGCATCTCTTTTAAAGTACCTTGATTCATAGCCGTCGGGTAAAGTTATTTCGTTGATTGAGTGGTGTTTGTCATTAAATTAATCATACAAATTCATTATCATGGTTTTGCAACTTCGGTCATTAATTTACTGCTGGCTGATGTTACGTCATGAAAAATTATCACTGATCAAATCCGAAGAACTTGCTTTTACTTCGAACATATCTTTTGATGCCGGGTGTTTTATCAAACGTGCTCTTTACTTTTCCAAATTTTAGTAAATTAAGAAATAATAACTTCTGACTTGGACATCTTTTAGGAAATTTCTAAATTAAGACTTGGACCTCTTTTTTTATTACGTAAGATGATTGTAAGTCTTGAAACAATGCCAGATATTTTTTCAAAACATTGAGCAGAACGTGTAATATTGCATCTTGCTCTTCACAATAGCCATTTTCCTCAACAGAAGATTAGTTTCAGTCCGTTAAAGTATTTAGTGATCTATAAGATCTATTTGAGAAATTTGCAAGTCTTTGTACCAAAATTATCCTCCGACTGCATTCGTTTATCTTATATTTGGAACAAAAACAATTATGATTTTACAATTTAAAAACGATGAATACTGCCTAAAATGGTCTACAAAGTAGTGAGAAAATGTCGCTCCATCAGATTGCAACAAATTTTTGAAAATTATCTCTCTGTTTCGTAAGGCAAATGAATTATCTTTCTGGCCGTATTTTAAAATTTAAACCATTATTAAATGTAATTTATTAAATATTCACTATATTAAAATGTAATCTAGCAATGAATTTTTTCATTCATAATTAGCTTTAAAAAAATGTTGAAAAATTAAAACATATAAATCAAGATTGACGTCAGTTAGCGGTGATAATTAAGGTCCATTTATTAAAATATGTCAAGCGGAATCCAAATGCGTTCTGGGTTTTTCGTGATCGTGCCCCAATTACATGTCAAGTTTGCAGATTGACGCAAACCTGCCATTCTCACACAAACAAATAACAAATTAGCTTGATGAATAATATATTAATATTTTCTTGCAGGCATCATAGACAATGAGCCGAGTTCGTGGTGGCCTTGTGTTCGCCCGTAGATATGTAGCAGCCAGAAAGATCTCTCCGATAGGTAAGATTCAACTCAAGCTTTAGCAATATTTACTTGCATAATATGTCTCTTATGCTCTCATGCATGTGTAATTACCGCGATTTGCTTGCCTTTTCAACCAGGGTCGCGCAACTTTCTCAATTACGATTTTCTCGTCTTGATACCTCATTGCCCTCTTAATCGACCAACTTATTTAAATGAATTTTCTCTCATGAAATAAATTGCATAATTGCAATTAGTTGTAAGTTAAGTCAAAATTTATGGGGATATTTTGTTTATTAAAATCTAGTTTAATTCAATTCATTATATAAGAAACTGAAAGAAGAAATTGTCACTCAAGATGATCATTGAAGTGAAGAGATGGAGCTGTTCCTTTTTATAAAAATTGCTTTTATTCAAAAACATAAAACGGCTCTTTTTCTTGCTATTAATTAATTAAGCTGATTTTTAATAAATCACTGAATTATATTTAAAAGGTTAATTAATCAATTAACTTTATGGACCCTGAAAGTTTCCGGCTTTCAACACTGATCACCTGTGGTTTATGCTTAAAGCGTTTAATTCAAATTTATTAAAAAGTTCTCTCATTGATGCAATCTCATTTATCCTACTTCTTAACGATTCAGTTTAAAAAATCTAAGCAAACAAAATAATTGTCGGAAATGGGCGTGTGTGGAGTTCGAAGCGAGTTTGACTGAGCTGGTTTTGCAAGAAGTGGAATAATCATTCGTATTTGCCGCTGATAAGCGATCGCAGCCATAGTTTTGAACCAAACAAACATGAAGAAACGTTCCCATTTTTGCTAGCAAAATGTTGGTCTTATTGTTATAAAAGTAAAGGCTTGTTTTGAAGTTTGTTTGTCCGCTGGCTTTGAATTTGATTTATTTATTTTTAGACACTATGATGGCCGCATTTGTTGTGATTTTTTTTTATCAAGTATCTCGCTCCCCATTGCGGATCTGAGCTGTCACAAAAACGAACCAATTAGAGAATATAAACAAAACAATTGCTCTCAATTGATTAAATGCTAAATTAGCACCATGTCTGGGATTAATTTATTCGACGTAAAATTAATTGGGCAAATAAATTTCGATTTTATAAATTCATTGCAGTACTTTTTTTCTTTCAAAATTGAATAAATAAGCCTAAATGCGTGATAAAGTTGATAAAAATTTGAAAAATTGAATGTTAAGCTCAGTTGCAATTAACCAATTGTATTTTTGGAACATATTTTATTTTTGGTACCTTGACAAACAAACGATTAAAATTTGATTAGAATAAGCAATTTCAGTTGAAGTTTGTCAGTTAAATAAACAATGACTTAGTAGAATAAACAACAACAAACATACAGGATCATGAAGAATTAAAAATTGCAAGTTTTGTTTTGCTAATATATTTAATTGCAAAGTGAATTTAAGTTTAAAAACATTTAACTGCGTTCTTTACTTTTTTTTAACAATTTTTAGTTAAATTCTCATTACTTTTGCAAACTGTGGGAATAATGACGCAAACTTTTTAACAAGCCCGCCAAAGAAAATTCGCTAATTAACATTGACGCTAAAATTTGCGGCAGTAGAAAAGAACTCGCGCATCTGAGGCGCCCTTGGAGAAAAACAAACACCCCTGGCACCCAGTGACCCAAATCGAACTTCTCTCTTGCCGCCTGTCCTAGTGCCAACGCTGCTACTGTCGCATCAGCAATAACTGTCCGTGCGCTGTCCTAGATTATAATAACTATCGTGCAATAGAACAGTACATACTCGTGGACGCGCAAGGAAAAAATAATTCATCACCCCGGCGGCGTCGGCGCCAACAAATAAAAACCAAGTAGTGTCCATTATGCAACGGCCGCTCTCACTTTCTAACGCACACGCCGCTCTGTTTGCTCACACTCTGCTGTATTCTTGACCTAGGCCATCGCCACCGCCTGTTGAATTTGTTCAAATGGTTGCAAGGCCAAAAAACCACAGATCCGCCTAAAGATGTTGGTTGTTTTTTTGGTTAAAATTGTTTTAGTGATTGGTGCGGTTGGACGTACTATTTTCTTTCTTTCTACAAAATTCGATTTTCTAGCTGGAGGAAGCTGTTTTGAAATTTGATTTGATCTTTGAAAGCAACTAGGTCATGAACGACTGGAGATTAAATGACAGCTACTTAAATGAAATATACTTAAATTTCATTATAATGTTATGATTCATTTGTTGTCAATAAAGATGGCGTCGTCTGTGAGAAGTGAGAAGCCAGTATCATAAAAGATTATTATAAAAATAAGGAGTTTTCTATTAACGTATGCTAAGTAATTTAATACGATTAGATTGTAAATCCGTGTTTTTAAATTAGAGTTTTGTCTTAAAAAAAGGAAATATGATTAATGATAAATGAAAAATGATTATGATTTAAAGAGACAAAAATTTTGGATAATATTAATCAATCTTGCTGTGAATATAAAAAATCTTAATTATTTTACATGAAAATTCGCTGATTTTTTATGGAGCCACACTACATTTTAATTACTCTTCAATCCAGTTTTCTCTGCACTGATTTAAGGGTGTTACAAATGAATATCACATAAATTAGTATTGCATACCTAATTAAATTATGATTGTTTAAATGTCACCTGACTATTTGCTTCTACATCCACAGTCATACGCATTTTGACGTCTTAGAGAAAGATGGTTAGCTCAGCGATCATGAAAGCAGCTCAGCAGTTTGCAAACAATCGGAAAGTGTGAATCGTTGGATGATTGAGCACTTTTCACGACTGTCTATTCGCTTCCACGTTTGCTTCAACGTTTCAAGTGTGGCTATTAAAAAATCCTTTGTCTGCAGTCACGTACATACCTAACCCTCTAAGAAATTTGCACGCATCAACAGATTGAAATCATGTATTCATATTAGACTATTTTTTCCATCAATATTTGACCGATAAACCTAAAATCGCAGTGAACACTATTTACACTCATTTTTGCTTATTAAACAACTGAATGAATGGATAAATTGAAACAAAAAATGATAAAATTAAAGAAACTCAGGAAACTGCAACAATTCTATTTATAAAGTTTGTTTCTAAATCTCAACTTTTGTATGAGATTAAGCATTAAAATTTCAGTTCCTTGAGCTTAACATGGTAGATGGTAGTTGAAAAATTGGCTAAATTGATTTTTTGATGATGAACTATAGAAATTAACTTTCTAAACAATATAAAATTTAAAAAAATCGTAATTTGTCAAATAATTTAATAATCAACGATTTTTTTTTATTTGAAGAGATTAAAAAAAACCTTGGTTTGATTGTGTTAGATTTCAGACCCCCACGCGGACATGTGAATTGTGCTCACGTGCGACGGGCATCGTTTCTAAAGTGTCAACTGCATGCACGCAGCTCGTGAAAATCAAGTCCCATAATTGACCATTCATTCGCTTGAGCGTCCGAGAGTGGTTGCTTAATTTACTGAACACGACTTACGTATAGTCATACCCGAGCACAGCTCTCGGTGCGTGCTGCTGTGGTTTTATTGTCGTTATGCCAGCAGTGTGTCATAAATAAATTCAGCTTAGCGCAACCGGCGATGAACGGACGAGATTTTCAAGTGTGTGCAGCCAGTTGCATTAGATATCAATTGGAAAGTGCACTCGGCTAAAATGTAATCGGCGGTGCCTGCGCGGAAACTCAATGAAGGGAAGATTGTGGGCCGCGCCCCGCGCCTCTTGCAAACAGACCCTGCCGATTTCTCGCTCATTTAGTTAATTGAGGCGCTCGGTGAATTTAAATTTGTGAAAAGGTGTCTCATTAATCTTTGACAGCGGCAGAACAAGTGCGAATAAATTACGACCCGCGATTATCGTTATTATAACGGATGGTGTTTTTTCCTCGGTACTAATACTTCATTATGATGGTGTTGCAAAAAAAAAGAAAGAAAAAAAAACAGCAGGGGCGTAACGGTCTGACCGAATAATGTATATTTTGACAACAACCGCGGCTACTTTCTTTTTCAAAAGAGAAGTGCTGTTGAATTGAAGTATCTCAATAGGGCTGTGATAAAAGGAGCGTTTGATTTGTATCCTTTAAGCCTGTCAATTCGTCGATTTTAGACTTTCTGCATAAGTTTTTTGCAGTTCCATAAAGAGTTGCAATATTTACCTCTTTCCCTAGACTTTAGAAAGTAATTGGGAAATAATAAATTTTTATAACTTTTATTATCATCTCTGTAAGAAAATAAATTTTAATGAGATTTAATGTAAAAAGATACAATTATTTTCCATAAATTTCAGGACAGGTTAATTAAAAGCGTCACAATCGTTCTGATTTATTCACATGATCAATGTTATAAAAGTCTTATTTAGTGACAAATTTGAACAGTTTGTTATACAATGAAGTTTTTATCAGCGGTAGTTTTATTACATTATTAAAAAATCACTTTCCCACTGCATAATAATAGCAAATTGCTTCATCCCCCGCTGCGTTGATCAAACCACTCGTCGTTGTTGCTCCGGTCACATCCCGACGCACAATGCAGTATTAGAAAGTGCCCATAATTGGCGTAAAATCAAGCTGCGTCATTAAAAAGCAATTTTGTCAAGTGTGGAAATACGCAGGCCCGCATTGTGTGTGAGGCTCAAATTTTTTGCCCAAATTGCTTTTCTACGGAATGTTTTTGCCAACTTGCAGCATCAGCGCCTAAAAGTTTACTAACAAGATGAGTCAACATTAATATTAGCGTGCATCACAGATTAATAGAAGTTCGTGAGAGCTGTTTTGAACCGACGGTAATGAATCGTGGATAATGTTGTTTTGGCTTCTGGAACCTTAATTATGTCTAATCTTCAAGGCTTCTTTACTTAAAAGTAGTGCGAGTTTGGCAATGAGGTATTTTTTTTTTGGTCAAGTAAAAAATCAAGATGTGTATAAATGTGGACGATATTATCATCAAAATAGTTCCAAAAATTACATGCATTGCATAAAAAGAATCTGCCGTTTATTTAAAAAACTTTGATTTAAAATTTGATATTTATTTTTTAACAAAAAAAAAAAAAATCACTCTTAATTTCAGGTGGCGTAGTGTGTTTAACATCATGGTCAGGGCTAGGAACGAATGGCCTATCTCCGCAAAGAGTTCTGGTTGCAACTGTTCACACGTCCTGCCCAGCCTCGTGTTCAGCACCCACCGACCAGCCGCCAACGACCCCGACCGTGCCCCCACCGTCCTCGGCGGCGCCAGGCAGCAAAAGCCCAGAAATTGGCAAGAAGAGGGTTGGCGGAGACGGCAAAGGCACCTCCGGCGGAAAGGATGGAGGAAATCAGCTGTGCTGTCCGAAGTGTGGCGACCCTTGCACCCATGTTGAGACTTTTGTCTGTAAGTAGAGACAAACTAAATTGTTTCCATTAAAAGTAAATGAGTTATTGTTAGATATCTCCATTTAATTGGAAAAAGAGTATTTAATTTTTTTATGAATAAAAATTTGTTTAAATTCATAAAATTTTTGCTCTGTTCGGAATCATGTTTCTAAATGTCATACCTAAATGTGATATATCTTTAAGAAACCAGAGACCGGAAGAGCCATTTTGCTTTAAAGTTCAGTATGAAAGCTGCAACCTTCCAGAAACACTCAAATTTTATATTTGGATGAATTTGCATAACTATTAATGGAGAAACCTCTTTAAAAATGATATTATTATGATTTTTGCGTGTTTTAGCATCTACGAGATTCGTCAAGTGCGAAAAGTGCCACCACTTCTTTGTGGTTTTGTCAGAAATGGACTCGAAGAAAAGTCTGAAAGATCAAACTAGGGTCGCTGAGGAGCCGAAAATTGGACCGCTAAGGAAGCCACCTCCTCCACCCAAAAAGGTACACTAATGTTCAATCAAGATTTTCATCATTTCATTCCAAAAATTTCCTTTTATAGATCTTTGAGTACCTAAACAAGCATGTAATAGGCCAAGAACAAGCCAAAAAAGTACTCTCCGTCGCAGTGTACAACCACTACAAACGAATTCACAACAATTTGCCACCACCTGGCCGTGCCGACAACAACACTCACCATGACACTTCCTCTCAGTCATTCTCTCAGCGAGGTAGTTGCATTTAACAATTCATTTTGTTTATTTAACCATTGGACTTTAGATTTACTGCACATCAGTGGCCTTGGTCTAGGAGTTGGTTTTAATCCTCCAGCCCCTCAGGACGACGCTTCGAGGCGCGGCAATGCCCACAGCAACACAAGTGGTAGTGATTTGTTGGACTCGAGCAGCCATGAGTTGCGCCTAGAGAAAAGCAACATTCTTCTCCTTGGACCTACTGGATCAGGTGGGACATATTTTCATTTAAATAACGTCACATTGAAAATTCAAACAAATGTTTAACAAAATCTATTTGTATCACTTTCAGGAAAAACATTACTAGCACAAACTATTGCTCAATGCTTAGATGTGCCGTTTGCTATTTGTGACTGCACAACTTTGACGCAGGCTGGTTATGTGGGCGAAGACATTGAAAGTGTGATTGCGAAGTTGCTGCAGGATGCCAACTATAGCGTCGATAGAGCTCAAATGGGTATGTAGATCATTGACCTTTTTGTTTTGTTGTTGCGGCAGATTGAAGTTCCCATAACGGATTGCATAGATTACTACATTCTTTCTCAAGCAAAAACTCCTAAATTCTTATGATAATTATAAAATTTCAGTACTGGGGCAAAATTCTTTTGTTATGTAGATTTTTTTAAATTAATTTATAATATCTTTATTTTCAGCAGTTTTAATGTACTTTTGTTCTAATTTTTTAAACTTTTTGTAGGCTGTAGAGAAGTCTTATAAAAGCTATATTTTATGATTTTTAGGTATTGTTTTTCTGGACGAAGTAGACAAAATTGGAGCAGTTCCTGGAATCCATCAACTTCGAGATGTTGGTGGAGAGGGCGTCCAGCAAGGAATGCTCAAGGTATAAGTTACACTGCTAAATTTAGTTAAAAATTTAATCAATAAAATCAACTAGATGCTGGAAGGAACGATAGTCAATGTGCCAGAGAAAAACTCTCCAAGGAAGCTCAGAGGCGAAACTGTTCAAGTTGACACCACCAACATTTTGTTTGTTGCCTCTGGGGCTTTTAACGGACTTGACCGTCTCATCAGCAGACGCCGCAATGAAAAAGTATTAACCTATTGATGTGCATTTAGACCTTATATTAATTTTACTTAAATTGAACAGTACCTAGGCTTTGGAGCACCAGTTACTGAATCGGCTGGCCGACGAGCTGCTGCTTTGTCAGCCCTAGCAAACCAAAGCGCCGCAACCTCTGCCGAGGAAGACAACGCTGAGCGTGATGCTCTTTTGAAGGAGGTTGAGGCCAGAGACCTCATTGATTTTGGAATGATTCCCGTTAGTTCACTTTAACCAATCTGGTACTATTTGGTTCATGCAACTTTTTCTAGGAATTTGTCGGAAGATTCCCTGTGTTAGTTCCTTTCCACTCGCTTGGACAAGACATGCTCATTCGAATCCTCACCGAGCCCAAGAATGCAATGGTGCCGCAGTACCAAATGCTCTTTGCCATGGACAAGGTCCAATAATTAATGCAAATTGAATTTAGGCTGATTATTTTGTGACACAGGTTGACTTGACATTTTCTCCAGATGCATTGAAGGCCATTGCCCAGCTAGCCATGGAAAGGAAAACTGGTGCCCGCGGTCTCAGGGCAATCATGGTAATTCGCATTTAATTTAGACCTTGATCTTAAAACTTTTAAGAAACCATTGACTTAAATTAATTATTTTTGTTTCTCAGGAAACATTGCTGCTTGAGCCAATGTTTGAGATCCCGGGATCAGATGTGCTGAGTGTGCACATCACTAATGACACTGTGCTTAAAAAGGCAGAGCCTGTCTACATTCGAGGGAAGCAGGTGTCATCAGAGGACGACCCTGAGGAAAACTTGCAGGCAAGAGCCGAAGTCAAATAAGTTATGCGCGTTGATGTGATCTTTTTTTACCGGGAACAACTTCCAACTCTGGACTTGGCAATTTTATTCTTTGATGAGCTCTTAATTATTAAATGAACCGCTTCAATCAACACACCCCAATATATTTACCAGTCAGAACTAGATCTGTGAAATTGAAATTGCTCTTTAGGAACAAGAGCTGTAGATTATGCTACAAAGAGAGACCTGGTCTTAAAAGTTGTTTTCTTGATCCTAAGTGTTATATCGTTTCCTCACTTCCCTGTTTCTAGTAAATTTTGATTATTTGAGCCTCTGTTATTTGGTGGTTGGTTAGGACTGCATAAAATACTTCTACTGCTATTTTTTAACAGAAAATAATTGTGATCTAAATTTTTGTTGTAGAGCAAATTGTACTAAGCTTTGTAAGTGTAATTTACCTCAGAATGTAAATAATAACACATCATTATGTAAAAAGTATAAGGCGTTGTCATTTCAAAATAACATTTTATCTAAAAGTCGATTTTAAATATACAACTTATGGTGGACAATATTTCTTACGAAACAATTTTTAGAAATTAATCTGGCTAAATATCTTTATTTTTGTTCATATAGCTACAGAATATTAGGAATTCTCTCAAAATGTTTTAATAATTTATCCAAGTCAACTTTGCCACTGCTCAAAAGGTGAGTTAAAATTTTAATTAGTAACATAGGATTAAACAAGATGCGACTGTGAATATGGTGGAATGAATTTTATTTAAACAAACATGACATAATTAGATTTTGTAAAACAAGCAAACAGAAAAATTTTATGATGCAGCGACAGGTGCATATTGACTCGCCAGCCTTTCAAACTCGTCCTCTTTTAGTGTATATTCCTTAACAAATGGATGCTGCGCATGTGAATCTTTCAGCTGACTCAAATATCTGTTGGAAACCTGAAATCAGAACAAATTGTTGGTCTGATTGTGAGAAACATTCTTCAAGCTTTGTAAATTAATTCAACTCAAACGCTTATACAACGAAAAAGCAAATTTACCTCTGGCGGTTTTCCTGTATGCTGGGCCAGCACCATCATGTTGATGAGGGTATTGGAGTCGTTGGGGTCTTTGTCCAGGGCCTCCTGCAGAGTTGACTCGGCCTCCTCGTACTTGGCCTGTCCAATGTAGCAGACGGCCAGTCCGTTAAGCAGAGTGGGGGTTCCTCCGTGCTTTTCGATCATCTCTTGGAAAATGAAAAACGCCTCCTGCAACTTCTCGCCATCAGTAGCAATGTTGACCCAGCCTTGGGCCAGCTGAGTGAGGGTGGCGTCGTCGTCACGCTCCTGCATGCTCTTCAGCTCCTTGCGCGCCAAGTCAACTCGATCGATCTTCAAGTAGGTCTGCAGAGCTAGCGCCGAACTGGAATTCAAAGTCAACTATTAATAGAGAAAAGAATTTAATGGTTTTTAATTCTGTGAAAATCTATATATTCTAAATATTGAAATTAAACTATTTTTATTATTCACCAAATAACCTCTGGCTTTAACTTTCATATTAAAACTTAGGAGGTTGCAATAAATTGGACAAATTGCATTAAAATAATACCATTCCAAGCTGTCACAGTGGTGCAGAATTCTCAGTACGGCCTCGTAGTTGGCTTCATGAAAGTAAATTGTGGCAGCCACCAGAAGGAAGGTCTGGTTAGAAACGTCAATGTTTCCCGACGTGGCCTCATTCAGTTTGTTGACTATATCAGCTCTATAAACATAGATTTAGATTATTTTTAATTGAAAAAACATTTTAATCTATCAATATTTATATAATTATAGAAATTAATTGAATTAGAACTTTGCTAGAATCATTTTATTTCATTTTTTTTAATTCAATTTGTACCTCGCCGAAGGTCTAGACAGATACTCCGCAAGCATTTTCAGCGGTTGCACCTCAGGCGGAGAAGAATTTGTGATTTCGTCGAGCACCACCCTGAATTTGTGCTGGGCCAGGTAGGCTCTGTAGAGGAAAATGTCTCGCTCCACCTTGACTTCGGGCGAGGAAGGCTGCAATTTAAATTGTCGGTGAGTGAATTTTTTGGAAATATTTTTGTCAAACTTTGTCTCGTACCTTCAATTTTTGCGCCTCGTTGATGCATTGCTGGAAATTGCCGATGTAAAAGTGATTTTTTACGTCGAAAAGCTCGTCGACCTCTTGTTGACGTGACATTTTTGCCGTGTTTATTTCTGTGAGGTTAACTCTCGGCGCCTGCAGGTGGCAGCACTGCCGGTGGCGCGGAAGAAGGAAAACGTTCTTTTGTTTGTTGAACGGCACAGCATCTTCCAGGCTGATCTAATTTGTAATTGGATTACAAGAATTTCCATGAAAGCTGTTTTTTTTTTAAATTTTATTATCGACTCTCATTCGCAGGCTGATAAGATGCCCGGCCTTTGCACGGCCACTTTGATCTTCGGCATCCTTGTCGCTACAGCCTCCGATTGTGGTGCGACTGCACTAACAATTAAAGGACAAGAGATCAACATCACATCAATTATAGGTAAATATCGTTATGATTGATAAGTAGTGTCAAGTATTTCAGAAATCTGTGAGATTTTTTTTAAACAGTAAAAAAATTACATTGTTAGATCCTGATGAGATTATTGGACGCATCGACAATCACCAGCACCACCACCGGAAAAATCAAATTTCAGACGGCTTCGTCAAATATGGCAAAGATAACAAAAGCATCCCTGTATTCTACGCCGAGAACGGAGAATCGTGGACCGTGAAATGTCCTTTAAAGTCAGTTTGAATATGATAATTAACTATAAATAATACAAATAATAAATGAGGCCGTTTAATCTTTTTTTTAAATAAAAATAACGGTTCTAATTAATTTTTTCTCTCAATAATTCTACAATCACTTTATTTTCTAGGAAAAGTTTGACGTCACGAGTTATATGGTCCCAGGAAGGTGAAATTTTGGTCCACCCCTACACCAGAGTGAACGTTGAGCACTGCGAGATTTACTGCGAGTGCAGCAGTTTGTATGTAGCACCCAACACCTTTGACCTGAGCATCGAGCACATGATGTCGGACATCCAGGGGACCTTCACTTGCGTGTCCGGAGACAAGAGTTGGTCATTCTTCTTGATTGTCAGGGGACACGACAAGTGCCACCCAAATAAAGGCAAGTTTAAATTACAATAATTTAAATATATAATTTTATTAATTTATTTTAATGAATGTAAAATTAGATTAGAATTACATTTTTGCTAATAATTTTTTTTTAAATAAATTTAGTCTGCACGACAGTAAAAAATAAAACATAAAAAATATTATTAAAAAAAATCGAAAAAAATCTTTATAAATAAGAAAACTTACATTTTTTACGCTTTTTTTAATTATGAAAATGTCAATTATAATGCATTCATAAAAATATAATCAATATATAAAAATTATTTATAGTCCCTTTTTTATATAAAACCTTATAAACCATTTTTTCAGTGTTTTATATCTGCATTGCTGCGTTTGTGGTGGTCCTGCTGTCATCTCTTCTGTTTGTCTGCTGCATCACCTGGTCGGAAAAATCCTCAAAGTCGGCGCAAGATTACCTGACAAGTGGCCACTGGCAGCAGCCTGCTGTCAATTTCAGATATTTTAATTCTCCTCAAATGCTTGCCTTCAGAAAGACGTACGACTCATATGACCAAGAGTTCTCTGGCAATTCACATCCCAACGAACTGCCTGAGAGAGGGATGTTGCCTCGCGTTTCCCCAAGGAGTGAAAGACGAGTTAGCATGTGACAAGAATAATATCAGTTCAAAGCTAAATAGTTAATTGTGATTTATAAAGGAGGGTTATAATTTATCAGAATATTGCTCAATATTTGGAAAATAAATAAAGGATTTAAAATAGGACATTATATAAGAGAAAATTATGTTGATGATTAATTAGAGACTGTTAATTAAAGACATATTTAAATATATTAAAAATACATGAATTATTATTTTTAATAGTACTTGTAAAATATTTTTTCTGCAGCAAAGTTGATTAAAGAATTTATATATATGAGTATTGTCTTACCAAGTTTTAACTACAATGGTGGATTAATTTCTCATAACTTTCAAATAATTGCCAGAAATGGCTTTTATTGTTGTTTTGTATTTACAAATAAGGAACCCTTAAAAATTCTGATTTATTTTATTTTTTGAATATTAATGGGGAAAACTAGTGCGGAAATTCTTTTTATAAGAAGACATTTTCCTTCAAATTAATCCTTTGAAACCTCTGCTTTATTTTTCTTCTGTTGACTAAATTTGCTTCAGCGACAAATTGTTTTGTTTGCTTGCGTGCATTCGCTACATATCAAGATGCCCCATTAACCTTTCTTCATATGCCACGCACGGCGGACGAGTCAGATCTCAAACGCATTTTGGTCAGTCGCAGTTTGTCGAGAGCTCTTCATCTTCAATTTTTAGTCTATATTGAAACAGCATTTATTTCTCCTTTAAATGGTAAATTCATTATTCTCTAATTTTGAATTACACATAATTATATTTAAATATAATTCTGCTTGCTTTTTTCATCATAATTAGCGTATATGTTTTAATTTTTATTTATTAATATTTTTCTCAAATTTCTTATATTACTTTCGCAATAGAAGATTTTTTTCCTAATTTTAAAAATGTTTTACAGATGTGGCTGATTCTTTTGACGGTCTGCATAATCGCTGGCGTCAACAGCGCGGCCAAATCAAACTCTCCTTTTGATGAAATACCCGAGCTGCTTAACTACGGAGAGCAACTCTCCATTCCTGAGGATGACCTGATTGTGCTCATGGGTTCCAGTGGAGTGGACAAAGGAACCTTGATCAAATTTGTCATTCAGGACGAGACACTTAAAGTGCGCCGGCGGGGCAGCAGACTCGTTTTCGAAAGCGGCCGCAACGTCAACCGGACGCAATTTCAAGACGTGCTGCCCCATTTCTATCGGGACAAAGCCACCGGACACGTTTTGGTTGATGTTCCTGGCTTCAGCGAGTCGCGAGAACCAAAAGCGGACATTTCAAATGCCTATTTCACCAAACGCGTTTTACAACAAGCGAAAAATTTGAAATTGATCTTTGTTGAAAACCACGTTAACTTGATGGAAGGTGCGGATTTTGCTAGTCTGTCTAAATTACTCAGACGTGCTGCAAAACAGGTACCGGATATAAAACAGTTCAGTGATTCGGTTGGTTTGGTAGTTGCGAAAGTGCACGACCAAAACTTGGATGACGCTGATATTTTGGGCGAAGTCCTTAATCAATTAACAGCCATGAAAGAAGAGTTAAATTCTCAACTGGAGGACCAGATCGAAGCCTCAGCAGAGCACAATGAAATTTCAGGAATGTTGGATGTCCTGGACGCAATTTACGCAAATGGAACGGCGGAGAACATTGCTCTTTTCCGTCGGCCAGACCAGGAGGGTTCGCCGTGGGCCTCTAGTTTGATGACCAAAAGCCAAAGAGAATTGCGCGTCCTGTTTTTCGGCAGTTTGAAATTTTCACTTAATGGTTTTGAATTTCCTTATTCTGTTTTGCATAGAAGCCGAGATTACATAACAAATAATTTGATCCCAAAAAACAATCAAATGACGTCACGCTATTTTAAAAAGATCTTGAAAGAGTTCCACGGATGTGTTGAAAATGAGGCCAAGGCGAAGTTCGTAGTGCTTGAAAAAGTAAATTTATTTTCAAAAGTTTCGGCAAATTTAGATATTTTGTTAAACCGCAGTGACATATTTGATAATTTAGAAAAAATAGTTGCTTTGAAAGAAAACCTGGCCACTGTCTGCGCTGCTTGGAAAAATATTGATCTTTCTATTTTAAATAATTTATTAAAAACTACCAAACTTTCATACGATCTGGCTGGATCGGATGTTTCTGGTTTTTTGAAGGAGGTGAAAGATATTGTGACAGAAGAGGCCAAAAGTTTCAAAGATATTTTCAACTTTTATATATTTTTGGAAAGCTTAAATCGGGAGCTTAAGTCATACGCGGTGCAAGTAATTAGGAAGGCGGCGTTCATCGAACTCACTGCGGCCAACTACAAAGAATTCATTTTTAATCTTTCAAAATTCAACATTAAAGTGGAGAAAAAGTCAAAGGTAATTGCAATGGAACCGACAAAAATGATGTTCTCCGATCTGAACATCGTTCTGGACCAAAATCTAAACCACACAACACGGCGCTCTTTCAATAATTTTGGCCAGGAGCTAATTTTCGAGGGCAGGAATTTGATTTTGTCCGAAATCGTGTCAGAAATGTTGAAATACCAAAATCTGGAGAATGTTTATCTCTTTGCTTACAGAACGATTTTCATTGATTGCAATTTAACCCTGATCGACGCGAATATCTCAATGGCCGCGCCTATCATTGAAATAATTGGTGAAAATATTGTCTTCCAACTCAACGGGTCCGATGCAAAAAACGAAATCAATAAAACCAAGAGTCGTGGACGAGATGGACTACCTGGCGAAGACGGACGTAGTGCAGGCAATACCCTGATTTTGGCTTTGGAATTGAGAGGAGCTGAAAAACTAACCATTCGGAGTCGGGGAGGAAATGGTGCCAACGGTCAGGATGGGGTGAACGGGTTAAAAGGCATCAGCAGCCCCCAACCCCATTTTGACGAGTTTTACCCTGAGTTTGTAAATGGAATTCCAAATTGGGAATTCATCAAGAATCACGGATACAATATTGAACACCCTGACAAGGACACTATAGTTTTGGTGAATCGCCAAGGGGCAAAAGCGCCAACCAGCGGAGGCCACGGCGGCGCCGGAGGGAAAGCTGGAGCCGCAGGAGGAAATTTTGTTCTTGTCCAAAAGGAGGACGATTCTAATAATCCTGTAATTGAAATGAATGATGGTGTTCCAGGAAAGCATGGGAAGGGTGGAATTGGCGGAAGTGGTCATCAAACCTGCGCTAAGAACGTGTACTCCGGCATGTGCAAGACGAAAAACTGCGAAGTGAAATTTTTATCGACCTTCAGCAGATGCAAGTGCAAATTTCAGTCGGTTCAATATTGTGACAAGGAGGCAGACGCTAAGGACGGACTAGAAGGACACGTAAAAAATAATTCACAGCAGACAAAACGCACGGTGGACTGGGTTGATTTTGCTAGAAAATTTAATAGTTCTATTCTGTTCGACAAAAATTTAGTTGGAACTGAAGATCAAGAAAGTGCAAGCAAATTTATTTTGTATGCTCAAATTGTAATGAAAACTGCCATGCAAATTTTTAGAGGATTTAATATGGATTGAAATTTCAATTGCGAGTTAAAACGATACGTATTTTCATTATTCTACTCAAATAAGTATTTTATCGGGTTAATATAAATGTTATGATTTAATTTATATAAATAAAATTTAACTTGTATTAATCTGCAATTTTTTAATTTTAAAATTACTTCCTATTATTTTCATACTTGCGAAGATTTTTTACATTCTCTGAATGATGCCACGCGTGGGCATAATGAAATTGTCGTCACATTGCGGCCAAGGGCTGGTCGATGGCTCTGGTTTCCTCATCATCAGTAAATGAGTCATCACGTCTTCATCCCTGACTTTTCGCCGCACGCTCCAACTGTTTTTCTTTCTTTTGAGAGCACACCCGACGTTTTTGTTCTCGTGGTAAAACAATCGAGGTAAAGATTGATTAGTTCGTGTAGCGACGTAAAGTTGAGCAGTTCTAAATAATGAATTAAAAAAATATATACTAATTGTAAGATTCCAAGATTGATTATTTTTATTGAATTTTATAATTAAAATTATTCTTTTCAAGTATATTATATTTTTCACTCAAATAAGTCAAGTTAATTGCAAATTTCAGGGTGGTAATGTGACAAGTTGGGCTGAACTGGTGGCCGAAAATTGAAATCGATATCTACTAGCAATGAGAGGCACTAATTTAATTGCTTCCTGAAATGTCGTGAAAAGTGATATTTTTCTCTCCCTCTCTCCGCAAGAGGTACAAATTTTGTAACGCGATACCCACACAGCATGCAAAAGTTCATTCAGGACCCGTGAGAGAAATTCCCAAAATATATTTTATTACTTCATTCATGTGGATCACTCACATGATTATTTTCAACCGCAACAACCACTTGCAAGGTTTCAAAATTAATTTATTAAAAAAAAAAAAATTAAATGAAAAGCTGTTAAAATTTGTGTTTAGTGTGCGTTTGTGTCTTTTTTACCAAACATAAACTAGCATTTTATAGTGAATTAATATCTTTGGGATATTTAATAATTATAAGGCAAAAACAATTCTCTGTACTTTCATTATCATTTATTCAGCAGTATGAACAGTGAAATTAAAAATTTACTTTGGCAAAATACATAAAAATTACTTGGGAATTTCCCATCACAAAATAATAATTTCTTCATTCATGAAAAACTCTCACAATTGGAGCTGAAGGTCGGTGAACCTGGTATAATTTCAATTTTAAAGAGAAAAAATTTTTTGTCACGTTGCTCCTCGCAAGTTTTTGAGAGCGAAAAACTCAATAGGCAGAGGAGACGCGCCAAGCAGTCTGGGCGGTGCGGGGTGCGGAAGTGGTTGGTGCAAACACACCTTCACAAACAAAAACACCCATCGGCACATTTTTGAGGCTGAGAAAACAACTGGACTCATCAGTCATTTGCGCACATCTGCATCGCGACACTCTTTTTACTGCACTCGGCTTCGCGCACGCGGTGTTTAATTACAGGCAGTAAATAAGCAACCCTCAACGCCACAAGCTATAATCTCAACGTGTTTGCTCAGTTTTTCTAGATTTATTGGAAAAAAAAGAAACAGCATTTTCCTGAAATCAAAGTACTATTCTCGGCTCATGAAGAGTTTTTTTCATGACAAGGAAAAACTTGCAATTAATTCAAATGAGTATTTACGCTAGTCGCTACATTAATTAAAATAATTGATTTAATTTAATTACAAAATTAATAAATAAAATTTAAAATTCTTTGCAAAGCTACAAAATATTTAATATTATTGCATTAAAATTCTAATATTGTTTGCTTCTTTATTTTATTAAAAAAATTTAAAATAATATTATTATTATATTTTTTTATTTTTTTTAAACAAATTCTTCTATGATTCTTCAATAATTTCAAAATTAGAATAGCAATTGTATTGATTTTTAATTTAAAATAAATAAAGTGATTTAAAACATCATTCTGATTATATAAAATGTTGGCCGTTTCTCTAAAATTGACGATTAATTCCATAAATCTGATTTATCCAATAATTTAATTGTCATAAATTATAATTATATATTCGGGAGCATATAAAAGCAATCACGTATGTATATTTTATTTTGCTAAAAGATTGATTGAAAAAAAATCAGTGTGCAGCTGTAAAGTGCAGCAGCCAAGGCAAGTGACACCGAGAGTGCTGGCCCCGCCCTTTGTTGACACTAGCTGCCTTATCTTGCCGGTCCATAGAGTCATCTGCGGTTCATGTGCGGCTCATTTGAACTTTGACCATGGACTTGGCCGCCTCCGATCTGCTGCTCGAGTCGCAGCACCAATTCTACTACCCACCCACCCCCGAATACGACGTATGCTCCTGGGGGCAGCTACCCTTAGCAGGTCCTTGCGAGACGACCGCTGGCTTTTACAGCGAAGTGTGGCCAGCACCTGACCCTGATGGCAAACATAAAACCTTTGTGGTCGAGCAAACCCAACTGTTACCTATTCAGCAAGGTGAGCAAAAAAACTATATATGCATTTAATTTTTAATTCAGAATAATTTTTTCCAAAAAGCTATATGTATATATAATTTTATAATATACTTTTTTTATAGATTCAGAAATAGAATATTTGTATTCCCTTGAATTATATTTAATTTTAATTTTCATAATATATTATTCAATAATATTTAATTATAACCTTAGGGCTAAGGTGTTAATAATAAAACATACAATATATAATATTTTTACATGCATTAATATCATTACTTAGCATGATTTAGTGTAAGTAGTGTATGTTAAAAAACAACATTAAATTACTTACTATCTTTTAAGTTAAGCAATTTTTTTTATCAACTAAGAGATATTTGATTTGATAACATTTAATTTTATTTATTTTTTTCTGAACAAGTCCGAATTAAAATTCAATAATCACCAATAATTTTAAAAATATCTGATAAATATTGCTATATTGTTATTTAAATTATTTGAAAACCAATTAAATTTAGTTAACCCTTGCTGCACAGTAGCTGGGAATTAAAAATCATTTAGTACAAAATCAATAAACGCAATTAAAGTGTGTAATTGTCTTCCACCACAAGGAATATTGATCCATGAATGTTGAATTTCATAAATTCCATTCCATAAATTAATTTTCTCAGTGAAATATTATTTAGTTTAGCGCCAAATTTGGTCAGTTTCAAAAGTCGATAATTTATTCGATAAATATGCCCTTTGCGTGCAAGCAATCTTGTGGTATTTTTTTTCTATCTGTTGACACATCTCGAGTTGCAAAAAGCGGCTGTCAATTAGATGAAAAGAGACAATCAAAACAACAAACACATGTAGCATAAATAAATCGCTGCGCATCGTTTCAATTCTTTACGAGCGGCTTAGCAATGTGAGTCACGCTCTTTTCTTTTTGAAAGCGCCACTCAACAATCTTAACATGTGTGTGTGCGTGTGTTAGGAAACACCCCTTGCGACAAATTTATTGGAAAATCATGTTGCTCTATCGCCACAAGAAAAGCAGTTGTGCTTTTTTATTATTATGGGGGTGGCAGTGGTTCATGCAATCTAGTGACTCACTTTTGCTTGTCTCAAAAAAAAAAATATTAACAGTAATAATAATTTAATTTCCTTAGGTTCACCAATGTCAGATAGCATGAGCTTGACTGTAGAAAAGTCACCCCAAAGAACCAGCAAAATAAGAAACCAGCGCACCGCGTTCACTAAGCAGCAAATCAGAGACCTCGAGTCTGAATTCGCGCGTTCGAATTACCTGACCCGGCTGCGGCGCTACGAGATCGCCGTCGCGCTCGACTTGACGGAGAGACAGGTAATTTGACTATTTTAACTGAATTATATTGATTTCACTATTTATGTCTCAGGTGAAGGTTTGGTTCCAAAATCGAAGAATGAAGTGGAAAAGGACCAAGCCAAAGAGCAGCAGCGGAGGAGGAGGAGGGAAAAAAATCGAGTCTACTGAAAGCTTCAGGGATTGCTTGTTTGTGTTTTAAATTGTAGCAAAAACCTCCCTCTAATTTGTAAATATATTTGGGCACATTCACCCCTCCCCAATTTTATATTTAATACATTTTCCTTTTCGTAAACAATTATTATTATTATTTTTTTTTTATCAAAATTTAATAATAAAGTGAGTAAGTTATTTGTGTACTGATGCTTTTAATTTACAGTGAAAGATTATATAAAAAATTTGCTTTTATAAAACATGTTCTAAAAGTTATTTTAACTAAATATCACCTCCAGAGCGGATTCCAACATTAAACAGATTTTTCGTCATCATCATCACTATCTGAATTTTCAACAAAACAATCGGTCTCAGCTGCAGTTCTGTAGACGAAGCTGTTCACGTTGTCAGAGGAGGTTGACGATTGTATAAATTTGAGTAGTGATGTGTGTTTATAAATCACATATAAAATCACCATCAGTACAATGCAAAGTAAGGTAGCAGCAATCACAGAAATCACATATAAATGGCTTTCACTTGCGGCGGCAGCTGTTCCAGAGGGAGGACTGCAATTTGGTAGACCTAAAATTTTAATTAATTTTTAAGAGACAATTTATAATGAAGGACATACACTTGAAATTCCCCCCGGAGGACTTTTGACCCGGGAGGATAGTGGCTCTATAAAAATTAAAAATTAAGCACTTTCAAAGCGGGCGGAAATTTATTTATCCAGCCGGCGGGACAAAATTTGTTCCGCTGCGTTTTTCTAATATAGAAAATCAGCTGTTTAAAATAAAAAATCACTTTATTGTCGTAAGCTTTCTACGTTTTGATTTACTGGATGAGAATAAAAGACGATGAAATAAAAAAAATCAATAATGGCATTTTGGGGAATTTTGATTATTTTTTTATTGTTCACTTTTAAAATTGATTTCCATAGCGAATTCTACTTCAATCATCTTTTTAAAAATTCTTTATCTTGACATAAAGCAAAAAATTATTTTAATTAATAACATTAGATCAATTAAATACAAAAAACAAAAAATATTAATATCGGTAAGATGATAAAATATTAAATAAACAATAAGCTACATGAATACAAATTTTAAATTGGCTCGGTTCCGCCAGCGCGTTCGATAAAAGGTGTTAAACGCGCCAGAACTATAAAATTTAATAAAGATGCAGCGGGTAAACGAAAAAAAATTAAATTTTATAATGTATAAATTTAATCTAATCATAATTTATTTCTTTAAAAATTTCATCGTCAAGAAAATCAAATCATAGAAAGTCTAAGACAAGAAAATGATTTTTATTTGAAATAGCTGATATGCTAGATGAGAAAAACGCAGCGGAACACATTTTGTCCCGCCGGCTGGGATTAACTAAAATTTCCTCTCGCTTGAAAGTGCTAAATTTTCAGAGCTTAGCTAAAATTTGTCCCGCCACTCTCCTCCCGTGTCAAAAGTCTTCAATTAAAAGTGCATTTAAATCTCTCCTCAATAAATATTTTTTGCTCCATTCATAGATGCACTTACCGTCATGGCAAATGCACAATGTTCCATTCACTGGATCACAAGTATTGCCAATGGGACATGTGATAGTGCAGTTGAAAGTGCATCCGACCCCAAATGTCCCCTCGGGACACGGCTGGTCGCAGTCTTGTCCAGTCCAGCCGGCAGTGCAGTTGCACGTACCGTCCACGGAGTCGCAAAAACCTCGTCCAGAACAATCCGAGGAGGCGCATTTATTGGAGCAGTTTAATCCCCAAGTCCCGTTCGTGCACTCTTGGCTGCAGAACTCGCCAGTCCAACCGACCGTGCAGTTGCAGGCGCCGTCGATGGAATTGCAGGAAGCGCCGTTTTCACACGCACAACCAAATGCACAACCTTCTCCAAAGGTGTTCTCAGGGCAGGGTTCTGAACAGTTGGCGCCGATCCAACCTGCCAAGCATTTGCAGGCGCCACTCCTGAGGTCGCAGTCGGCGCCGTTTTCGCAACTGCACGATTCGGAGCAATTTCTACCAAAGTTTCCTTCCGGACAGGGGTGTTGGCAGTGTTGACCTGTGAAACCGAGGTCACAAGTGCAAGTGCCGTCGACAGCACTGCAGCTCCCACCATTTAAACAGCCACATTCGTTGGCGCAGTTCAGGCCCCATCGGCCTTCAGGACATGGATCCTCACATCGTGAACCGATCAAGCCTGGAGAACAGATACATTCACCTGTGCCCGGTTGGCAAGTGTGTCCTTGGGCACAATCACATGGCTGTGTGCACATGTGCCCAAAAGTTCCCGCAGGACACGCATTCTCACACAAGGTTCCATTCCATCCAGGCTGACATGAGCAAATTCCTAAAAATTAATTTGAATTTAATTTCAAGATAAAATTTCAGTTTCCTTAATATTTTAATAATTTAAATTATTTCTAACAAGGGGTCCTGATTCTATTTAAAATAATAAATACCAAGGCAAGGTCTTTAAAAGGCACAATTCTAAAAAATTCTTTTTAGCCATTCATTATCATCAAATTCTACATAAAAGAAGTTTTTTTTTTTTTAACTTTATCTTATATTTACAACAACAGGGATTTAAACAAATCATGGAAAATTAAAAAAAAATCTGACATATAAGTTAAAGTAACTATTATAAAACTGAGAAGAATACATAGATATTAAATTTAAATTGCTACAAAAATTTTGAAAAAAAAATTGATGAGGTAGACAAAAATGCTGTTTTTTAAGAACCATTTTATCCTTAATATTATGTATTTAATTATAGAATTGCACAATTCTAATAGGCCATTTTGTCAGAATAAATTTTTGAGACAAAAAATAAAACACTTGCGGCAATCAAAGTATATAAATAAAATAAAGAATTATGCACAGCGCAGTTTTTATACTTTTTATTGCATACCTGTAGCAAAGTGGCACTCTCCGTTTACGCAGGCCTTGCACTTTTGTTTGCAACCCGCACCATATTTTCCAGGTTGACATTGATCTGTACAAAAAACGCCTGTATAACCAGGCCAACATAATGCAGTTCCTGTTTCGCGATCGCAAATTTTATGAGAACCTTTAAAGATAATTTATATGCAGATTTAATATTCCAGTTACTTAATTTATGGTAAAAGATGCATAACCAACCGATTGTTTCAATGCATTTCTGAGCACAACTTATTCCAAAGGTTCCTAAATCACAACTCTGTTGACAGTGACGTCCTCTTTTTCCCTCTGGACAAGGTTTGCATGCTGAAAATTGGGAAAAGATAATAAAACTAAATTGATTTGTGATTCATAAATTGATTCTAGTTCAATATAATTATATTAAAAACACCTGGTTTGGTTATATTTTCAATAATTACCGCGCTGGCCATAAATATTAAATTTGCAGTCACATTGCCCATTCCTGGCGTTGCATTCATCACTTTTACGGGTGTACGGTATATTAATTTGGCAGATATTGCTGCAATAATATTCACAATTGATCCCGTAGCGACCTTTGGGGCAAATTTGGTCACAGGCGTCGCCTTGGAATCCAGGCTCACAAATGCAGCGACGATTTAAAACATCGCAATTACCATGTGAGCCGCAGCGAAAAGGGCAAAGCTCGTATTCTCTAGGACGCTGGCAATGAACACCAAACCAACCTGAACAAAGCATATTTGTTAATTTAAAATTTAATAATAATAAAAATATATAATTTTCAAAAGTAATATTTTTGTGTATTGCAAGAAGTAATGTTTAATTAGTGAATAAATTTTTTTTTTTTCAAGGACTGAAATTAATAACCTTTGTCGCAATTGCACGCTCCATTCTTTCGTTCGCAATTCCCGTGGACGCACGGACAAGAGGTGTTGCAGTTGACGCCAAACTTTCCACGTGGACACTCATTTTCAGCACTGGAAACTAATCCAACCAAAATGATGTGCAAAATTAAAATAAATAAGCGCCGCATCATGTTTGCGGAGAGCTTTTCGCCTTGAATAATGGTTCTCCAATTAGAAATCTACTGGAGCTGACAATGAGAGAGTTCCTTTCCGTTGAAAGCTCTGGTGCTGTCCGCGGTTGATAAGGGCTGCTGAAAAGATGTGTCAGAGTCGTCACTCGCTCGTTTTATACAATCTGGTTTTCTTATCTTCGGTTTCCTTTGTGCAATATGACATAATACTGGGGGAAGAACTAAATTTATGCAAATAACTTAATTTTAAATATGCATTAAACTAATTTTATGTGCTTTATTAAAAATCATGCAATTTTGCTGATCAACCTTTTCCTACATCGATGCAAAAATAGTGTACCGTCTGCAGTGTCTGCACAATGAAGAGTAATTTCACATTGATTTAGACTAATTTGCTCTATTCACGATGTTTTACATATAATAAGCAACTGTGGACAAATAAATAACAATAATAAATGTAATTAAAAAAATATCTCTATTTTCCCAACTTATTATTGTTATTGGAAAAAGCCACAAGTAAAATTGAATCAAAAATAATATGCAATACATACATATATTCATTTAATTTGATCAGCCACGTGGTAAAAATAAGGGGCGGATCATGATAAGAAAATATTGATCTGGGATTTTCCTCATTTTCAATGAGGAAAACGAATATCATTCCTGTAGCATTCTGCATCATTAATGCCAATTTTTATCTCCAATCATATGTGAGCATGAACGCTTCCGGCACATGATGAAAGCAATTTTTCACCCTAATAAAGAAAGTAATTTCTGATTTGAAGAAAAGTCATATGAATGTATCTTATGAAGTGGAATTTTATTGCTTAAAGAAATTCAAGTATTAATTTTTTTGTTCAATATCTCACATTTCAACAGGATTTTTTTTAAATATAATTAATTATTTGGATAAAAAAAATTATCTCGCGCGGATTATAACGTACGAAAATATTTTGTTTATGTAAGTTTATTTATAAATTGTTCTGCATTGCCAATACATCAAAATTAATAACAGTTGAAGAGGCTGAGACTCTTCCGTGTGTCAAACGCCAGTATTGCGAGTCTGTGTGCGAGCCGGTTGAATATAATGCCATTAATACGACCGCATTCCCTGCAAAATCTTTCTGAAGGCCTACAACTCAAGAAGCTCGGCCAATTATTCATGAGGCCGCAGGAGAGGAAAAAGTATAAAACGAAAATAATGTTCTCTCGGTGCCACCTTTTTAAGAAAGCTCGAGCAACGACTCTTCATATAAGGACAAGAACAATTTTGCCAAAAAAACATGAAACTTCCTGTAAAGCATTTAAGGCGGTTTACGTTTTTTCTCTTAGTGTATCCGTCACGATTGCAATTGACCATTTTATTATTAGCGTCGCAAATAATAACAAAGTCAATCTCATGAGTTCTCGGAACTAAACGGGTTGAGTCATCTGAAATCACGCAAGTGGAAGAAGAATAATAACAGAGAGTAGTTTGTTGAATATAAAGAAAAGGTAAAAACAGCGGGGAGAATTACAAAATAATACGTTAATAACGACAAGCAGGTAATGAGGCCGTTTTATTTCGCAAGCGTTTGCACGCGAATGAATAAAACGCGAGCAGATCGTGAGACATCATCTTTAACTACCAAGGGAGGCACTTATTTGTATTGAAACGTGGATGCTGGTCTGTAGCGAGTGAATCAGGCGCGGGTGATTCTATTGCAGATAAATTTGTAAGCCAAGGAAACTTGACAATTGGTGATAAACGCGCGTGTATTGTCACGTGTCTTTTTATGTGGGTGAGATGCAAGCGTTTTTATCCGAGTGAAGAATGAAATGAATCATCGCATCATCGGCGTGTTACAAATTGCAACTTATTTATTTCCCCGTTGGATTCTCTCTGTCGCTTTCAGAGCTTTGTTTATTAAAATCAAATCAGTTAAAACATTTGCACAGTTTTACATTTTATATTGACTGGGAGTGATGTAAGAAATAAAACAATTTTATAGCATACTTTTTTTTTTAAATAATAGCACTGAAAATATATTTTTAAAATTAAGCTGATTATGATAAAATTTGATATTCTCTGACAAAAACCTTTACTTACTATTTTATTAAAAATGAATTTTTATAGACTAATTTTATTTTTAAAGGACTTGAAAATTTGAAATAAAACCAGAATCTTCAATACATACAAATACATATATTATTTTGCTCTAACAATAAGTTATCTAGAAAGAATTTTTAAATACGTAGAGGGATAGAATAAGCAAAAACTCTGCGGTTTGGAACAAGAAAATCACACTGAATACTTTGCGCATCTGTCAGGATTTTGCACACAGCCTAATCATCTCCAGAGGCAGCATCCACACTTAACAGAGAGCGATGTGTCATTATCATAGCAAAGAAGGTCTGTTGGGCAATTAACGCATGTAATAATTATCTGCGTGCCGGCCGCCAGGAGGCGACATGAGGGCCGCTCTTGCTTCTTCTCCCCTGACGCTTTGGCTCGGCTCGAGAAGGCGCCGCTCGCTCACTCGGGCAGCAACTGGAAAAGTTTCCAGTCTCGTCGCGCCGACGGAGAACAACCTTTTGATATGGGCATCAGGACGGTCGTGTTGCTGCTCGCCCTGGCATGCTGCGGCGTCTGGGCCGATCCGTGTCCGGCAGGTCGGACGGGTCAGGACTGCGCCACCGAGTGCAATGAAGGGTTTTTCGGACAGGACTGCGCTTCCGAGTGCAACTGCGTGCATGGAACGTGCGACCTGGTCACTGGGCAGTGTTCGTGCAAAAAAGGTAATTGAGCTTGTGCAAATTTGGGTTTGAGACGGGGAAAGGATAAATTTATATCCAGGATAAAAAAATAATAAAGTACTGTACAGTTTGATTTCAATTTGCTTGTCAAAAGTTTTTATTTATATCTCAAATTTATTTAAAAAAAAAAAATGAATTTCTGTAACTTATACTCAACTTAAAAACTTGAAATTAAAAGTTGTTAAAATCTTGCTGCTCTGAAATAACAAAAATATGTATATACCAAGGATTACAGGGACGAAAGAGGGGGTCTTTTTATTTCAGAACTTAGTATATTTTGCTAGTAGTACAAAAAAATTACAATTTTGTGTTTGTATTGATTGCTTTTACCCCAATGATTTCTCGACAGAAGTTCACCGAATAAGGGTTTGAATTATATTTTCTCCTCATATTGTATATTTTTCGCCTCAAAATGTATTCATTACAAATCTCAAGGAAAAATTATTATTTAAAATAACATTAATAATGAATATAATGATTCATCATGAATCACCCCCTATACTGTGGAAAACACATGTCCTCTTAATTAGCACTTGGCAAATACAATTATGTATTATTCAGTATTCGTGTGTTCAACCAGATAACATTTTATTTTGAGATACCAATTAACAAACAGCTCGCAATTTTTTTTTAACAGTCATCATTGACTCATATACAATTATTAGATGTAGTTGTGAACTTTTAAGACATAATTATGTATATGTATATAACACTCCTATTTTACATAAATTGAGCAAAACTTTACTTCTTGCCTTTTACAAGAGTACATTGGAATTTCCGACGAAAATCAAGAGTCATAAAATTAATAATTATTGCGCGAAATCCTGAGAGGTCGATTATTGGATCCGTAGAAGCGATAAGTAATTAGAGTAATGAGCACCGGGGAATAATCTGAACTGGCCTCCGACGGCGCTTTCAATTACCCACCTTGCTTCATGCTTTGCGAATTTAAAAGCTCGCCGACCTTGACACTCACGTCAGGTCAAGCACCTTGAAATTTTTATTCAGCCGACGCGAGACCCGTGACGAGCCGCAGTAGATTCGCGTCAAGTGGTCATAAATAATTTGCCCGGAATTATTATTATTATATTTCTTTTTACTGCTCGGCGAGGAGCATGGGAAAAAACTGAAATTCCTTCCCGTACTAAGTTGCAGCTTGCGACAGGCGGTCTTTCTCAACGCACATACATAGTTTTTTTTTCTTAATATAATCCCTCTTTTAATTTTTTGTCCCACTGTCGTCACCCGCAGGCTGGGAAGGAGTGAGTTGCGAGCATCCGTGCGGCCCCCATTTTTACGGCGCCGACTGCGACAACGGGTGTCCCGCTTGCGAAAACGGCGGCGCCTGCAACCCGATCAACGGCACATGTCTCTGTCCCAACGGCTACCTGGGCGACCTTTGCCAGGACGCGTGTCCTGCGAAGCGGTTTGGAAGACAGTGCCGACAGTACTGCAACTGCGAGTGGGCAAACACCGAGAGCTGCGACCACAGGACTGGACACTGTAACTGCAAACCAGGCTTCCATGGTAATAAATAATTTTGCCAATTTTAAAGAAACGTTCCAATTTTGATATTGGATTTTGGAATATATATCTTCCTAGTTTCTGGACATGATTTTGTTGAAGAAAAAGTTGTATTTGGCAGAGTAATTGTTTATAATTTCACTAAAACAATCAACATATAAAAAGTTGAGGTTAAAAAAAATTATTAATTAATAATTATTAGAGCCAATATAGATTTATTGCAGATTTGTTAGTAATTTTTTTTTTGATACTATAATGACGTTATTATTAAGAGGCCAGCTAACAGACCCCAGCGCAGTGCGTTGGGAACCGTAATTTTGTTAACTTATTATTTGAGTGTATGGGACAAGTTATACCTCGTTAGAAAGATAAAGAAACAAACTAGAGGTTGGTTTTTCTATTTTTTCGAAAATGTTTTTTGAAAATTTTCTAAAATTCCCAGAAAAACTAGTAACTTTGGAGCAGGATAGCTCCGTAACCAAGTAGTTTAAGCAAAATGTACAAAAACCAACTCCTAAAGGAACTCTTTAGAATTGCAAATGTAATATAACTTTAATATTCTGATTATTGTAAGTATAATTTTTTTTGCGGTTACTGGAGCAGTTTTTAAGATTTTGAGGCCTGTTTTCAAGCAGGAGAGTTTTCTCTCGACCACTGCAACGCGCGCCCTCATGCTGGCGACGGGCCAGATGCGTATTTGCTCCCCCTTTACCTTTCGCCAGGTATCCTAAAAGGGATACGTGTGCAGGTAAACACAGAAGTGTGCTCTATTGTTAAAAAGTACAGGCAGAAAAAATATTTTTACCCTGTTTCGTTCAAGCCGAGAGGGTTCTTATTCTTCTTGCTGAGCAGAGTTTACACTTTACAGAAACGAGTGAGCGAGCCTGTGAATAAGCGCATCATGTGTTTTATGATTAACTTATAATGAAATAAATATGAAAATATGCTATGCAGGGAGGCAGTTTAAAAACGCCATCAATTTACTTTAGTGTATAAAATAATTTATTAATAAAAAATTCTAATATGATATCAAACTAATTAATTTACAATTTAATAATATATGGTTTCTATAAATTTGTAATTCAAATTGCAAAATACAGTTCAATGCATTTGAGTTTACTGGAATTTTAATAAAAAAATATAATATATTATATGTAATTAAAAATATTAATATAAATCACTCATCCAGTTAAATTGTGTGGCGCATCAAATGAACAGATAACTTGACGCAAAACTGAAAGGAAAAATGAAAAAAAAAATCGGGTATAATAGCCGCGTGCGCCCACGCAATCTTGAATGTCATTTTAATTTACATTGGAAAAACATTCTTTGCAAGGTTTTCTTCGAGAGATTAAATTTTTATGAATTAATAATGAAATTTATTTCAATGAATTTGAATTCAAGAAAACATTGAATTAAAATTTTAAGGCTCACTGCAGCGGATGGGGTCTTTTTGATCTTGGAAGTGTTAACAAAATTCTTGTTAGTGGTGGTGCCGGTTAGTCCAACAATTCCTTTCATTTTCAAATAAATTGTTTGCAATAATTGAATGTAAACAATGTGATAAAGCAATTTAGACAAATTTAAAAAAAAAAAACAATAAAAATAATTGTAAATTTTTAAGAACTGAAAATAATTTCAGCGATTTCAATTTTGTATACCTTTCTTTAGAGAAGAATTTGTAAATATCAATCACTTAAAAACTGGAATGCAATTGATAAAATTCTAAAATCAATTGCTTTATCATTAATCCTTTGTCGGGAAAGGAATCAGTAGCCAGTGTTTATTAAAGGTAAGAGGGTGCCGACCTTTATTGTTCATTAAATCTGTTTGTGAACGCGGTTGGTGAAAATTCAACTGACAATGTGTTGTTTTTCTACCTGCGCATTTTTTTTGCCAGATGACTGAATTCTTTACTCACAACAATAAAAACCCTGACCGCGCGGCTACCCTCCTAATTCTTTCTTTCTTTTGTGTGACGTTGCATTGACAGTGCAGATGACCATGCTTTTAAAAATCTCACTCCCGAGAGGTAAAAGCGAGAAAATCTGTTTTGGTCGCTGTAACATAAGACTCAGTAACACCTCCACCTACAGATACCTGAACTAAAATTGGGACAGCCCCTCACCACAGGGGGTCGTCACGCAGGTTGCATAAAATAAGGAGTTAACAAAAATATCTCGTCCGTTTACATAATAGTAATTTTTTACTTTATTACAACAACTATATATTTTTTAGTTCAATTTACTTTTTTATATTTTTGTATCATTTAAAACATTAAAAAAATAATTATCAACATTATTACATGACAAATGATTGTAAATATTTATTAATATTTCTTATAAAAAATATAAAATAATATATTTCATGTGTTGATTAATTTATTTAATCACTTCAATCTCACTAATAAATTTTATATTTTTAATAATCTGATTCAATTAGAATATCAGCCGTAGATGATAGTTGTGAAGGTCAATTAGTACTCCATACGAATAAAAAGACTTAAATTTTTTAATTTTGCATTTTATCATTAGTATGTTTGATGTATTTAAAAATATCATGACTTACAAAAATAGCCTTTTTCAAATATTGTGATTGCTTATTCTCTCTAGAAACAGCACTTAACACTCAGTAGCTAAATAGACCAAAGTGTCCTATGACTATGACGCTCTGTTTATTTCCACACAGGATTCACGTGCGAGACCTCGTGTAAGATTGGCAAGACCAGCACCAACTGCAACTCGAACTGCCCTTGTACCCGCGGCGCGTCTTGCACTAAGTCGTACTTTTCTCGCAGGGCCAAGTGCAAGTGCCCTGCTGGCAAGAAGGGCGAGACCTGCGACGCCGTGTGCGATAACGGAAGATTTGGTTACGGCTGCAAGGAATTCTGCCCCAAACACAAAGGTATATCATAATTTTTTGATTATTTTTTGTTACTTTGCGAATTTACAAATAATTATTTCCAGGAGTGATCGGCAGTTGCGACGCTGAGACTGGCGAGATCACGTGCGCGCCGGGCTACTCGGGCCCTTTTTGTGTGCATCCCTGTCCCAGCGGCACGTATGGAGGGAACTGTGAGAACACCTGCGAGTGCCAGAATGGAGAATGCCATCATGTTACAGGTATTCAACCTTTTTATTGCGCCAAGCCAAACTGGCTCTCTCAGCTGCGCCAGACGGAATGCCTTTTAAACTTTTTTCCTCTCCTTGACGAAACTTCTTCTTTATTCATCACCATGCACTAGTTAGGACCTTTAAAGGTCGTTTCGGGGGAGCTGCATGAGAGATAATGTTTTGATAGCTTACAAAAAGGAAGGGAGTCGAGCCGGAGGGTGCCGCATCCGACGGATTAGCTGTCTAGCATAATATGTTGGGATATTAATGATTGATGCCATCCACCAGACGAAAAACTCGCTCGAATACTTGTTATACATTTTTTTAAAATTTTTATAGAAACAAACACTTAGGTTAAAGTTATTTTAATTAGCGATAATTCCACAACTGTTCTCCTGCCACATTTATAAAAATAGTTTCTGCGCAAATAATTGAGACTGAAAATATATATATAATATATGAACACAAAAAATGTATGTAATGATTATAATTGATAATGAGAATAATTTAATTATTTTTAAAATAACCAGCCTAATTGAGATAACTATTTTCTCTGCAAAATATTTAATTTTAGAATTTGTAATTTGGTTTTAATTTCACATTGAAATTAAAATCTGATTTAATTGATTAAAAAATATTTCCTAATTGGAAAAGGATGCTCATTTACTGTATTAAATTATTGCTAATAGTTATATATTTATTTTTTATTTGCATTAATATTTTCACCTTATAAAGTATTGTAATATTTTTTAATTTATCACAATGTCACTATATATTGAAAAATACTTGAATATGCAGGAAAGTGGAAATTGACAAAATTTCAATTAAAGTTTTGATTTCTGTTTAATGATTAAAAATATTAAAATTGTAATATATGATGTGCAAGTGCATCGACCTTTTTAATTTAACAATCGAGTGAAAAATGAAACGACCAAATAGTATGCATATTTATAATACACATATCCGCACATATCTTTTCAAATTTTTGGCAAACCAATTCAATTTTGTTGAAGGTTCAAATATTAAATAATAAACGACTAAATAAGCCATAATTTTTAATATGCAAATTTTCCAGGCGAGTGCATTTGTCTGCCAGGCTGGGAGGGTGGCGACTGTTCTACCCCCTGCCCTGCCGGTCGTTTCGGACTGCGGTGCAGCCAGCGTTGTGCGTGTCAGGACGTGACCCAGTGCGACCCTGCGACTGGCAATTGTCGCTGTCCGGCGGGGAAAATGGGCCTCACATGCGAGGAGGATTGTCCCGCAGGTCGCTGGGGCGCCGACTGCGCCTTCGAGTGTGGCTGCAGCAACGGCGCCGAATGCAGCGCCACAGACGGCCACTGCTCGTGCGGCCACGGCTACACAGGCCACCGCTGCGAGCACCTCTGTCCTGAAGGCCACTTCGGGAAAAACTGTTCCGAAGAATGCGTTTGCCTGAATGGCGGCGACTGTGACGCCGTCAGCGGCGCCTGCACCTGTCCAGCAGGGTGGCACGGAGCAGACTGCTCGGAAAAGTGTCCTGAGGGGACCTACGGTGACGGATGCACTTTGTCCTGTCTTTGTGAAAATGATGCCGAGTGTGATAATGTGGACGGCGTATGTAATTGCAAGGCAGGCTGGACGGGACGCTTCTGCAACGAAATTTGTCCCAACGGCACTTGGGGCCTGGACTGCGCCAATGAGTGCGAGCTGAACTGCACCAGCAACGGGTTCTGCTCCTCTGAGAACGGATCCTGCGTCTGTGAACCTGGATTTGGAGGTAGGAAGCTTTAAATATAAATTTGAAACAAGCCGAAATTTTAATTTTTTTCCAATTATAACATGATTGCAAAATTAAATAATAACATTAATGAATTTTTTGGCTTCAAAAAGGTATGAAGTGATTTTTGCGGTTTATTTAAAAATCATAACTTATTTAAAACATATAAGAATACATGGATTGTAAATTGCAATTTCCTTTATTTTCACAATTATATTTCAGGCGAGCTTTGCGAGCTGGCAGTGGAATATCTACCTTCGAACGAAGATGTGACCGACGGCGGTTCCTCGTCGACTGGTCTGGCAATTTTCATGTTGATGGCAGTAATTGTCGTTGGAATTGCGATCGGCGCTTATTTTTTCTTGCGCAGAAGAAGAGAGTTGCGTGTCAGCGAAGGCTACAACAAAACTGCTACAAGTGAAGTTGCGAATGGAGCTATTTGAATAAATGTGCGTGTTGAAATTTTGAAAAGTGAATGACAAAAAAAGGAGTTGCAAGTTTACCAGTTTTGTACAAATTTAGTTTTTAGTTTTAAGCTCTCAAAATATTTTTTAGTGTATTGCAATTGAAAAAAATTGATCTAATAACTTGAACCTTGAACTTTATAAATTTTTCCTGCTGATTTGTATCGTTTATCAGTTTGGAAAAGCTCAAAAAGGTTGTTTGGATAGAATTATTTCAAAAAATTTTGTGCCAAAATGTACATAAATGTTGTGAATAAAACCATAAAAATAATACTATTAAACTTGTATAAAAGCGGTTTTATTGAGATAAATTTCTATTTTTCAAATCTGATATATATATTTATTTAATTGTTCAAAAAATTTAGCACGAAGTGTCGTAGCGGACAGAGTTCAGCTCGCTGAGGCCAAGAATGTCGGCGATTCTGTTTCTCAGCGAGTGCAGGTCCCTGCTGCTTATGGCCACCCCTCCGTATGCTGAAGGGCGTCCAAGCACTTTGACCCACAGGGCAGGTCTATCCTCGATTTCTTCATCTTCGTCACTCAAAGGTACCGGCTGGCAGTAGGCTAAAACTATAAACTCGCTTGAACGGGCAGCAATCACCAGCATATCAGAATCTAAAAAGATAAAAATTCATTAAAAAAAATCAAATCATTAGAAGAGTAATTAAGTATTAAATTATATTTTATAATTAAATGCCGCTTTCATTTGGGCTTAAATTAAATTTTCTTATTACTGAGGGTTGAGGGTCTCTTGGCCATCAAAGTCAAACGTCCAGGCTCCAAGGGGTCGGTGATCTCAAGTTTAGAAATGCCGGTTTTCCTCTTTTCAGCGCCCAGTCTGATTTCAGACCGTAGACTCAGACCACTTTCGGAGGCGTCAGAAATGAACGTGCGAATGCAGACTTTGCTTCTGGTGTCGTCATGCTTTTGAGGAACGCCGTTTCGCAATAGTAGAGTCTCCACAGTCAACCAAGGACCCTCCAACTTAACACAAAAATTGCATCATTTTAATAATTTTTCTTTAAGAGAATATTCCGAGGAATGTAAATTTTTTGCTCTCACCCCTTTATGGTCAAGGCTGGTGATCGGCTTGAGTCTGGAGCACAAAATTCTGTGCTGGTGCGGCACGTAGGCATCTGATTCGACGAAAATCGACGCAAGAAGCGTCACACCGAGAAGCCAAATTGCACCCATATTAAGACCTCTCTTCTTTTGGCGAATAATTTTGAGACTGTGTATTGTAGTCGCACAAGTGCAGACTTCACTGACAAAAGACCTTTTTATCACAGCAGAGGAAATCCTGTCACATGGACCAGATTTGTTATAATAACTTCAACTAATATATGACGCGCATTATTGCAGCAGCAATTTTTATCCCAAGGATAAAACTGCTTCTGCTGCTCTCCTCGATTGCACATCAAGTTGACAGACGATGAAGAAATAATTGTTCGGTTACAATAAAAAAAGAACTGTTAAATATATTTATATTTTTTTTATTTTTATTTTGCAAAAGGCTAGAAGCACATTGCACTGCGACATTTTATTTTACGTAGAAAAAATTAAGGCAAAGTTGAGGAGTTAAGTACATTGAAATACCGGGATTAATTAATAGATTGAGGCTCAAGAAATTTATGCGGTCAGATCAAGGTCTGACATTGGGACCACCATGGTCTGCAATCCATTTAAGATAGGACGTGGTACTGGTCGCGATCTGGGGCATGGTGCTTCTGCACTCCTGTCGCGGGCCCCAGCTCACGATTCCAATTAGCACTTTCTCACCATTATCATCAATGACAATAGGACCACCAGCATCACCCTGTTTACAAAATAAATAAAACTGAGAAGTATTAAAATAATTTTTATTGCATACGGGACAAGGGCCAGGATTGGGGGTTTGGATTCCCAAGCAAATCGTCGAGCTAAAGATAGCGTCGGACCCATAAATCTCTTCGCAAGCAGAGTTGCTGACCAGGAGGGCTTTGGTCACATTGAGAACGGTGGGGTTGGCCAGCTCGCCTAATATCAACACAAATTATTATAAAATAAGCAATAATTTAAATAATATTTTATATAAATCAAAACAATTTAAAAATGCAAAACTTAATTATTTAATTAATTTAATATTTTTAAAAATATCAGATAAAAAAAGAATACTTCTGCTTGTAATTCCCCAGCCGCTGACAATCGGTTCAATGTCTTTGTTTTCCCATTTGTCCTGCTGTGTCACTTTTGGCAGTAAGACAGGGCTTACCTTATCTGAAAATATCCAACCATTTAAGGTATCCACTGATCTGTACGATCTGATTGAACTGATACCTGCGAAAGTGACAGCATCAGGGAGAATGATGAGGCCCACCGCGTTGGCGTTGGTCAACACGTCGTAATCCTCGTGCAGTACGGCGTGCATGGAGACGAGGACACGCATCGAGTTTTCAGTGGCCAACGACAAATCATTCGTTCCCAAGTAGATTTCCCAAATATGTCGTCTGAAATTATTTACTTGATAATTATTGATGCAATATACTCATGATGCTTGATTACTGAGCAAAATTATTTAGTCATCTTAGCGTTAAAAGAGATAAAATTTTCTTGTTCAATTTCTTTTCGCCCGTGTATTGTGTACAAAAGAAAACATGTGTTATCGCTTGTCTTGCAAAAACGATTGAAATACAGATTAAACGCGAGCCGACAAAGAAAACTGCGAAAATAGACGCCTTATGCTTGTGAATAAAGTGATAAGGCCGACACTTTAATGTCCACTCTATACGCCGCGCAGTTTGAGTGGCTGATTAGCTTAAATCACTTTTCAATAATGCTTGAAAAAAGTCTATTTGTTGTGCAGATGAATGTTTTGATAAACGAATACTCAAAAGCTCCAAAGTTCAAGGTGAAATTAAATTTAAAAATTTCCGCAAAATTAAAAGCTCTCACCCGTCGATGCAGTGGGCGGCGGTGAGAACGGCCCTTTCGGAAATCAGCGCTCCTCCGCAGAAAACGCCGCGGTCGGCGAAAATTCCCACTTGGTACGCAACCTCGCCATCTAGGGCAGGTCGTTCACCAGAGTCTTCAACGCGTCCTAAGTGAACTAAAACGTTGGAAAACAAAATAAAATCGATTTCCTTTGCTTAATTACAGAAAAACAAACCTGAATTGCCCCTGCCTTCGTAGTAGCGATTTGGATCTATCCATTTAATTTGAGGAAAAGTGCTCTGTAAAAAAATAATTTAGCGGATTATTGATAAAATTAATTTCATTAGCGTTTGTTAAGCTATGGCTTGTATTCAAATTTTTAATAGCTTCACTGATTTTAAATTTGAATTTCTTGGAAATTTAAAAGAAATTTTATATGAATCTTGCAGATTTTTATAATTTTTCTAAAGCAGAAAATGCCGTATAATATCTTACAAAGTGAAAAGTTATTTTGGTTTGTTTTTTAGCAGGATTTTAGTCTTATAATTAATTTAATAATTATAATATTATAATATATTTTTCAGTTTGCACTGTAAATTCAGTTTTCATATTTTCATAAAATTTATTAAATTTCATAAAAATTTGACAATTATTATACATCAAAAGAAATTACTCAATGCCTTTAAGTTAATGATATTATACTAAATAGTATAGATTTGGTTTGACATGCTAACGATTTGTTAATTAATAATTAAGCAGTAACTTAACAACACACGAAACTATCTTTTTTATTTAATTATAAGTTTTGATTCCTATATAATATTGTATAATAAAATTAAAACCAAAAATATTGATCATAATAAAAATTATATATATTTTTTAATTTTGTTTATAATTAGTTAAATAAAACGGTTAATTAATAATATCAATTTTAAAATAAAATACCTGTTCAATGTTTACTGCTGCAGCAAAGGCAACACCAATAAGAAGGAAGAGCAGTTTCATTTCGCCTGTGATCTGTTGCGTGCTTGTCTAATAACTTGAATCAAATTGGCGCTCTCCCCCAATATATATGAGATTTCATATCAGAGGGCTGGGTGGACTGCCGTGATTACAGGTTGACATCACCGCGACTGTTATCGCCCTATAGCTAAATCGCGTTTGCATGAGCACGTAAAAAAAGTCGCAAGGCGTCATTATTCTGGAATGAAAAAAATGCTAACCATAGACTAATTGAAAATTAACGAAGAGGCCCAATGTTTTTTTTTAATCCCAGGAGTTTTAGTGCAAAATCTCTTGCCGTTTTTTTTTCTCTTATAAAATATAAATCTGTTTTATTAAAAATTGATTACAAATATAATTACAATTGGACGAATAAAAAAAGAAACAATTAAATTAGTCAAAAGTTCATAATATAATTTTTTCCTTTCAAGTGGTTTCTTTGGGTTTTAAATTCTCAAATAAAAAGAAACAATTTTAAATCAGAGAACATAAAAATCTTGTAAATCTGTTTGTGTCGGAAACTAATTATCAGTGCAATTAACTAATGCAGTTAAAAACATGATTTTCTGACGGTCGTCACAAATTAGTCTTCATGCATTTGACTATTAGAGGTCAGGCAGCAAACAACAGAGGATGAAGACGGTTTTAGTTCTTTTTACTGCGCTACTTTCAGTGCTTGTAAGTATATTTTAAATCCGGAAAAGAATAATTTAAGAAATTAACATTAACACCATATTTTTCAACACAGGCTGACGATAGTGGTCCTCCAAGCTTCATTAGCGAGGCTCCTGTTCATGAGCAGGTTGTCGACGATATTTACAGCCTGATGGAAATGGTGAATAATTTGAAGTACTTTGACATCGCCAGTATTCCGACCTTCTTTCCTCTTGACGAAAATTTCTTTGACATTATGTTTCTCTTGCAGAAAATTAAGGTAACAGATTTAATTTAGAATTTATATTTAATTAACAGAAAAGTTCAGGTTGATTCGAGTGATATCAAGAAGTTGCGATCGAAAACCACAAAGGACGTTGCCAAAATTCAAGACCTTTTCTACAAGCACTCTTCTGGCCTCGCCGAGTTCAACGACTTGCTTGCCGAGACGGCACACGATTTGCTTTCCAAAAGCAAGGACTATTTGAAGCTTGAAGAGAACTGGCGCGCGATTCTGCGAGTTTCCACGGGGTCGGTCAGCGACCTGATGACCATAATTGAGCGCGTTGAGGTGCGCTCAGCCAAGTTTCAATACACCGTAGAGAAGTTGATAAGATCGGTACTTTTTTTAATTAAAATTTTGTTCAAAGATAAATTTTCTTGTCTTTTTTCAGTCCAGGTCACATGATCTTGAAACTATAACCAAGATCAGAAAGAGGGTTGTTGAGATTGCTGGAGGTTTCAGCGAGAATTATGAGGAGCTGTACATGTTCCTGGCAAAGGCACATGATGCCTTGAACAAAGTGATGCCTGCACTGCGAGCACATATTGCGTATCTGTCAGAAAGTTAGAATTGCAATCGGCATAATAAATAAATTATAATAAATCATCGTTGTTGATTATAAAAATTTCTGTTTTCATTTTAACACATCTTCAAGACGTTTTGGGAAATCATGATATTAAAATAGAAAATAATATTTTTCATATTAAAATTATTCAAAATTCCAAATTAAAAAAAAAAAATTACTGATAGTTGATCATGGTATTTTAAAATCTTAATTCATTAATATATCTTAGCCTCCGCCCTAAAGTGCTATCAATTATAATTCAAGTTCAAGAGACACTCGTAATATTTGATGCGTCTCTCCTCATTATTCTTCGCAGTCTCAATGTCATATTGAAATTAACGTACTGTTAGATAATAGTTTTTAAATTTTATCTCGTTAATTAGGCAACTAAGCTAATAGGTTTGTTTTGGTATAACAATGGATAATTGTTAGTGTTACCAAGACTGTCAAAAGGCAAAGATGTTAAAGGCTACGGCCCTGCTTTTAATATTCTCATTTCTGTGCCAAAATGTAAGTGTTTACAATAACTTTAATTTCCGTTTTTTCATAAAAACTGTCTATAGGAAGCTTTTCCATCATACTATAGCTTTAAAGCTGAGGATATCGTTGGAGGCAACGTCGTGGAGAAAATTCACAGTCTCATATACTCGGTTGAGGAAATACAAATTTTTGAATTAGCTAATGCTCCAACGTTCTTTCCGATCGGCCGAGACTTTTTCGAGCTCATTGAATATCTCCATTTACTAAACGTAATTTAATATTGATGTAGAATAATTAAAATAAATTTCTTGAATTTCTTTTAAGATTGACAGATACACCATTCAAGACATTCGCGATTATGCTTTTAAAGAAGTCCGGGCGATTCACAAATTGATCTACGAACACGAAATGAAAATTTCTGAATTTGTGGAGCTTCTGGCCAACACGGCATTCCACGTTCGCAGCCGCGACAATGAGGTGGAAAAACTGGTGCGCGATCTGCGGGGCATCGAGGACGCTTCGACTGCACTCATAATTGACGTTTGGGGAATTATCGTCCGGATCGAATCTCTCTCTGAAGAGTTTGCTTTTCGAATGGAGGATGCGATTTTGGCAGTGGTTTGATTAAAAAATGAAAATTTCAAAATATTTATTTTCTCAATAATTCATTTTCAGGACGTTAAAATTCCAAACGCATTGGACGAAATCCGTGAGAGGGTGACCAATTTGGGACAATCATACGTGGACAAATACGATGGTTTTGCAAATTTGATGGAAAACGTGCAGCAGAAATTTGGAGATATGCTGCAAGCCCTGGTGCTATACATTGATTTGGCCAAGGAGGAGGCAAAGCATCAAATTTTGGACAGTAAAAACTAATTATAAAATCAAAGGCGACCAGAAAAAAATTTGTTTTGACAATGCTTTGTGAGTACAGCATAAAAACCACAACAATAATTTCCTATAATTAAACAGTCGAATCTCTCTGATTGTGGTTCGCTGGCGTTATTATTCTTAAATGTACAAAAAAATTGACCATAGCTAAATAATTTTTTTGCTTCCCAAAATTGAATATAAGGCAAGTGTATGGACAAATAAAATATAACTTTGGAAAAAAATTCAATATTGGTTTCAGTGTTCCTGTGTATGAAACTAATTAAACTTAGGGGAGCAGAGAAAAGCATTTTTTTTTTTATCTGTTATTGCAAAATAAAAATCACAATAGTATATGGTATTTACACTTCCTAACTTATTTGATTGTTAATCTAGTCTTAACATAAACTCACAATTAATTTGAAAATTGCATAGACGACTAAAAGTATTAAATTAACATAAAACATTAAAATTTGTTTGGATTGAAATATAAATTATAAAACTACTTTAAATAATTTCTAGCGTGATTAGAATATATTTTTATTCATTAAAATTTCCAGCTTGACCGTTGGATACATAGTTTGCACAGTATATTTAATTTAAATTTTGCTTGACTGAATATCAAAATGATACATAGTATTATTAAAAAAAGTCAAATTTTTCTGTCCATTTACCTATCACAGCAAAAGTAAAAATATTAGCCCAAGATCTGCCGTTATAAGATTTTTAGCGATTCAATCTGATAAAATTTAACTTTCAATAATTGTCATTAGACTCTTTTGAGTCTTCGACTAAACTTATTTGGAATTTAGGAAGTTCAAGATACACTTTGGGAAGAGCAAACTTGGTTCCGTAAAATCCTGCCCAAAACTGACTATCCTTGCCATACCTTGTAAATCGAATTCTTCTCACTCCTCTATCATAATTCTTGATTGAAATAGAAACCTGACAAAAGGTAAAGTAAATTTTAAGTACTGATATTATTACTGGTACTCACTTTTCTCCAGGAGCCAGGACCTCCTCCATGTGTTCCCACCTGACATATTTTGCGATAATCAGACGTGTCGCTGTTGTGGCAGAAAAGCTCAAGAACCAGGCTGTATTCGTTGCCACAATCCCATCTTGTCCCGATCCTGAAGAAAATGAAAATTAATAAATCATGATGAACTAAAATCAATATGATTCAGAATTAAAATGAAAGTGAAAGAAAAAATTTAACATTCTAAAATGCTACTAATTGTAAGATTAATTTTTATCTCTGGAGCTTCAGAAAAAAAAGAAATAAATAATCAAATTGTTTTAGAATTTAAACAAAATTTCAAATTGAAGAGGTTTTAGTAATTATTAAACAGAAGATTTTGTAGTAGAAGTTCACGATCGAGGGTTGATTCATGGTTGATTGAATTTAAATTCGGCTTTTCCTCGATGGGTTTTTGTGAGTTTTTATTGTTTAAGAAAAACAATATCCTGCTCTACATGTTTCGGCTGCGGGCTGCAGCCATAATTCATGAGCTTTCTCGGCGGTGCTTCTCTCGACCACCGCCGAGAAAGCTCATGAATTATGGCTGCAGCCCGCAGCCGAAACATGTAGAGCAGGATATTGTTTTTCTTAAACAATAAAAACTCACAAAAACCCATCGAGGAAAAGCCGAATTTAAATTCAATCAACCATAAACAGAAGATATTTTACTTGTCTCCACGGATTTTTTTTTTTAATTTGTGAGTTTGTTTAAAAATCAAGATAACTATTAATTTAAAAATAATAAAAATGATTATGGCTTTCAGATGTTGCCTGAATTTTAATAATTTTATAGAAAATTTTAAAATGAAATTATTGTAAGCATTGAGTTGATAAAAAATGCAAACCATTCTTCTGCAACAATTGTCGGCTTGATGACGTCCATCAGTTCATCACTAATATTACATTCCGAGAGAATAATGTCTTGGTACTGGCTGGTCATCGAATGTGAAGTTGCAACTACTGGACAGTTTTTTGCGTCTTGGATTCCGTTTTCCTTTAAATCACTCCAAGAAATAAATTCTGGGTTGGCACCAATGGAAGGTTTCTCCCGCTGATAAGGGCCTCTTGTAACCCAGTGAGGAACGTTGCCTAAAAAAATTAATTGTGAAATCGTTCAAATTTTTTAAATAATAATCCATACTGTCTCTGACAAAAGTAGGATTCAGCGATTGAATGAAGGCAGAGGCCATGTTAGTCGGAGCCAACTCGAATAGGACATTCCGCAGAAGGTTCTTCTTGAGGTTGACGATGAGATCGTAGTAGACTCGGACGTTCAGATTTTTTTCTCGGAGTGCCTCCCTCATCTGGACGCTTTTGACCGCTCTCCTTGGAAGGACAATCTCGTCGATGACCTCCTTCCACAGCCTGCAGACAGGTCGGCACTTGGTGATGAGGCATTTGGGATCAAGGAAGGAGAAAATTTCCTCGAGAACCTCTACCGGCGGATTGAATGGAACCATGTTGTCCTTCTTTCTGCAAAAATGCAAAAAAAAAAAAAATTAATTCAGAACTTATATGATGGTGGAATTTACTTTTGAGTCGTACGTTAAACAATCGTTTATCATTTCAAAGTACAAAAAATATTATCTAAGCGATAAATGACTCCATGTCCTCCATGAACTCCAAACTAAGAAAAATGGACCTTTGAAATTAAAAATGTTTACATACATAATACATAATGTATGTAATTTTTTATTCAGAAATAACATACAAAGTAAGAAATTAAAATATGATTCGATTCATTTTCGAAAAACACGGAAATTCTGGTGTACTAGCACAAGGAAATCCTTATTATCGAAAAATGAATGTAAGTATGTTTGTAAAATTAACAAACCTTTTTGGAGATCCGAATAGGAAATTCACTTTATCCATTTTTGCAATAAAAACTAAATTTATGTTGAACGAAAAATTTCAGCAAAATGTGTGTAATGTAGTAAATTAGAAATTCAAAGGTTAATATTTTTTAAAGTATCTCTTAAATCCAGAGAAACAAAAATGCGTATGCAGCGCAGCAAGACTCAAAAGTTAACTCAACTATGTATGTATAATGAGTAATTATTCAATTAGTGCAAATATGTGTATTGTGTTATAGTCAAAGCTCGAAGCTGTCAAGAAGTGAAAGGGGGTGTAACCCAAGAAGTCTTGCTTTAGCCTTAGCCATCAGCCACGCCCCTGCGCCATCCACCACAACAAACATTAAGCCGAAGGGACAAGCTAAATTGAAATTTTAGCCTAAGCCAAGTAGATTTTGGTTGATTATTTGTTTCCAACGGTGCACCTTGACCCTAGACTATGGAAGTAGAGGGTGTTGAAAGTCTTTTATCGGAGGCAGTGAGAGAACTGAATGAAGAGATTGGTTCGCATGTTGATAAGGCACGAGAAGCTTACCAGCAATACACATCAGAAAAACATGAAATCGAACAAATGGTTTGTTCTAGTTTACCCTGCATTATTTAATAAATATACAATATTTTTTTTTAAATTTTATTTATTTTTAAATCAGCGATTTGGGTTCAAATTTAACGCGGCAGCCGAGTCTTTTTGACCTTTAGTGTTTTAAGAACTTCTTATTATTTTTCATTTTTAATTTTATTTTGACACTACTGGACACTACCAAGCAAAAAATGTATATTAATAATATGTTTTATATATATCTACATAATCTGAACTTCATATTGTAACCTTTAAAATCTTATGCTTTTGTTTTATTATTAAAATTTAAAAGTTTTTGAATTATAATTTTATTTTTCAGTTGGACGTCGCAAGTAGTGCCGCAAGGGTTACCGCCGCAGTCCATGAGGTAGAATCTGTTTCTTCACAAATTGCCACTGTTGTAGAGCAGTATGACACTTTGAGTGTGCACAGAAAGGGTCAATTAGAGGAGCAGCTGCAAACTCAGGTAAAATTAATTTTGACACTGATTTTCAATAATCAAAATTACATACCTTGATTTATTTCTGTCTCATATTGACACAGGTTGAGAGGGTTGGTCAATTAGAGGCAGCTGTGGCCTATCTAAAACGAATCCAAGAACTGGAAGCCATAAGCAATCAATTGGAAGCTAATTTTCATCATGAAAGACAGGCTGTAGAGCGGCTCGGAAAATTGGCACAAATGGCAGCAGCTCTTTCTGGCAGCAACTGCCACCATCTTACAAGTTTTTATGCCGAGACTCAAGGATATTGGCATACTTTAATCAGAGAAAAACTTTCTACGTATGATATTTGTTTCTTCCTTCGTTGCTTCTTGCTGACAATTGTTATCTAGGGAGTTCGATGATATTTTGAAGGAGATCAAGTGGCCGATGGTGGCTGACATCACCGCAACCCCTTCACCAGATAGCCTGGCGCGGTTTGATTCTTTGGTTGAGCTTCTTTTGCTGCTGGAAATGACGTGATTTTAATTTTTTTTATAAAGATTTTTATGAACACTTGAATGTTCACAGTGAAGGCCATGAGGTACCTAAAAGTCGATCAGCTCTCTTGTCAGACTTTCTTCCTCCTCCACTTCCTCTTCAATTGATGGTGAGGCCACTTCGAAGACGCTTCTTGTACCACTTCTCAGGCTCAAGACAGACAAATCGACTTGACAAGCCGGAGTGGTTTATGGCACAAGTCCTAGCATGGATACGAGAGCATGTAACATTTTTATCTCAGAGGGTTCAGCCTGTGCTGGACAAGGTGAAAGGAGACGAGGCGCCATCAGCTCAAGTAAAAATTTACCTTTCAATGTGCCAGAATGAAATGAGAACATAATTTTTTTCAGATTGAGTTTTCAAGGGCTTTGGTCCAGCTAGTTTTGGAAAAGCTCCATTCAGAGCTGTCTATTTTGGAGCAGGACGACGCTTTGTTTGCCCACGCACTTGACGAAACGCTTTCTTTTGACAAGGAGCTCAGATCAGGACTAGGGTATCCCATTAGTCAACCTGGAGTAGTCGGAGTCTTGACCCAAGCTCCTGTTTTTGTCAAATGGATAGCGATGGAAAAAAAATGTGATAATTTTTTTAGTTTTTGCTGTGAGATTAAACTGAATTGAATGCTATTTAGATGCTGGCGAAAGAATGGACAGAATGCTCTGTTCAGAGACAGCTTGGCAGGCTCTTGCCTCTCAAGAAGAACAACTCAAAGTTACGGAATGCGCTGATGCATTTATCGCCCTTTTGGCAACAATGACTGATAGATTTCGCCACCTCCCTCAACCTGGCCACAGGTATTTGGGTGTTTATTTGTTTTTGTATCAAATAAAAATAAGACGACTCTTAGACTTCAGTTTGTGGAGCTGCAGCTTGAGTTGATTGAAGAATGGCGTGTTAGGCTAGTCCAAATTTTGAGGGAAGAGCGGCTGCTGCCATTAGCTTCTCGTTTGCCAGCCATATTAAATTCAGTCTGCTACGTTGCTGCAGTTTTAAGGGAATGGGCAGAGCAGCCGCTGCTTCTACAGCTTCAATTGTATAGGCAAGGCCATGTGCAGGGCTGTGTGTTTGACGATGCACTGCAACTCCTAGAGAGCCTATCTGAAGAACTGCTTGAAACATTGACGGAATCTGTGTTACTCGACGTCAAAGCCAAGAGCAGGGAATACAGAAAAGACAAGTGAGGACTCAGATTTATTATATTGTCTTTTTATTTTAAGAAAATAAAATCGTTCTAGGTGGTTCTGCATGACCAGCGATGAAAACACTTTGACACCATCGGCCTGTGAAATGATGCAGATTCTCTCTGCTCGGTTATTGCAACTTAAAGAATTATTGGCTGAGAGCTCATTCAACAAAGCTTGGCACTCACTCGCCACTCACTTATCCCAAGTAAAGAATTTTTATTAAAATATATTAATTATATAATCTTTTGTTGTTTTCAGTTTTTAATGGAAGAACTGGTGCTTGAGAACTGGTTCAGCTCAGGGGGTGGATGTCAATTCCAATACGACCTCATTCACGGCCTATTTCCTTTGTTCGGCCAGTTCATGGCCAGGCCCGACAATCTTTTCAAGCCGTAAGTTTTTGAACCAACAATAACTTCTGAATTCATGATGACACAAATTCTAGGTTGAAAGAAGCGTGCATATTGTTAACCCTTGCGTCCGGCTCTGCCAAGCTGCTGGCTGAGGTCTTGAGGGACGAAGTTGACCCCACAGATGCTCTTGCTGAGTTGGGATTGCACAGACTGAATCCACAAGAAGCTAGAGAAATCCTCTCCCGGAGAAATGACATCAGTGCTTCTGATCTGTGATGCTAATATGTAAGCACGAAAAGCTTTTTTAATTACATTTCCCCCCAAAATTTCACAAAATAAAATGAGCAACTTCACGAGAACTTTTTTTCAATAAAGAAAGAAGAAACAGAAAGCAGTGTTTTACTGGAAGAAAAAATTGTGATTACCTATTTATCTTCTACTGCTCAAAACTGTTTCACTCCTTCTTGTCATCCACACACCAGGCCCAAAATAGAAGGTCACTCTACCAATACTATTTTTAAACAATATTTAACATTTGAAAACTTAATGATTAAATAAATTACTTGAATTGTATCAAACAAGATTTCTTTGTAACTATAAACTATTAATCCTGCTCTTTTGCACTTGACAGCTAATTTTGCATCTTCCACGGTTAGAATCTAAAAAAATTATTGGCAGTGTAGTGGATCTGAATTTGGTCTGCTTGAATTCAACCAAGAAATAACTTCCTAAATCTGGAGACTGCTGGTATCACTTTTGTCTTTGATTTTAATTTAATGGGACCTCAATACACTCTCAAAGGATGTGAAACTTATGAATATTCAGTTTTAATAACATGAAGTATTCTAATAAAACAATTATATACAGAATTATATTATTCAGCGCAATAATATAAAAGATAAGTCAAATTAATTAATCATTTTCAGTGAATTTGAAAACAAAAACGTATATTAAAATCAATTAAAATATTTTTCAGCTTTTACAAAAGCTAAAATTTATAATAAATATTTTTAAGCTATTTTTAAGCTGTTATGAAATTCGGAAATCAGTCTGATGTTTTTTAAAATTAAAAATACTGGAGCAAATCCAAATAAAGCTTATTTAAGGGAAACTTTGTGCCACTGTACATATTGCTTTCTTCCGGATCTCTGATTTCACCGCTTTCTTGTCCACAGCGTGAAAAGCTAATCCATCTCACTCCTGGGCCGTAGTTTTTCATTGTAAAAATTACCTTCATAGAAAATTATTAAATTAATACAATTTCAAAAATATGAAAAAGCTACCTTTCTCCAGGCACCTGTACCTTGACTAGGTGTTTTAATTAAAATGTATTTTGACAAAATCGGTGTGCTGTATTTTTTATTCCGGAGATTTGCATGTAAAGACGTACAACTTCCGAATACTGAAGAGGTTCCGACCCTATAATTTAAAAATGCTAAAATTACTTTATTTTAATTGTTAATCAATTTTTGTACCATAATTCGAAAATGATGACAGGCTGGATTTGGTCCATGAAATCTCCACTGATTTTCAGTTCTTCGAGATTAATTTGCTGCGAGTGAATGGAACCCGAGCCCCAGGAAGCAATCACAGTCAATTCCTTTTTCAACTTAAAACCAAATCGGCACAGTTCAAATTTGGGAATTCCCTCATCATGGAGCTTCTCTGCTTTGAAATATCCTCCTGTTTCCCAATGCAAGACTGGATCTAAATAAAAATTCTTCAAATAAATTTTTAAACATTAAATTTTGGCACCAACAATTTTCCTTCACATTTCCTCTTCTGATCATTTCCAAGGGGTTGTAGTATTTCGGTGGTGCTGGTTTAAAAAATTGATTGCGCAGCAGGTTTTCACAAAGAACCCGTTTAGTTTCAATCCGCAGTTTTGAATCTAGAAGTTCGTAATGCTCCTTGTAATTAATTAATCTCGGAATCAAAATTCTTTCTACAGCCAATAATCGGTCAATTGTGTCTTTCCATGATTTGCAAACGCGTCTGCATCGAAGGAGCGCATTCGAGTCATTGAGTTGAAGGAAAATGAGCTCCTGCACTTCTATCGGAAGCTCAACTTTTTTCTTCATCAAGAAACCTATAAAATTTAAAGCAAATTAGTTTAATTTTTAACGGATGTTAATAAAGATTATTTCTAATAGTGATCCATGTTGTCATGCAAAATTATTTTCAAAATGTGCATGAAATCGTGGGTAAATCTTTTATTAATTTTTAATTAGCATTCTTATAATCGATTAAATTTTAAATTAATTTACACTAAAAAGTTGCGAAATTAAAATTAATAAAAGGTAACAACACTTTAGATAAATTACTTTTGATCTAATTAATTAAGGTTGTTAATGACCTGCCTTAGGTTTAAATCTAATTTATAAAAAAATATTGAAAATATTATAATACTTACCATTTGTTAAATCAATAATAAAAATAATTAAATTAAAAAGTAATAAAAAAAAATATGACTTCATAAAATATAAAAATTATTTTACGTAACCATTTTAAAATTAAACAGTAAACTTGTAAAATAATGTATTTATGTCATAAAAACTTAACTAAAGATTTCTGTTTACCTGAATAGTCCAGCCAGCAAGAAATTTTGATGTATCAAATCAAGCTTATCTTTGGATTTTGTGTCAATATGCGGTGGGTGTTAAGATGTGTCCAGGCACACGGGTGACACGGGCTCCAGGAAACTTTCCTCTCAATCCTTCTATCCGTTTTTAAAATTTTAAACGAGGCCACGTTCGAAGAAAAAAAGTTAATTATAATTAATATAATTAAAGGTAAAAATGAGGTAAGTCTGGAAAATTAAAAAAAAAAAAATATCAGTTCATCTTCGAGGAAAAATGTAAACAAATGTCTGTGACTGTGGCTGTTGTTGTGCTGTGTGGTCAATGACGTCTGTGTCCTCCGTGTCGGTGCTCGTGGCTGCCCGAACGAAAATCCCTCTATAGTGAGTCAACAGTATTCGTAAGAGCCGAAGCAGCACTCTTCGTGCCCTCTTTAGGCAGAGCCTCACAGCTTTCTTGGCTTTATTCAAAATTATAATTTTTATAGAGGAATATAATGATTTAGTTTGAATTTAATAATTTATCAGAAGGCGAGTTAAATATATACCTAAATTATAAATTTTATGACAATTGTATACATGTTTAAATTAATATTAAACTCTCAAATAAACTATTGTGTAAATTTTATTTAAAGAAAAAATTGATTGAAATTTTTAAGACACTTTTTTATCAAAAATAAATCACTAGAGTTGCATAATTTCAACATTGCAAGGGCTAAATACAATAGATTATATATAATAAAACTTGTTGCGAGAGAAGAAATAAATAGAGTAGATTTAACGAGGACGAAATCTGTTTGGGAAAATTACGATAACATATTAGTCAATGAGACGTAATTAGCTCTCTCAAATGAAATTATCACATTTTGCTGCTCATCCAGACAGGCGGTATGAGAACGTATTCTCTAGTGACAGCGGCTATTGAAGTGGTCCCTGTGTAATAATTAATTTTTCACCGATATCTATTAAATTATTATTATAAAATTGAAAATTTACCAGAAAGCGCCATGGTCACTTCCAACTCCTTTTTCAAGATGTGCAGTACTTTTTCCACGCCTTCTTGCCCGCCACACGCCAAACCCCAAATCGCTGGTCTCCCGACAAACACCATTTTTGCACCTATTGCAATCGCCTTGAAAATATCAGTTCCCGTCGACACTCCGCCGTCAATGTAAACCTCGCAATTTGTGCCTTTTAGATTTTCAACGATAGCGGGAAGAACATCCAACTGCAATAAATAAATATTAAAAATTTAAATTGTCTCTTGAAATCAATTTTTTATTAATACTGGAGCTGGAACTGTATCAATTTGCCTTGCGCCATGACTGGAGACGACTATTCCTGCCGCTCCATGCTCCACCGCCAATAGAGCATCTTCGACTGTCAAAATTCCCTTCAGAATGACGGGCAACGGTGTAATCCTTGAAATGCAAATTTTTAACTTTTGATATATTTAATTTAAAATTTTCCTACGATTTCAACCAGGCAACATCTTTCCAAGAAAGACTTCTATCCAGCAAGCTCGCCACATATTCATTTACGCCCGACCCTTCGCCGCTGGAGGTCATGTCACTCCTGGTTATTCCTTTGAAGTTGGCAACTCTAGAAATAAATATTTGTAAAACTAATTTTTATTTTCTTGAAATATTAAATGTTTTCACTCAAAATGCGGCGGCAGGGAAAATTTATTTCTCGTGTCAGCGTATCTAATTCCAAAAATCGGCGCGTCCACCGTGAGGACGAGTGCCTCGAAGCCAGCGTTTTCTGCTCTCTTGACCAACTGCCTGGTGACCTCTCTGTCCTTGTAAATGTAGAGCTGGAACCACTTGCGCGCTTTCGGCGCCGCAGCCGCCACGTCTTCGAGGGCTGTGGTGCTCAGAGTGCTCAGCACGAAAATCGAACCTAGCTTTTCAGCAGCTCGGGCGTTTGCGATTTCACCATCGGGGTGTGCCATTCTCTGAAGGGCAGTCGGTGCCACTCCGAAGGGCAAAGGTGTTGGCTTGCCTAGGACGGTGCTGGTCAAGCAGCAATTCGATACGTCTCGCAGAACCCTCGGCTTCAGTTTCACCCTAGAATTAAAATGTTTTCGTTAAAATTTTCACCAATTTACATGTAAATTATTAAAAATATTCAAAGCGTCGACCAAAGACACGAGTCTGACTTTGTGCCCTTTTATGGTGGTGCAGCAGGACCCAATTTAAGCAGTAATTTGTTTATTTTTAACATTTTTTAGTTCTAAAATTTTTTATTTTTAATTTTTTTCCCAAAAAAATAGCTTCTGCTTGTTATTGCTGCCTTCTGACCACGGTGCGCCCTCTTTTTTCAAGATAGTCGCGCGACAATTTTTTTACCTCATATACGCATCTCTTGCATCTCGAAGAGAGTTTTCGTGTCCGGCGCCTGATTTATAATAATCCAACGGATGCTTCGCTAGTATTCCAGTTGCTTTTTCTTCAAAGTCTTTTACACAAACAAGTCTGTCAAGCGTTGCCATCTTAATGCAGTATAATTCGGATACGTGTTTTTATCTCTCGAGCTTGAATCAACCTTCCAGCCTCACGATGGGCGACACACATTCAGATTCCGAGTGCAAATAAGCAAGTGACTAGAGGTCTTGAGGAGAAAAAAACGGGTCTCCCCACCTCGAGGCAACAATCTTTAATGCTCCTAAGTTAAGATCATAGAGGTCATTCAATAAAACAATATTGGTTCAATAGTTTTGAGCTCAACTTAATTGAACTTTTTTTTATTAATTGTGAAACTCTAAATGAGCGTTGATAAAAAAAAAAATTAATAATTAAATTACTTGCAATGATCTTAATTTAAAAGTAAAGTCAAAAGTCAAAATAAAAAAAATATCAAAATTTTTAGAGTACTCTCATATTCAGTGCCTTTTATAAAACGGAAATAAAATATTATATAAGATAATATCAAATTTTAGCAGTGGTGGTATCCGGATCATCTGCGCCTGCGAAGAGATTGGTGCCTGCAATCAACCGCTCCAGTCCATCATCAGATCAAACGATTGAAAATAACATGCGGAGCGAGGCGGCATTCTTCGTGCCCTCTTTAGGCAGAGTCTCACAGCTTAATTTAAAATTATAAAATATAATTATCAATTATCTTCTTTATGGGGTAGAATTTTCAGAATTGATTGTTCACAATAAAAATTTTAAATGAATATTTGTTTTGCTCTAAAATAATCCTTTTGTTATAATTTAATATTCATTTTCAATTTTTATGTTGAAATTCAAAATAATCACACAATTGTGTCTAAACTTTTAGCATTATTTCCGCTTATTTGTTTTAAATATAAAAATCTGGCTGCAATTAAATAATCATAATGAATGTTTTACTCTACTTTATTTCAAAGAATAATAAATAGCTAAAATTTACAGGGTGGTTTTATGACAAGGCAAACACTGCAAATTTTATTATTAAGAATCAAGATTTTTATTGGTGATTTTGTTACCATTTGATAATTACAAGAGGAAGAAATGTATTTTATATAATAAGGTTAGAGGGACATTTTTTCTTCTTCATCTAGAGCGTGTGTATGTGTGTCTCGTGTATATGTGTGTGCTTTCAATTCACATATTTTCTTGCAACATATTATTTTATCAGTCAACATTTTTAATTCCCTCTGAGATCTTCTTTCATTGTGTTTTACATCGCATTAATTTGTGTCTGTCTCGGAAATCATCAGAAAACAAAACAATCGACGGAACCTCGTCACAGGTCCATCACAATCAAACAAATTGTTAAAATTTCAACGCGCATTTTTTTGTAAGGTTGTGTCACATTTTTTTTTAATTATTCCGAAATTTTTACTAACATGTTGCATATCAGGGGAGAGAACAAAACACTCGTCCCCGGTAGTATTTTTTTTTTTTACGAATATTTTTGTCACCTTCATTAAAAATGTTGTTGCGGTAATGATATGATTATTTTTGAATTGTTATTATGTACACATCTTCTTCTCACTTACGTTATAAATATTGATATCTCCTTTTTGTCATTATATATCATTAATACAATTCTTACTTCACTACGCTCTTCGGTAACTGGCTCCAGTATTCACTTTATCTTTTATATAAATTTTCACCTTATACATCTTGAGAATGAATGAATTGTTTGTTGATGCTGGTTTTTTTTAATTATTCCTTTCTTCCTATTAGAAATGCAGAGAGAAAATGATCTCGCGAGTGTGTTCCTTAATTACGCTTAATACAAGAAGTCATCAACAAAAATCAACACGTTTAACTCGGTCTCACAAATATCGTTATAAATAGAAAGAGCCAATCGATACACACATCGACTGCAATTTATGTTTTATAATGAAATCTTATTCATTTTGTTTCACAGAGTGCTCGCTGCTTTTGCTCACAAATTCAACAAGGGGACAAACAATCACAATTACTTTAATGTATTTATATACGAGTTTTTTTTTTTAAGCAATTATATAAATAATGAACATCCACTTTGGAAAGGGCCTCTTACTTTCGTATGGGGGTCGGGGGTGCGCGTGGGTCGGTTTTCGTCCTGTCTTAATATGCACTGATTTCCATTGCGTGTTTCTCTATAAGTCGATTAGCTTGCGTGAGTTTTTTTTTCTTTATCAATACAGAGCTGCGAGAAAATCGGCGTTTCTCGCTCAGAGTGTGTGCTTTGTCGCGTGCAAGAATAATAATATAATCCATCTGTATTTTTTTTATAAGATCTATCACTGCTGTTGTACACATTAAACAAGAGATATAATGAGTGAGAGGAGTGATGTGCGTGAGAGAAATTTGTTTTCCCATATTTGACACTGGCTCAAGTTGATCGACAATCAGTTAACACGACTTTGAATTTTAAAGCTACTCGAACAAAAAAAAAACGCACTTATTAATTTCGGATTTAATTGTAATATATTTCCATCCTGACGGAGACTTCTCTCGGGCTGAAAAAGGCCATTATTCATTTTTGTTAAGTAGACAATGCGCCTTTCTGGAAGCTCTTTGATTCAAAGAACTCCACATTTAGTTTTATAATATTATCGCGAATAAAAATCAGTTGGTTTGTTGCAAAAGGAAAACGCGAGAGGAGAGGAAACTTAAATTAGGAGTGGTTTCTGTATCACTATCTTAAGTGACTGCCTTTGGCGTGACTCATCCTATATATCTTTGCGTGAATTAAAATGTCCGTTCTCGTTCGTTCGTTGGATTAATTAAATTGAAAGACTACTCGCTCTAATTTCTCGCGCGGATAAACGTATATAAAAAATGCATTTCATCAATTCAAAATAGTCGAATTAAAAGCCGAGAGACTAGAAGCAAAAAATGCTCGAGTGGAAAAAAAATAAACCATATTAAGTAAAAAATCATTGGAGAGGTGTTCGGGCGAGAGTCACTAGCAGCTATTGAGAATAATAAAAAAAAAACACGTTTTTAACCGAGTGATCGAACACATTACAAACTAATTCATAGAGTAATAATAATTAAAATTGGTATGATATATCACATATTTACAATTAATGATACACTGACGTATGCTTTAACAACAGGTAATTCAAACGAAAATCTGCTAATCGCTTAATATTTAAAAAAAAAAACGCGTGTAATAAGAAGTGTGCTTCCGAAGGTGCTGGCTGTTTTCAACCGCGCGTGCACTTTTACTACCGTTTTGAAAATCGACTGCCGCTATAGTTTATATTCAAAACTCTATCACATGCCTAATTATCAACTCAGCTTTGCAAGTCACTCCCCGAAATCGCGGTTTTTAAGTAATCAATTAATAATTATATCTATACAAACAGTCTTGGACTATTGAAATCATATATAATTTATACAGCATTTATTTCCATATAATATATCTTTGAAATTCGGGAAAAAATGAGAAGGGAAGATGAGATTTTTACGTGAGTGTGTGTATGTGCGACCTTAATCAAGAGAGAACACTTTCAATCTATATAAATTCCACCTCTCTCTCTTTCTCTATCGTGTACTGGCCCTTTTCCGATACAAAGGCAGCCGTCCGACACTTTTAACTGAGGATAGCGTTTTTGCAAATTCAACAACGACCATTCACTTCTTATCAGTTACGGATTCGTTGATTTCACATTTGAGTGTTCGTTTTGGTAAAAGTCTTTTTCCTTAAAAATCCCAGTCCTCGGCAGCATTGCTGCTGTCCACCTTGGCCTGGCGCTGTTTGTCTTGCTCGATTTTCTGCTCCCAGTCGTCGTCCTCGTCCGCCTGCTCTGCACTCGTCACGTTCAACTCGAGCTTGGTCTGCTCGCCGGACACCTCGTCCTTGTCCTCCTCCAGACTCAAGTCCTTTTCTGCATTTTTGTCGGCGGCCGTGGGCTCGATGCGCACCGTATCGTCGTCCAGCTCGCCGCTCCGCCTCCGCAGAGAGTCAAAGTTGTTGCCCTGCATGACGCAGACGCCGTTGATGATGGCCGGCGGCGAGTCTTTGGTCTCGTCCTTGTCCTTCTCGTCCGCCTGCCACTCCGGGTTCACCCACTGCGGCGCCGCCGGTTTTCGTCTCGACGACCTGGCGGGGGCGGCTGCGGGGGTGGCGGTCACGCGCTCGGTTTTGCGGAAGTCGTGCGAGCCGTTCGAGTCGGCGTCCGAGTCGTCGCCGGAATCCTCGTCGTCCGACTCCTTCTTCAGCGAGGTCATGCTCAAGTCTAGTCCGGACAACTGTTCTCGCATGGCCGCCGCCATCAGGAGGTGTTGCGGGGGCAGAGGGGGCAGCTGGGGCATGGAGGCGGCCGCCGCCGGACTAACCATGGCCGCCACGGAGGGGTTGAAGAAGGGGAAGGGTGGCATGGCGCCGCCTCCGCGCTCCTTGTGGATCTCGGTGAGGCGCTGGGTCAGCAGCAGGCGGAAGTGACCCGGGTCAAAGGTCGACGAGTTCGAGTTCGAGAGCGCCGCCGGCGGCGAGGCGTCATTGTTGTTGTGCGGGATGGTCTGCTTGAGGCGCATCCGGTGGTTGTGGAACCAGTTGGTGATGGTGCGCGCGGCCAGGTTCAGTTCGGACGCCAAGAACTCGATGGTGGCCATGTTGGGGTAGGGGTCAAGCGCGAAGGCAAGGCGCAGGGCCTCCTTCTGCTCCTCGCTGAAGAGGACGCGCTGCTTTTTGGCGCTTGGAGGCCCGGGGCTGCCGTCATTGGTGTGGTAAAAGTCGGCAGTGTCGTTGGACGACGTGTCGCTGCTGTTGTCGGTCGGGCCGTTGTTGCCAGTGGTGGTGCGGCGACGCTTGTTGGCCTCGCGCCGCTCGCTTTTCATCTGCTGCAGCCGGTCCACGTTGTTCGGGTCGGTCAGCCACAGTTGCATGCGGATGAATGGCTCGCGACCCTTGATGCTCAGCATGTGCCAAGGCTTCGGTTTCGAAAGCAATTCGCTCACCGAGCCCTGAGATAGGCCAAGAACGACCTCACCAAAAATCTGTAACAAAAGGACAAAATTGGTTTAATTTTTGCTTTAAATTTTTATTGAGAGAGTGCAAATTATTGTACCCAAAACTTAGAATATGTATTTTAAATTATAATTTATTTTAAACTGGAGAATAATATTGTGAAAAAATCGACTAAAATTCATAATAATTAGAGTGGGGGGAAAAAATTAGAAAATATTTTTAAAAATCTTTAAATAAATAAAATATCAAACATTAAGAATTATTACAAAATTTTATCAATTTAATAATTTTAAAAGCATGAAACAATATATATTTTATCAGCTAAAATTTATTTCATCAATAATTTTTACATGAATAAATTAAATATTTGCAAATTTATAAATTTTTTATGTACTTTTAATACCTTTTGCCCAATATTGTTGGCAAGCAGTGCCTCCTTAATTCTTGTCGTGATCAACTGCGTGTCCAGGTCCTGCGTCAGGGCGGCCATTTCGTACACACTGGGCTGCTGCATGGCCGCAGCGGCCGCGGCCATGGCCCTCGGCATGTTTCCAGCAGGCGAGTGCTTCTTGAGCAGCGACGCCGCTGAGCTGGGTGAGTCGGGGGTCATTGGTGGACTGCCCGGATGCCTCAGCAAGCCTGGTGAGGGGGTGGGTGGCGTCTGCATTGGGGGCGGTAGAGACGGGGTGGAGGAAGGGGTGGACTGTGCAGAGGGTGGCACCAAGCTGGGCAGGAGGGCCATCGGGTTGCCGAGAGCGGCGGCCGCGGATTCCATTGCTTTTGCCATGGGGTCATGCAGCTTTGGCGTTTTCTGGGCCGGAGCTGAAATTGACGATAAAGTTTAGCAACGAAAATTTCATTTGAAATCCAAAAAATTTGAAAATCTTGCTACCAAAAGCTAGTTAATCAAGGCCTATTAATTAATTTGTAAACAAAAATACGTTGTTAGGTCATGCAAAGTTAATAGTGACCCAATTGCAGTTAACCAAAGATATTAATTAATTAACAAATCAATTTTATTCACATTTCATGCTGGCCTTGGGATGAAAGTGGCTAACATCTCTGTGGATTCCAAAGTTCATAGGTTCGAATCCAGCTATGAACACAGAATGACACACCGTTGGTTATAATCCTCACAAAAAAACACCACACCAAAAGTGTTAATAATTGCAACAAATGTTAAATAAACTCTCTGCTACTCTAGAAGTTCCAAAAACATGCATCCTAAAAAGGAGGAGAAAAATTTCAGCAGAAGGACTTACGAGGATTGATGGAACCGTAGCCGCCGGTCCTCATCAGCTTCTCTGGAGCAATTTTGTATTGTGAGGCGACCAACTTGTGCACCGCATTCTCGTCCTCCAAGAACATCTTCATGCGAATGAAAGGCTCGCGTCCCTTTTGTGTGAGCATGTGCCACGGCTTGGGTCGCGCCAACAGGTCTGACACTGAACCCTGAGATAATCCAAGGACTGATTCGCCGAAGAGGCGTTGACTTATGGAATATTGACTAAGTTGCTCCTTGACCTGTGGAAATTAAAAAATAAAGTATTAGTGTTCGATAAAAAAATGATTTAAAAAATATATCTAATAATTGTAAATAAAAACTGTAAAAATCGGCAAGCAACTCATATGATAATTATTGATATCATGCCACATAGTAATTGCCTCACCAAGCAACGTACCTTCTTGACAATGTCTTCGGTGTTGAGGTTGTTGAACTGGTCAAACTGCTGCTGCGTGATGGGCGGCAGCACCGCTTTGAGGGGTCGCTGGGCCGGGCTGTGGTGGGACGGTGTGTTGGGTGTTGAGATAAGCGAGTTGGTGATCGAAGCCATTCGCTGCAAGGGACTGGCCGAGGAAGTGGCAAAGTCTTCAGGGCCTGTGGGTGGCAAGATGGAATTCAGTGGACTGGGGGCTGTGGAGGAACCACTGCTGGCTTGGCTGCCTGCACACACAACCACAGCCACCCACCAGTAATTAGTACGGTGCATTGGAAAAAGTGCAATTTAAGTTACAAGACAGATAGGGACTTTAATATATTAATTAATTAATAAAAAAATAAAAGTAGGACTCACTCGGCTCTGCTTTTGGTCTGACAAGGGAGAAGGCGCTGCCTGCGTGGCGCAGGGCGTCGGCCACGGCCGCCTCGGTGGCCGCACTCAGCTCTTTAGCCACCGACCCCTTGTCATCAACATCGGACAAGGGTCCGTTGTGGCTGCTGCTGCTCGAGTGGTGCGGCGAGTGCTTCATGTCGCGCGCACTGGACGGCCGCTCCTTGGGCAGCGACAGGTCCTGCACGCCTCCACCTGAACCGTTCATCAGCGGCATCTGCGGGTGCAGACCCAGCAGGCCGGGAGGGATGTTTCCGCCCTGCAGGGCGTTGTGGTTCAGCTTGGCCAGTTCGCGGTGGTACGCGTCAAGGGCCATGCGGATTTCGTCGTGGGTGCGGTCCATGCCACCGGCAGGGCCGCCTGGGCCAAAGAAGTGAGGGAACAACAGACTGGAAAAGTAAAAAAAAAAATATAATAATTCAGTTTTTATAAAAAGAAAAGTGTTTTCCATAAAATATTAAAATATCTTTATAAAATTTACTATTTAATTTGATTTTTACCTAGGGAAATGCTGTCCAGGTCCACCTGGTCCGGCCCCGCCTTGAGCTGCTCTCAAAGAATCCTCAAGTCGACGACCCATCAGCTTAGCCAGTTCTTCTTGGTAAATTCTGGCAACCTTCTCCTGAAAATAAAAAAATCCAGGAATGTTTAGAAAAATTCAACCGAAGTAATTAAAATAAAAAAATTATTTTTAAATAAATTATTTGAAATTTACCTGAGCTGATGCAGGCGAGCGGCTGTCGGTGCTGCGCGCGTCTTCCTGCTGAGCGGCTGCGGCCGCCGCTGCGACGGCCGCGGCAAGGTTGGCGGACACTCCGGGCGGGGCTCCGGGCATGGAGCCGCCCTTCATGGCCTGACTGGCCTCGCTGAGGATGTGCGCGATCCGCTCCTCGGTCATCGAGTCGTCGGGTCGGCCGCCGAAGGTGGGAATGCCGGCGGCGCCTTCTTTGCCTGTAAGCCATTGCTTACGTGAGATTTCCCCTAAGAAATTGCATCGAATGTGGTGAGGCAGACTGGTAGAGAGGCTGCTCTTTGATGCACGAGAAGCCTTTGTTTGTTTGATAGATAGTTTTTGCATTCAAAAAACAAATAATAATAAACGAAAAGAGGAACGCTTTGGGCGGAAGAGCTTGAGTAAAAAAAAATATTGAACGATCCGGTCGGAAACGGAAAATGCTGGAGTCCAATTAGCCGATCAGAAAATTTCGTTACCCACACCCGAGTGTGAATCGAAGGCATCGGAGCGTGGTGAAAAAACGATCGGGGGAGCGCGCCGATACATTAACTCTGCATTGAAAAGTGCAGGTAACAGGTGTGTGACGGTGTTTCTTGAGCAATGACGTTTGAAAAGGATGCACGGCACACAATGCGGGCTGCTCGATAAAATGTAACATTACAATTTATTATTATTTAACAACAGCAGGGAAAAGAAAGGAGGGAAATCGGCATCTCTCGCGGGCAGACTGGCCGACTGACTGACTTATTCTCAATTGCGCGCCGCTGGTTTACGTCACCAGCGCCGGCCTTTGATGAGTCGAATTGCTAATATAAAACGCGCCTGCACTTTTTAGTCGCACTTGAATGCACTCCAAATTAAGCAAACGGGAAAAGAAGCGGCCCTGGTGCTGTGCGATTGTGCCACGGATATGAGGGGCACAATAGCCGCGCGCGAGACGTTGATAATGGGACGCGGATAGACTATTATTGAATCGCAAGACAGCTCTTTCTTTATTTGATTGCTTTAGATTGAGAGAGTGATTCGCGAGAGGAGATCAAACAGAACGAGTGCGCAGTTTGAATAATAAGAATGTTCGCTATAAATTTCAGCACTCTTTTTTTAATTTAATTTAATTTTCGGGAGAGGTTAAAAGGAAACTGAACAGAAATGATTAAAACATTTTTAAGACGATTCAAATTCCATAAAAATTGTAGCAAATTTTAGCTTTTGAATCGTCTCCTCTAAAATTAAATTTTAAAATAATTTCATTCTCACCTTTCTTTGGAATGAGCGACTTGAGCAGCATGACGGCGTTCTCGTCGCACGCCCACGCGTGCATCTTTCTGTACGAGTCGCGTCCCTTCTCGGTCAGTTTGTCCCAGGGCTTGGGTTTGGACAGCAACTCGCTGACCGTGCCTTGAGACAGGCCAAGGACGTACTTGGCGAACAGCCGCTGGCCGATGTTGTGAATGGAGAGCAACTCGCGCACGCGACGAGCAATGTGCAAAGTGTCCAAATTCTGACTGGCGTACTGGTCCATGTTGTAGCGCAGCATCTCCTGCAGACGCGCCTCCATGGGGTCGCCCTTGGGAATGAGGGACTCGCCCAGGCTGAGGCGGTCCTCAAACCGGAAAGGGCCTCGCTCGTCGAAGCGGAAGGGACTGGATTTCGGGGGCTCGGAGCCCATCAGGGCGCTGGCGACGGAGGTCGGTGGCCCCGAGGGGTTCATGAGGCCCAGGGGGCCGTTGGGGCTGTGCATGCCGCTGCCACACGAGTCGCCGGGCGGCGACTTGGGGCCTCCGTTGAGCAGCATGTGCTGCTGCAGGGCGGCCTGGTGCTGTTGCAGCATTTGTTGCATCGAGGGCGTCGAAGGGGCCGGAGGAGGGGAACAAGAGACCCTGTTGACCTTGGGGTCGGTCTCAGGGGTTGAGGGGGGCGACGGCCTGATCTCATTCAAGGGAGACTTTTCTGATTCCTCCTGCTGTTGCTGTTGTTGTTGCTGCTGCTGTTGTTGTTGTTGCTGTTGGGGTGGTTGTTGGGACTGGGTGACGGAGGACGGCAGGCTGCTTGCGTTTTGACTTAGAATGGTGCGTTCCAGGGAGCGTCGCCAATTGGCCACGATTTCTTCACCTAGAAAGGAGCCGAAGGTTTCTACTGTTTGCAGGCCGGGCGGGAAAAGCGACGCTGCGGCGGCAGAAACTGCGGGGGTTGAGGGTGTAGTAGAGCCACCACCTAGAAAGAGGAAAAATTAAAATTAGATAAAAAAGGAGCAGTCTATAAACTTTAATTATTTATCAATATTTTATTTAGATCGAGTTAAATATTTTTTTGTTAAATTAAAATGGATTTGATTAATTTATTATTTCACATGAAAAAAAAGTTTTTTTACCTCGCTGTGGTTGCTCTTCGACGGCCGATGACTGTGGAGTGGCCGTGGCCCTTGCGGCCATGGACACGGCAGCTTCGTTCAGCATTTCGAGGGCTTTGGCGGACGGCGTGGACATAGAGGCGCCGCCTCCGCTCTCAGTGCCTGTGGCCGCTGCGGCCGCAATTGCTGGCAAATCCAACGCTCTGAGAATGCTGAAACCACAGAAACGACAAATCAGTCCGCTGCAGATACACCGATATTTATGGGATCGTTTTCCGAGAAGCTCGGGGTTGGGTCGATTTGAATCGTCATTAGTATTCGACGCGTCGTTGGTTAATTTTCCAAGAAACGGCCACAAGTTATCATCAGCAGAATTCGATGTTTTAGAAATACGTGAAAACTAACTGAGTGCGGTGGCATCTGCTAAGTGAGATTTATACGCGAGATAACTAGCGAGAAAGGAAAGAATGAACGCCGGGAAGAATAATAATAATAATTTTATTAATTTCTTAACACGGAACTCCAATAAAAAGCAACAATAAAGCGATGAGCAGCGATAATTTCCAGATATTATTCGACGCATTAAATATTCATTGGAATCATTGGTTTTATAGGCCGTTTCGTTACAAAAAATATAGCCCCAAAAGCAAGTTGGAAAAATTCATATTGAATGGTGGTGCAATAAAATACGGGCAGGAATCGCTGGATTCAATCAAACTCGAGCCGTCATCGCCGCGTCTGAAAATCATGGGCTGCTTGTTTCTGAAGCAGTACGATCATGAACCCTGCAGGGGGCAATAATAAATTTATATTATCCCCGCTTCTTTTAATGCATATACAAGCCTTATGGTTCACAAGCGCCTGGATTAGGTGCGCGCATTAAAAGCATTTTTCCCTCCGCTTTATTGGTTTTTACTTTTTTAATAACTTAATATTTAACGGTCGAAAATATAACTAACAGACACACACACGGAGTCGTGGTGCCACTTTTATACCAGCGACACGAATATTAAAAGTAAACGAATGTATATTTTTTAATACAACTTGCACCTGCCAGAGAAATAAGAAACACTCAAGTTCAATCAAAGTAACGACGAGAGTTGTGGTTTATCTGGATTGACCCGCAGTAAAAAAGCCTTCAAGGCCCGGATTATATTATAAAATTGAAGATTATGAGGGATGACACGTTTTGATACGCCTTTTGGAAAAAAAACTTGCATCGTTTCAAATTATAAAATTACGACGGAATAATAAAAAGCATTTTTAAAGCAAGAGTTTGAAGAAATCCACTATTAAAATTATGTTCAGTTTGACGAGAATATTTAATGTTAAAAAAAAAAAAAAAAACACTTTTCATCCTTTACCATCAAATATTAAAGGAAAATTTGATTGACATTTTAACTGCAGAAAAATGAATATTTCCAAAGGTTGAACTTCGACTACTTTAAATGTTTGAATAAATTGATTAATTAACATTTTACACACCTGAGTTCCCTTTTGAGATCTTCATAGTCCTTCTGGGCGTCAAGTCGCGCCTCTAGCCTGGCGATGCGCTGCGACCGCTGGTCCAACTGCTCCTCAAGGCGCGCCACCTGCGCCGCCGTGCAGTCCTGGGCCCTGCCGAGCGCCGCTTGTAACCTCTGCACGTCTTCACTCAACTGTGAGATCTGCAAACAAAAGAGCGGCGGTTTAGTTTGATGGATTGGTGTGTAATTACTTGTTCTTGAAGAGGTATTTTTATTTTATTTTCAATTCGATTTGTTTCAAAAGCGAATAAAATATTGTCAGAATGAGTGAGTGAGAGGCGCCGCTCTCTTATACGATTGAGGATAAAAATTATCGGCACGAAAGCATAATATTAAGGCTGCGTTTCGTGCCCTTGTTCTCGTCTATAACACAATTTGATCGAATCTCGTTTCCTAAATAAAATAAAAAGTAGGAATTTTCGGCATAGGGCACCAGCAGTCAAGTGCGATGGAAATGAATAAATTTCTTCTCTCATTCGATTTCCTCAAGGGGCCTGCCAGAAAGAAATATTTTTATACACACTTATATAAAAAAGGAATCAGGAGAGAGAGAGAGAGAGAAACACCTTTCCTAGTGTTGTACAAAAGCGTGTGATTCCTATTCACATCATTCAATTCAATAGCCGGGCTACAATATAAATTTTGTATTATAGAAATAAATACACTTTGCGTGATCGAAAAGCAGCGGAGGGAATTTTCGTATAAAAAAATGATCGCATGTTAAAGACAGGTGCGGGAGAAGAGAGAGCCGACCGACGGGCTAGGCATGCATTAAAGAAGAAAAAGAGTGGAAGATGGAAAATAAAATGTAAAATGTTTCCGAATTGATGCGGAATGCTATACCGTGTTATTACGCGAGACAGGGGTTGAATGGGATAGGAGGAGGAGGAGGGTGGCGGAGGATGTGCACTTTTGTTCTTCAGGAACCGACGTGTAATGTAATCATATGCAAAACAGAGATAGATGTATGGAAGAGCCGCGGGCAGAAATTACACGTATTTCACACATGCAGCCGGAAAAGATAAGGGAAAAATGTAGCACGAATATTGAAATTTAACCCCGACGATAGAAAAAAGGAAAATCCTCCGATATTTGCAATTAATCTATTTTCAAATCTTTCATTTTTTTGCGCTCCTCGATTGTTTGATTTTGAACGGGGAGGGAAATTTCACAAATCAGCAGAACGAAAGAAAGGGTTGCTTGGCCTTTATATTTGCCTGCGCTTGTGCTAATCGGCGCGCAACTCGTTCGTATTATTCGACAGGCATTCGAATCTTCCAACTCATTGAGTTCGCTCTCGTCGCTTATTCCCAGGTCTTAATTACTGCAATTAGCTCCGTGTGCTGCTGCCGGTGGAGAGCATAAATGCTGCTGCTGCTGCTTTTCTTCGGCGGCGCGCATTCAATACCAACCAACACTCCCTCTCTCCTTCTATTATAGGAAAGGGCTTCGACAACAATGGAAAATAAATGCATTCAAGGGTGATATAAGATGGGAATATGTATATCGCGCGGGGCGAGACGCGGCGAGAGAGCAGATTGATCGCCAACGAACGACGCTCTCTCTCGAGTGTCTGTGTGTTTTTTGTTTCCAGCAGCAGCACCGATTGTTTATTGCGTTCAGGTGCAAATGAATTGAAAAGAGCGAAACCAGCCCTCTCTCTCATGCGGCTCAATGGATGGATGGACGATTATTTTGAAGGGCCATTTCGACAGGCTGCCGCTGGGAATTTTTCGTTTGAGCTCAAAAAGAGAATGAAAGACCTCGATTATTTAATTGTTGCTCGCTCAACCGTAATTAAGAAAATTCGTTAATGGGAAAGGGAAATTTCTTCTATTTAAATTCAACTATTGACAAAAAAATTATTTAATATTTTGGTAGAAAAAAAAAACAATTACATTTAAATATTTTTTCAGTTCATTTCTAATCCTGTATATTCTTTTTTTTTAAATTAAAATAATGCAATTTTTATTTGTGTATTCTTATTGCAAATAAAACGAGTTAATTTTTTCTAAAATTATTCATACAATCTTCAGGTAAAAACTATCAACTTCCTTCCGATCAGAGAATGTTTCCAAATTCAGCATCGTTGTTTTCGAGAGGGAAGTAACATCGCAACACACTAACACTCCTTGGAGCGAACAACAACGGCCAATTTTTATCCTCACATTGTTTCCAACTCATTAACCCTCGTAATTATGCATGCACGGCGATTCTTCAGGGTCCAAATTACACACCGCTCAAACTCCTTCGACACAATTCGTCCGTTAATAATAGTACTTCGACGGCGGCGGTGCTTTCACGCATTACCGTTTCCGTTCGATTGATGAGGTGTGTATACAGAATAAAAAATAAAGAACATGCATCGATAGATTTTTTATATAGGTTAGTATATTATATTGGCGAAAAGAGGAACAGCCGGCATACGTATATGCATGCACGTGCTCTTGATATAATTATTCGGCTTTTGTGAAGGAGAAGGATGACGTCGCAGAACACGCTGCCGAAATGAATTCAATAACAATCAGAAATAATAAAAAGCAACCTGCGCTCGTTTTGTCGGGGAAAAAAAGCTTCAGTAGCGGGGCGCTCTGCTGAATGTGAATTTGGTGAAGAATTGCTTCCGGCCCGGCGCCGAATTATTGTTAATGCAATAATGATAAAATGCATGTCATTTGTGTGTCTATCATGCATGGCGGACCAACCAAGCAGCCAGCGCGCGTATTATCATCATCATTATTATTTTATCCTGGAAAGCAGTGAACCCAAAAGGTTTCTTTCTCTCTTAATTCTGACGTGACAGCCTAATTCTATCTATCTATCTCTCCCGAGGCCAGCGTTTCTTTTTTCTCTAATAAATGCCCTCTTCCTATCAAATTATTGGGCAATAGAATATAAACAATGGCTGCCAAACGGTAATTTGGACATCTAGAAAGCGAATCAGAGCAGACCTCGGACGCCTTAATGACCTTTATTGGGTGGCAATTCGCTGTGAGAGGAAGTTGAATTTGCATCATTTTAAAAAAGCAGAGGTAAACAAATTATCAGATTGAGTTTAAATAAGTTAGTTTTATTTATTTAACTAATCAAAATATTAAAAAAATTTTCCTTTAACAATAATTAAATTGATTTATTTACTCCTCAAACCAAGAAAAGTGTGAAAAGCAGCTCACAAAAGCTTGTTTACTCTGCCAAACCCAGCTTTCAAGCTTTTGATCAGCTTCCCCGAATCCGATTAATTAATTTTGCGGCACAATCGAAAGAATCTGTCTCGTCAGAGAGTGTGGCGGGTTGCAGTGTATATATGTGTGTGGCGCTCTCAAAAGAGACAATTAGCGAGTGACAAGTGGGAATTTGCAGCACGCACACCCAAGCCGATCGTCTCTCTTTAGGAACACAAAGTTGGGAGACAAGAAGGGATACAATGTGTAATGTATACACGCATTGAGATACGTAGGTATTGGGCCGGAATTAGTAGAGCACGACGACGCCCGCGTGCATTTCTAAAGAACACTGTATACGCTTGCATGCAATACCGATTTTTCGGGGCGATTTCGCCACGGGTCTATCTGAAAATAATAATTTCATCTGTGCAGCTCCGATCGAAATCTGCGATTAACTAACGGATCTGCAGCAGCCGCGGCTTTTATTGCTCTCCAGCCGGAGAGGATTGCATGCCACGGTTCGGAATTTATTTATTTCACTCGAATGGCACGATAGCCGTGGGTCCGCACCTGTTGTGTGCATCAAAGAAGACCAGAATTTTTTTAATTACATCCGCGAAAGATATTTTCTGGCCCTCTCCGAGGAGCAAACGAGGGTTGGCGAAAGGGGTGTGTATTTTAGGTATCGGAAAAGTGTTCGAAGGATCATTATTCTGCATTAAAAACGACGGCGGCTCCGGATCTAATTCAATTAACGCGGATAAAGTTTCAATAATAAAATTTTCATACCGCGCCCGCCCTCGCTCCGAAATGATTTAGTGCCTCGAATGTGTGTGTTGTATATCGACGCCGTATTCTCTCGCGTAACACCGGCTTAATAATATAGAGAGAGATCGGCAGAGTTTTAGTTAGTCAGTTAAAACTGCGCCGCGTGCCGTATTGATTCGATATTTTACGACTCTAATTACTCTCCGGTAGTATAGCAGCCGGCTCGCCTCCTCGGGGAGGCTAATTTTGAGAAACTAATCAAAGGCTTGCGATGTCAATAAAGTATGTTTTCATTGGTGCATGCGGGCGAGGAGTTTATATGACAGAGATGAATATACTGCTGCTGAGTTATTTAAATACGCATAAGAAGGAGTTCCGTTCATAAAGTTGAAAGGTGAAGTTTATTTATATAAATCCCTATTAATTAAATATTTTAATTTAATCCTTAGTTGAACAAGTTTTAACTTTTATTAAAAAAAAAAAACATTTGAAATATTTTTCAACTTTGAAGTTAAAGTACGAAGTAAGATTTTTTTATGAAAGCTCATTCAGAGCCAATATCTTTGCATCTAAATGAGTTCAAACTGGTGTGTGCACTTTCAAACGAGACCAATTACTTTAATCGAACCTCTGCACCCCTTTTTCCTATTCAAAAAAATGTCCAACTGTGCAAGCTGAACTTGCTTTCATTTCACCAAAATTAAAAGCAAGATTTAATCGCTTCACTCTCGTTCACTTTAAACCAAACGGGGGCGCACCAAGAACACAAGGAAATCCATTAGCGAATCGATACATAAAATTTTCAAAGGGGTGGTACACGTTTTTTTTTTATTGCCGTATATTCTAACATCGATCCCTTCAATATTGTACCCACTGTTCCTGTATCTATCAATACAGTTCACGACATGCATGCACGCCGGCAATAATTATCATTTTATCAGTTGGAATTATCAATCATGGTGCGCGCGTTCGTTAATTAGTGTGCAGCCCATTGCATTACAAAAATTCATTAATTATAAAAATGATGGCAGCCGTTCGGTTTGTTCCCCTATTCGCCTATTGATATTTATCTCGTGCATAAATTAACATGCCTATTGATCACGGTAATGAACGCAGCAACGGCCTCCCCCAGCTTTCTTTCCTGCTGATTTCCCACACATACACAAATATATACGCAGCAATCTGGCATTTTCAAAACGAAATTTTATC